TACTACAACCATATTCGTATAAATATGCTAAATTAAACACACTATAACTACAAGATGCTATAATGAAGATATCGTTCATTAGCTGGTTATAGCTGAATATTTTTCACCCGGGTTGCTAGATTGTTATCCTTTGTTAAAATGATGAGAAATTTTAATAGTTCTAGTAGTAACAGCTGGATGTAATGGAGGAGTTGCAATGACAATAACCTTTACATATTTACAATCTATTATAATGTATTCATTCTTATGCAAAAACCACAATGTATCTCAAAATCAGTGCATAAACTAAGAATTCCGTTTGTTAATTTTATTAATACGTTAGTAGTCTTTTATACTGTGCAGCTAATCTTTGCAGAGCATTTGATATTAATGCAAAATATAAAAACACGTTAAGCTAATAATTGAGACGGATTCTCATTATAACTTACTGTTACAATTTTGCTTCAGTTTGAGTATTGTTTTGACTTGCAGTAGTTAATACTACAAGGAAAATAGTTTCAGCTTCGACCAGCGATGATCAGCTTCTTTGAATGATCTATAGTAGTGATACCAAAGTTCTGAAATGAATTTATTATGAATAGTTATTAGCTAATAGATTTAAAAGTAATTATTATTTTCTTATGTACAAGATAAACTACTTCATTGCTATGTAATAACAATTTAATATACTGTATAATCTAGTCATAGACAGTAATTTACTGTCCCGCTTATTGCATATTGAGTAACAATATAATTCAATTCCAAAAGAATACTACCTGTAATAAGGGAATAATTGTAGTTTTGAATACTATATGTAACAGAGAATATTCGTGGTTTCATACTTTAAGTTTGATCTTGATATGATAAACTGCAGAAAGTTTTTCTGAGTCAATCAATCTCTTTTTTTGTACAAATTACAGTATATACTCTTTATCTTGATACATAGTATAGAAAACTTTATCCATAAATATTCCTAGATTGTCTAATTAAAGGTTTATACTAAGCATAATAGCCGATATTGTTAATATTCCATTTATTTACTAAACGATATAAATCAAATCTATATCATTCGGAGAGCATTATTATATTGCATATGATGACAACAATGCTTTTTAAAATATTAGAGTCTAAGATCGTTGGGGATTATTTCAGCTTTATCCTAAAGTATATATCGTAGAGCTCTACAAAAGAGTTTAAACTTATCTTATCATCACCTTACAAATACTTTGTTATCGTTAAATTTTATTTTATGTCTCATAATCATATTTCATCATTACAGACATTAAAGATTAAATTACGAATCTTAAACTACATACTAAAAAAAATAATTGATCTAGAAATCTTTATGTATTTATAAATGATTTTTACCGCAATTATCTATTAAAATGATATCCCTATCATGTTTCACTCACTGGAAATACTTATAATGCTCTAGATTAATAAGTATTACTGATTAATAACAAGTTAATACATGTAATATTTTAAATTAACAGACATTAGTAATTGTAAACTCGATATTCCACGAAAATTAATGACATTATATAGTAGTCAGCACATAATTTTATGCTAAATTATGACTTGAAACTTATTTAACAAACACTAGAATTAAGGATATTATATGAAACTTAGTATATGAATGTTGGACGAGGCAAGACTTAAGATTTACGAAAACAAATGCTTTATTATTAATGATATTATTTAATAATTAGAACGTTAAACTAGACCATGGCCTGAGATTTATGAAATTAAGTACACTCACTAGAATTGTTTATATTTTAGTGATAGAATGATAAATGCTCCTTATACCCAGCCCTATCATATGATAAATAATGCATATTTTTTTGTAAAAGAATTTATCGTAAATAACATTTCTAACTGTTATGCGGTATCAACGCCTAACATTACGAGCGTCTCTAGTCGTTATCTAAGTCGTCAGAAATATACAAAGTTTATAAAATGAATTAATGATACGCACACCTTCCCTTTTCTATACATAATTATTATTTTATTATTAAAATTGTTAATATATCTGTTCTATGACCTTCACTTGATATAAATCTGAAATAAGTTGTATTGTTTCTCATAATTAATTAGCTTTTTCTAATAGCTACCATCCAATCATTGAATTATTACGCCACATTTTAATTCATTGCTCTTCCATATTCTTTAATTTGTATATAGTGCAAGGTCAAAGATAAGCAGCCACACTTTAATTTTATCTACTTGGAAGCTAAGATCAATGGCGTCGATCAATAACCATACAAATAACGTCTCAGGTTACGATTTCAACAATACGACCACTCCTTCCTTCGAAATTTTACCTTATTTTTTCGATTTTGTATGGCTAGCGCTAGTAATATTCATACTTATCCCCAACTTGTACTTATTTCTGTTGATTATTGGTAAACGACGTCTTCGTACTCGATCAAATGCATTAATTGCTAGCTTAGCTTTAGTTGATATGTCGTATGCACTATTTTTTATCTTACCAATGTCTGTATTATTAATTATGCATCACCATAGCGGACAACATTGGACTCGGTTAAATAGTATACTTTGTCAGTCTGCATATAGTATTATTCGGCCAATTTTAGATTTTAATATTAATTTACACATCTGTTTTATTAGTTTAGAGCAATTTATTGCTATTGGATATCCTTTCAAATATCGATCGTACATTAATAATAATTTAACCTTTGTTTTCACTATCATAATAATTTATACTACTTCTATTATACTTGGAGCTATGCCGTTTATTGCTACTTGGTACGATTTTGACTTTCCGGGCTGTACCATACAACTAAATGCGTTTTCCATCTTGATTGCTGGGGCTTACTTTCAAGCTTGGAATATAACTTGTTTGGTTGTACTTTTTCCTCTACCATTTTTAACAATTACCATGTTTTATACTAAAATCTATAGTATCGCAAATCAACATTTTCGTCGTACTATACCTAACGCGTTTAATATGAGACCATCAGTCAACTATCGCGTTGCAGTTAATAAAAAGGCTGCTAAAGCGATAGCAGTCCTATTGGCAGATATTATCATTTTAAGACTACCTTATGTTACTGTTTTAATTATTATTTATTCAGGCTTAGCTACTGTTGGAAATGCTACAATTTTTGTTACTGCTTTAATGATCACTCAAATTATGGGTGCATTTACTTCTGTGGTCAATCCTTTTCTTTATTCATATTATAATAAGGATTTGCGAAGATCATTTTATAAAAGGCGTTACTGTATTTTTTATCAAGCAGTTCAGGTAATGGCATCAGCTAGTTCAACGACACGAATTTCAAGAATACTGCAACGACGTTGATGGCAATCCTAATTTTTAACTCTCAAGTTTTATGCTTATTCAAGTTATGTAATTAAAAAATTAGAAATGCTGTAATGAAATATGGAATGGTACTGTATATAAATAAATTAGATGAAATGTAATAGTAATATACGAGTATATCGCTATATAAGATACGATGTTATCTAGATGGAAATTGTGATCATTTTTTGTATTATTTTAATTGCCAAAGCTGGATATTGTACATGATTTATTTATTTTAAGGCAATCTTCGTAGTTGATCATAATTGCATCATTTAGTTGAGTATTTCTATACTGCACTGTATTATAAAAGTGCAAAACTGGCATCATGATTTTATTTTATGGGAAATAACGAATAAACTGCAATTGCCTACGTAGCCTTTGAAATGAATTTGGTGTTGTGAATATTTTGTGTACGCGTCTGCCACAAGAAAGGTTTCTCTTTCATTCTTTCTAGGCAGTTATTACCATTGAAAGATTCATTCGGTTACTCATTTTAGATTTGAGTTATTACTATCGATGTCTAAGATACATTATAACGCAGTAGCATTTCATAGGAAAGCATTGGATTATTACTGTATACGAGAAACAACGATAACGTCCATTTTAGCCTCAGATCTTCTGTGTTGGTATATGTCGTCATACAAGCATTATTGAAATGGTTGTTAAGAAGCATTTTACTCATATGTATTCATGCGGCCTTGTCTAATATATCATTCGATTGTAGTGCTTAAATTTATGTATAGATATTAATTATTATTAATAATTATGGCCTAACGTAATCTCAAGTATTACGTCATTTACATGGATTCCCAGAATTGATTATAAAGAGCACTGTAGGTGAAATGGAGGAAGATAAATATCTTTCCACGATGTCATAATTGGCAATATGACAAATGGTTGAATACTAGGTGCTAACTATAAAGACGTAATCATTCCACAGTAGTCTTCAATGCAACAGCCAATAAGTATCACATATATCATATATAACTTAAGCCATTGAATAAACGTGAATATATTGCTTCAATGTCACTTGTGGCCTTTACTGACTAATCTGATAGATTAATTGTCTAAAATAAGATTTCAATATTGTTTGAAATACTGGCTTCGATAGTTGTCTGACTTACTACTCATCTCGTTGATCATTTTAAGCGTATGTTAAACTCAAAGTTATGGTTAGTCTTGTCAACTGTGAGCCACATTAAGGACAGGAATTTTTAGCATAAAACAACATATTACTGCTTTTATTTTGTTCTCAGAAGATGATTAAAGTGTTTATAAGCTTGATAGCGGAAATTAATTTTGTTTTGATAAAATACTGTCAGCTCGTTCAGTATAGTAGTACAGTTGACATACGTCTCCATACTGATCGGTTATATAGTTCCAACCGCAGCAATTTGTAGATTAGCCTTACACATATTTAGAGAACTAGTAATAGAAACAATTACTTTTCACGTTATAATAGCGCAAGTAACTTGAGATATACAGTAAGACAAGATCGTCTAGCAGCTAGTCAAACAGGCAACAGATAGAAATGGAAAAAAGTTACAGCATATTGACAATGCTCTAATTGCAAGTAAGACCCACATTAGTTCAGTGATATCCAAGGATATGACCACTAGGAATCTTTTCGACATTACCAAGTTTCCATCTCTTTCAGCCATCCTTCCTCTTCTGGTGTTAACTTGAGTACATGAGGTGGTGGTGGTATATTTCTCTCATATCTTACACCTCCAGGACTATCAGGATGAACATAGGGATCGGGATGCTTGTAAAGGTTAAATTCTTTCATTGCTTCTTCATATAATTGGTTTGCCACCGTCATATTGGTTATATTTTTATTAGCATCGAAACGAGCTCGAATACAAACAGCTTCCCTTCTCCATTTATCTCGTTCAATAATCCATGATAGCGAATGTCTTAGGCATTGACGATAGAGTCTTGTTACACGCTGAGCGTGAGTAAGAGCAACTTCGGCCATTTTGATTGCTAACCCAAGGATTCTGGGCACTGGGCAAGCGCAATAACAAATATGGGGGAAAAGACGCAGCTTACCAAGCCATTTTTTCTCTCCACGCCATGATGATTTATACCTGCTATTCGCTACTGTATTATACACTATACTATATTTTCCACATTAGCAATCACATCAAGACTGCCAGTTGACCAGTCCCTGTCCATTCTAACCTGCCTTATGTATAGTCATGGACTACTGTATTATACACTATACTAAACTTTCTCATTTGACCAGTAGGGCCCAGCCCATATCAACTGCAGCGATGCTTGCAATGGCAGCTACCAAATCATGATCAGTCTCTCTCGGTTCCAGAGTTCCTTATTATAATGTATAGTCATGAACTACTACTGCTATGCTTGCTATGGCAGCTACCAAATCATGATCAGTCTCTCTCGGTTCCAGAGTTCCTTATTATAATGTATAGTCATAAACTACTACTGCTATGCTTGCTATGGCAGCTACCAAATCATGATCAGTCTCTCTCGGTTCCAGAGTTCGTTATTATACTGTATAGTCATGAACTACTACTGCTATGCTTTGCTATGGCAGCTACCAAATCAAGACTGCTCGTTGAGCAGTCCCTGTCGATTCCAGAGTTCTTTATTTTAATGTATAGTTATGAACTACTACTGCTATGCTTGCTATGACAGCTACCAAATCAAGACTGCTCGTTGATCTGTCTATCTCGATTTTAGCTTATTCTAATGCACAGTCATGAACTACTACTATACTTTCTACGGCAGCTACCAAATCAAGACTGCTCGTTGATCAGTCTATCTCGATTTTAGCTTATTCTAATGCACAGCATGAACTACTGCTATGCTTTCTACTGCAGCTATCACATCAAGACTGCCAGTTGATCAGTCTCACTTAACAATAGGATTGTATAGAGCAATGCCTCGAACCATAGGGCAATGTGTTTTACAACATCGTTTTGCTTTCAGTCACATAAGCTAGCCAACACGATGCACGAAATCGAGACATGAACTAGCTTGATTTATGCACTTCTACCACGATATCGACATAGTAACCAACACTTTCTATAATATACTGCATCGATAGATCTATTTCATCGATCCTTACTGTACAATGTACATACATACAGTACAGTGCATGAAAATAGAAATGCAATTACACCACTATCATTGCAGAATGTGCAAAATGACTCGTCACCCCTGCTCGTCCCGAGAATTTTGCATGTTGAAGCATGGTTCACTAGAAAATACGGTCTAACCTTCTTGTGTGCATGTCGATTTATGGAAAAGAAAGAGGATGAATGAAGATACCTGTGGACAGTGTAAAAACGGACTTTTTTTTATACAAAATAAGGTAAAAAATGTCGAAAACTACAGTAGTTAGTTACTTTATAGTTCGGATTGTTGATATACGGTTTGAAAAATTAGAAAAATAAGTCAACAACAAAATCGTTTATCCACCATACTGGCGTCGTGACGAGTAGAGGTGTTTGGAACAGTAGAGCATTTCATTTACTACCGTCACCGCAGTCTCTGAAATGAAATTGAAATGTCCGGCCATCCGAGTTCATTTCCGTCCAGTTGTCCGGTACCGTGTAGACTACTATATTACGGTAGTCGATAACAACTTGGTTGCTCTACAAGCGGCAACATGGCTGAGACCTCGACTTCGGATAAAAATCTTCAGCAAGATATTGCTGGCTGCGAAAGCGTCGAAGCATTTACAAAGGTACTTCAATCCAATTATTGAACTATTGCTATATATTACGATATAGGATGGATTCTTAGACTCATCGTTCTCTTTGGAAATTTTATAGTATAACTTGTAATAATGTAATATTGGAAGCACAGTAAGGTAGTCATTGTTACTATGGATATAGCTGAAGGGGACAGTAATGAAATGGATGCATGATGTAAAGTAGTGTTGCAATAGATTGAGTTAGTATCATATACAGTACTGCTATAAAAGATGCATTCTTGGATTCATTAATGTCTTTGAAAATGGCAATAGTACTATACTATATAATTAGAGTACTGTTGTAATATTGTGTGAATATGAGGTAGGCATACAGCGGCTACTAAAACCATAGCTGAAGGATACAGTAAAAGGATGCAGCATGTACGCGAAGTAGCGTTGGAATAGATTGAATTATTACCGTATGCAGTGGTGCTATAGCAAATGAATTCTTACATTTATCGATGTCTTGAAGAATTTCATAGTATAACGGAAGCACTGTAGTATTATATGAGAATGTCAGGTAGTCATTGTTGTTGAAGACTGCACCAGAAGGATACAAAATGTAGTAAAATAACAGTAAATATAATTTAGACAGAGAAAGATGCTAATCGATAAAGATGCTAATCGATTCTCTTATGGGTTTTACTGTCTACACCTAAACTGGATGGTAGCAAGATAAACTAAACTAATGTTATAGACTGTACCTAATGCGATTATATTTGCAAATTGTTCCAATTAATGATTAACTGGATTTCTTAGCTCTTTTGATGAATACTTAAAAAGAAGTTTAATAAACTATCGTACTGTAAATGAAGTTACGTAGTGCATATTAATAAGGCTATCATGTAAGCTTTTTCTATCTACTAATACCCGTGTACTGTATTTTTACGTAATCCTCGTCTCATATTAACAGTTAGTATTTCCTCCGCTGATCAAAGCAACACAATGTGGCAATAAGTTACCAACTGCTGGTGATGACTACGATTTTTACGCTTCTTATTCATCTTTTCAACAATTCATGCAAGAAGCTGGAGATCGTTTACTCTCCCTGTAAGTAATCTTCTCCTTAATTGGCTCTGATCCTTGGACTATTAATGCTTTCAATTTTAATTTATTTTAAATCATTATTAAACCTACTCTGGCAGCCTGTGCTAAGTAATATTTATCATTTTACTAATCGTATAATGACCACGTGTGTTGCAGCAATGGAGCATTGATTCGCCACTTAGGCCTTAATTGTAGATGGCCACTTCAGTCAGATGCTTTTGATATTGATGACAGAACCGACTCGTTAATAGACGCTAATGATGCAATATTAGAAAAAGTCGTAAGTTTGTTGATGACAATAAGCTGAACCTACTGTGCAGTATCTGTCTATGCTGTCGGATTTGTAATGCAAGTGTTGCACTAATACTTTTTACTGCTGAACAGTAAACTAATTCAGAATGCCTTATTAGGATCTACTAATAGATGAAGCTCAAGGTATCAAAAGAAATGTTGAACCGATGATTCCTGCCAACTCTAATCAAAATTATCCTAAAATCGCTAGTTGGAACACAAAAAGGGTTTGTTAACCGACAGTAAACAAAATCTGCTATCGCACTTTAGTTTTATATATACTCGTGCATTTCCTAAATTGGTTTAAATGCGGAAAATTTCTTCTACAGTACAGTACATAGTTAATTATCTAATCCTACGTACGTATACAAGACCATTCTACAGCTTGTTAAGCCTAATCCTAGCATCAACTTGCATATTCGATTTCCTTGATAAGTTACGATTTCGAACATTCTTACACAGGATAAGGTCAGAGCCATGGCGGAAAACTTCAAATTTCTACATGCTAAGAATATTCAAAGACCTCAACTACAGTTCAAAACGAAAATCGATAATTCAAGCTCACCCTTTATACCAAAACTGAAATGCAAGCCGAATGCCCTTGTGCCATTACCTAAAGGTATGCCACTGCTATGACAGCGTCAGTGTACGTATGCCTTTCGTAGTATTTTTAATCTTAACATTGAAGTACGAATAAGATAAAATACATAATGGCAATACCATGAGTAACGTCATAATTGTATTTACACTGGTTAGAGTACATGGAAGATGAACAAACTGCACGCACCGACAAATTCTCTTCGAAAGTGATAAAACTAGATCCGGAAGCTGAAGACGATAACGTAGATGGCCAAGAATCCAGGTAAAATCTTCTTGATAATGTTATCAATAAACAAAATGGTCCTGGATTATTCTCTGTCTGGCTAATATTAAATTTATGATTTATGGAATTAGACACCCCTATCGGTACGAAATTAAACATTTACAACCTATGGATTGGCAGCTGAAATCAAAAAAGCCTATGGTATATATTAGTTAATGTATCTGCTTGCTACTGCATTGTTATCATGTCTTCTTCAATATTACAAATACTTCTTCAATTATAGATGTATCTTCCACTTGATGAAACCCCGTTGAATGTAATTACCGAAAAGGATGAATTAAAAGATTTGTTGGAAACATTAAAATCTGTTACTGAATTTGCTGTTGATTTGGAGGTACTATTTAAAGATTATTTGTATAAGACAGAATTAGTAAATTATCACATTATAATGCGCCTATTTTAGGGATGTTTTATTTATATCAAAATTATTTTCTGGAAAGCATCATAGTTATAGGTCATATCAAGGCTTTGTATGTTTAATGCAAATATCCACACGTGATGCGGATTACATAGTCGATACTCTTGCACTTCGAAGTGAATTATGGACATTAAACGAAGTTTTCTCGGATCCAAAGATTATCAAGGTTTTAACGACAATTTAAATAATGAAAATTCTTATCAGGAATATTATCTGTTTTGGTATAAAGATATTAGGGTTTATTCTTCGATGATTAAAAATATTGTATCTTAGATTTTGCATGGAGCTGACAGTGATATTATCTGGCTGCAACGAGATTTTGCTATCTACGTGGTTAACATGTTTGATACTGGGCAAGCAGCTCGACTTCTACAGTTTCCTCGCTTTTCTTTATCATATTTACTTTTAAAATACTGTAATGTAACTGCAAATAAGGGATTACAGTTAGCAGATTGGAGAATTAGGTAAGATTTAATGTTGCAAGGGCCTTACGTGTACATTAAACTAAAATATTGTAACTGATGCAATCAGTATGGTAGTTGAGTGAACTGTTGTACGTTACAGGCCTTTGCCTCAAGAGATGGTCCAATACGCACGAGAAGATACCCATTACTTATTGTACATATTTGATGTCCTTACAAATGAATTAATGAATGCTTCGACGTCAGTGGATTTGTTAAAATCAAATTTCGACAGAAGCAAGAAGATTTGTTTACGCGTAAATAGCAGATTAATCCATTAAACTTTGATAGTCTACCTGTTATGGCTATGCTTGAAATGATTCTTGGCAAGTAGATTTTATGGAAATAAATCTTCTTTTACTACCTTTAGACTTACGAAAAGCCGGTTTTTAATAAAAAGTCTTATTTGAATTTATTATATAAGCATAAAGGTCGCTTTAATCATCAGCAAGTAAGAGGGGAATCAACTTATTTATCATTCTTCAATTTTCTGTCTAACCTTGGATTATTTAATGTAAAATTTATCACATTTTATATTGAGAAATTATTGGCTAATGTTGTATTTACGGCGTGCTTTTAAAACAGAATTATGCATTTGCAAAGCTGTATTCTTGGCGCGATAGTGTTGCTCGAGATAATGATGAGAGTGCAAAGTAGGCCAACTATAGTTATGCACGATGGATACTTTTTTATTATTATTTTCAATTCGATAAACTTTTATACATGTTTCTTTCAGCTTTGTCCTTCCAAATCATATGCTGCTACAAATTGCAGAAAATTTACCAAGGTTAACATTCACTCTTTCTTCATTTTGCCTTTTATTTATCATACTGTACATACAATATATATATATATACATCTGATCTACAGAGAGCCTCAGGGAATATTAGCTTGCTGTAACCCAATTCCGACTTTAGTGAGACAGTACATAGGAGATATTCATCAGATTATCAAAAAAGCCCGAGAACGAAGTATCAATGAAGTAATGTAAAATTATTGCAGTACTTTTATTTAATATTTGTAAATTTCTGAGATTAGTACTTAATAATAACTCTTTTTGCTGATAGGATTTGGATGAATTAGGTGATACAGGTGTACATAGCAATTCTGAATCCAAAGTCGCTTTTTCTAATCGAGAAAATATATTTGAACAGCAGGATATAAACGGTTAGTTTTACATGGCGAGTGATGCTAATCACTTTATAACTTAATTAGTATGTTTAGATATCACCTATAGCAGTAACGATTATTGAGAGCATTGATGGAGAGGTTTACATCTTGTAACCTGCATCTCTTTTAGAACAAAAATTATCGATTGAAGCGGTTGGCCCGGCTGTCACCGTCTTAACCACCCCATCCTTACAGCAGTTAGACTGGACGTCAAATAAGGTACTACATAATATAGAATTGGAGCTACAGTGAGATGTAAATAGCCATGGAGGTTATTGTAAAATATGCTTCTTTAGGACATGAATCAGGACATGAAACACAAAATTACTTCGATACTAAATTCATTTCCGAACCCTTTCGATAGTGTAGGTGTATCATTGCTGCTAAGATTTTAGTTTGAGTAGCGGAGGTGTACTTCAGCTTATTTCGGTTATTGGTATTTCTCAATATAGGTGTATCACTTCAATAGCAGCAATCCGGTTTTTGTTAAATCTAGCGATCGCTCAAAAATAACTGGTAGCAGTTCTCATCAAGAATTGTACGTTTATTGCAATATAACGTAGATACTGAATAATATTTTTAACTGATATTAATGTTTACTTTAGTCATCAGAAAATTTCTCATGACAGTAGTAAAAGTGATGGAGTTGAATGTGATGCTACATCCATTGAAAATTTGGTAGAAACAACGAAAGGTAAATAACTTATAGAGCTGATTTCTTAATTTGTTTATTACTATTTTGGATCACGATACCATCTATAGCTAGTGCTAGTTGCTGATCTAGAGGCAAATGGAATGTCCTTGTAATTCGTACGTAAATTAATCGCGGTACAATTTTACCATAATATTAAACTATCTTTACTGTTGCAACTTTCAGGCCAAAAACGGTCTCCAGAAGATATTATCTCTGAAGAAATTAAAGCCATTCGACAGAAGGTAAAAATTTTCCCCATGGGTATTGAGCAATAAAATTTGTTCTTTAAATACATTTCTTGAACAAGGATTAAATTTATATATTTTTTGATATTATAGAAACGCAAGAAAAATAAGAATTATAAAACCCTGCTGACTAGCCAAGAAGAACAGTTTACGCCATTTGATTACTCCAAGTCTTCTGACAAGTTATTTAGTAAGGATGTCATGATTGTAGAAGATATATGAGCTAAAGCTATTGTTGCGCTATTAATATTAATGAATTATTTTGAAGATTAGGAATTATACTCGATTGTAATAATTCGAATTTAAAAATATTATTTTAGGTAGTGAGCCATTAAAAACTGAGCCACAGGAAATGGTAAATAATGCTAAGGCCTATGATCCGAACCGAAGAAATAAAGCTTCAAAATACGCTAAGGTACGTATACACTTTTCTGTCTCTTAGAAAGACTTGATATTTTGACATTTTCCTTTGAGATAGTATAGTCGTGGAGTATTAATAGACTGTAGTATTGAACGTTTGTTCCCTATACTGTATACCCTTAATAACAATAGAAAGTTGCACCGCGTGGTAAAATCAAGAGTAAAATGGGCCAACGCACCGTGACCTTCAAACAAGGACCGTCACAGTAAGATTAATTATCCTTTCAGTGATACACAATAAGATAAAAATTAAATTTTTTGAAATTTTTATTTATTATTGAAGTAGGTCAAACAGTCAAGTGTTCTGGCCGAAGCGCTGACCAATTCCAGTAGATATTTTTAGATCGATGACTATTTGCTACGGTAGTAGCCAAAGTTATGGAGGGTAGAATTACATTGCTAACATTTGTAATCTTGTGTAAAGATTTCGATATAACAATATTAATTTAAAGCATTGTAAATAGCCCTACGACGATATTCAAATCCGAAAAAAAGTCGTTATAATCTGTATGAAGTCATATAACCAGATAATTTTATAAATTAAATGCTTTTACAGAAAGTACTTTACTTAATAAAGCTGTTATATATGTTACATCAATGACTGTGTCACATGAAGCCGTTGTCAATGCATGAAATGTTCTTACTGTACTTTCCATTATTCAACTTCGATAACTCGTACTGTGTTCGAGCTAAATTGTGCCAAAGTTAGTAATCGCTCTAATCCAAGTATATTACCATTACATGACTAACGATCTGTAATTATTGTTCAAATAGCATACAATACGGACTAGAATAAGACCGCTGTATATCTGTAGAGCGAAAATGATTATAGCATTATCCTTCACAAATACTCGTGCGTAAAGACAAATCAATCACTGCACTAAAAGAGATATAATCAAAAATCTGAAAAGTTTTTTCAAAGAGCTTAACAGCAGTCATCAATGGGTTAAATGATATTGATAAATTGTTCTACTATAATTCATAGAAATAGGATGTCAGTAGATTCTGAATTTAGTTTGTAAAGAATATACAGTAAGAAGAACAAGAGTCAACACTTTAGTGCAGAATAAAAGATGCCGTGTAGTATAGATGAATACTATCGAAATCCAGTGATTGTAATTTTGTTATGAATGAAAGAAAAAATGTATAAGAAAGTGTTTAACAGAAATGTATCGCACTTAGGTAAAATTAATAAGAATATGTGGAAGTTAAATGGCCTCTCCTTGAAAAACTGTATTAATACATAATATTAGTACAGTATATAAAATTGATTATTTTTAACCTAAATTCATAAATTGGCAATCACGACAAAGACAATAAAGTTTTATATCTACTAGACAGCAGTTTCAACAGATAGCGGACCTTCGCGATGCTCATCATGGTGGCGTCTGTTATCATTATGATGGTGATGATGCCCAGTTCGATGATGGTGATGTCGGTTGTGGTGGTGCGAATGGTGATGATGATGATGATGATGATGACCACGATGTTTGCGTCCTTGTTCATCATCGCTCTCTGATTCAGAACTGCTAGTACTACTTTCGCTACTGCTGGAATCTATTGCAACTGGAGTGTGATGCAATAATTTAGGACCCATTAATACAATAAGAGCTGCTCCTAAAGGGGCTGTGATTAAGATACTTAAAACTGCAATGGTTAAAATAACGTTCCCACGACGAAGGTCATCAGGATCATTGCCCCTTAATCTAGCAGTATCCAGGGCAATAGATCCAATAGCTGCCTGAACTGTTGCTTTAGGTAGCCAAGCAATTGCTACGAACAATTTCTCTTTCCATGCAAGATCGTTATGTGATACACCAATGTAGGTAACTACGACCCTAATTGCTAATCCAGCAGATAACACAGCGAAACCTATTCAAAACAACAGTAGTAGTAATTAACTTAAAAACGATGGACTTTAAATCACATCTAGTAATCGGCAATTGGTATGATATATTTTATAGGTAATATTGCACATGAACAACAACGGTTAACAATGTATGTGCTTGTGAAAAAAATCGAGTCAGGGCCGAGGAGATTTGTTATTCTTGTATGGTACACAGACAGTATAGGTTCTTATCGTTATAGATCATGCTAAATACAATTTTTAAACTTACTTCCTCCAATAATACTACCAGTAAGAAAATTAATATCAACTTCAGCTCCAATTAGACCAAAGAGAATTGGCTGAAATAATTGCCATAGAATGTCAATGCTATGTTCAACTGTTTCTTTAGTAGTTCTCCATTGCATAGCAGCTACAAAAGAGCAAACTAAAGCTGCCAGAGCACCTGCACCTGTTAAAATATTTCATATTGTAAAGCATATCATTAATAATCAATCAAACAGTCGATAAATTGAAGTAAACTGTTCTATCTACATTCGTAGTATGATCAAACGCTAAATTAAATTGTTCCATTTGATACTGTTCCTACCTGAAAATTCTACAGCACGACTACCAAATATAAATAAGTTATTAAGACTCAGCAATAACACAAATCGATTTCGTGATACGCCATCTTCATCATTGTTAGGGAAGAACCAACAGACTATACCGGCTACTACACCGAAAGCAATTCCTACTAATATCTCCACCGGACCACGAAATATGTTAAATATGATGTCGCCTGTCAGTCAATCATAAAGAGAAACTTAACCATGTCGTTGGATAACCTTACGCGCATATTAAAATTATTGAAATAGTCCACACTCTCTACTACCAATTCTATCATATAATTTTTTTTTACACATTTACTGTAGCTTCGATAAAGACGTGCAATTTAACTACGGTACCTGTAGAAAAAGCGATACCAAGGAAAACTCCAAAGCCACTGATGGCAAAAACATCATCGATCGATGCTGCGGCAATAACCAATGTGGGAATCCCCTTATTGACACCATAACCGCGTTCTTGTAGTGATAATAAAGTCGGAATGACTACAGCAGGTGAAACTGCAGCCATAACAAATCTAAACAGTATTACAGTTACAAATTAATTGTGATATACGCGTCAATTATATATGTATATCGCTCTAGATATTCAACTATTGCATAGGATCGGAAATTACCCTAGCATAATTCCCCAAAGCCACGGTAAATCCATCACGTATCGAGCAACAATTGCATCTACTACAGTTTCGCATATGCAAGGAAGGAATGCAACACGTAAAACAGTAAATTTTTGATGGATTAGAGCTTTCCAGTCCAAACCTAAAATACACGAAAGTAATGTTGGAAAGGAAAGTATTAAAATATTACTCAACCAGTAATTGCAATTTAGCAAGCTAGTCTTTATTTGATACTGAATGCATTACTTTACGACGTAAAATTTATAATTATTTCAATAACATCCAATGGATATACTATACTGTATACAGTATCCAGGGGAGGAGCTGTGTTACGACTGAAAATTCTCAAATAGCAAAATAGTGCTAGGTTATTTTTGACTGATTGATTGATTTGTGCCGATAGCCTTTTTTAGAATACGGGGATTGTTTATACTGATATGAAGCAAGAATAGTAATGTCATGTACGGCGGTATGATGTAGAAATGTTTAGTATGTGTAGAATACGATAATTCAATTGCCAAGCAATCGCTTATACGTGGTTAAATAAAGCATCATCCAATTCAGCAATAGGTCAATAAATGATGATTGTATATCAAATTACACAACAACTGCTATCTAGCAATCAATATCGAGAACTAATATCGTCTAATTTCAGCAAATAAAATACAGTTCAAAGTAAAGTTGGATGTCTATCGTACTGTATGTCGTAGAGTGTGTCATGGCATAAAAAACTGGATCAATGCCAGCACGTTAGTAAATAATGGTATGTAAGCTTTTAGAATCGTTGGCCATACTGAAAACAATTTAAAACTACAGGATACCGAGAAAGGAATGTAGAAAACTATGCGGATTGAATATGGATACTGTATATTGAGATTTAAAATAGTTTTAGTATACGCAGCTCATTTAGACTGCCTGAACAGGATGGCTAAGAAATGATACCACTCTCGTGAAATATTAAACAACATGTTCAACTGCTGCATTCAGCAAAGGAATTGCGAGCAATTATGTGTACTGTACTTTAGAATGATAACAACAGTTATTATTACTGCAATAATGAATCAATTACAGTATTGTATAGTCAATTATACTTTACTTTTCTCTTTTACAGCCGTATACTGCATGGATAGAATTCTAGCTAAAACAAGAATATGCATATACTGTACGCTAACTAGTGCTAAACGATGCATTCCTTCAATTTTGTATAATTTTCTCTTGTACTCAAAATTATTTTAGGCATGTACCGCATTTACAGAATCTTTCACTACAACAGAATAGTCTTTCTTCCACTAAGAATTATAGTCTCATACAGTAGAAAACTACAGTATTGTAGTAGAAATCAGAGTTGGATTGCATCTTCAATTTTGGATTATATGTAAGCGATAAAGCAAATCAGCCAATAAATAATAGAGTAAAGTACTGTACATTCATTCAGTTCGATCACATTCTAATCGACAGTGCAGCGTTAATTTATCCACGCTTGTAAAATAGTACGTAACAGTAGATAACTTGTTGGTGAAAATCAATCCAAGTAGTAGATATGTATGATCATAAAGCATGAGATGAGTAGAACATCCATCGGATAAGCACATTACTGTACAATCTTTCATATTATAATTCGGTAAAGGGACTACAGCTTGAAAGGGTAGTTCACAACGATATGCAGTTTACAAAAGAGTCGTTCTATTCAACGTGAAGTACTGTATTAGTTTTTTTTTGGACATCTCAACCTCACCCCATGTTTGCGTACAGTTGAACAACATTTACTGACGAAAAATTGGCACACTCTTTTCTCGATTTGAATGATTTTGTTCAACTTCCATCCCCTTTCATACCATTGGCAGACAATTGGAGTCGCCGATGGAAAATTCACGATGCAATTTTTTTCCCCTCAGTACGTCTTATCGTGCGGCAAATGGCAATCTCTAGTCATCATTTTCGATGTAACTTGCTCAACCAATAGTAGTAGGAATGTTATTTCCATGGTATTTGATTGCGTGTTTACTGATCTGTCTTTAGTAATAGGTAACAATTAAACTGTCTATGCATTGCGCAAAACAGACATTTACTAAATATTGATCTTTTGGATTGATATTATTGATCGTCATTATCTATCATTGTCGTCCATAGAGTACCGTATAAAAGAGTCCTAACCAGTAAACGATCGATTGATCATTCTATAATTTACATAATTAATCGGTCCAAGCGATTGAATGATTACGCAACGGTATTAACGAATTTTAAAATAAACGTTGCAAGAATAAGAATCCATCTCGATTTTACCAAATGAAGCAATGGAAACTATCGTATTGCTGATGAAAGTGAACTGTGTGACAAAAGTTACGATACATTAATTTATGTATTATTCAAGAGTGAAAATTCTGATTGTGTGTCATGATCTTTGCAGGTAGAGAAAAAAATTGAACAGCATCATCAAATAAGACGAACTACTCGGTTCAAATTGCTCATCGCGATACATGACCTACTTACTGTATCGTATGTCTTTTAAAAGTGTAAGCAATATTATTGATTGGTATATGGAGTTGATAGTATTGACAAAAGTAGACAAAAAACAAAGTGCGAATAAAATAGCCGTTTGCCAGTTGCCTGCTATATGAACAAGAAATGGTCAAGGCATTGCCTAGGCGTGAAGTAGGTAGGACGGACATCCTCTAGCCATAATAATAATAATTAGAGTACAGTAAATTAGTTGTCAAATTAGTTATCCATTTCTTTTCCAGTGTCATCGATTTACAGCCATGAATACTATGGAGACAGTAGAGTTGGATTTTTTGTTGGACTTTCACTGGATTGAGAACAATCTCAAATGTTGTGAAAGTTTGCTTTGCGTCACTTTCACACTCATACTATAGCCTTAGGTCGTTTTAGGAGCAATTACCAGTTTTTCTCCATTTTTTAATCACCATTATATTCAAGGGATAAGATGAAGATTATTTACTAGCTATCAATCAGTTTATCATCATGTCCTAAGAATCAAGGGTCAATCAACGATTGGTGTTGATGAGGCCAAAGAAGAGCATGAAAAGTCTGGATAATATTGTATTTAGTGTTGTATAGCATGAAAGGCCTGGATCATGTTTTATTATCATTGATGAAACCAACAATAAATAGTTTAGAGTTGATGGCATTCAATAGGAACAGAAATAGAATGTTGTAAGGGAAGAGTTGCTTGACCAACTCATTGATGACACGATCAACATTGCTGATGATGTGACCATCTCTAGCAATTGATGATGCCATGAGATAGATTTGAAAGAAATGTTTTCTTAATCAAGCAACTCTTGATTGTTGGTCATTAAATGGAGAAAAACAAACATGGATGAAATAGATAGCAAGGAGTTGACTTGACGTCTTAGGACTGCAGTTGGACATTATTGATCAAGTGAGATAGATGGAAAGAATTGGTTAAGGGGATAAAAAAATGGTAGGAGTGGATGGATGCCTTTGGTTAAGTCATGGTCTATCGATCTATTTTACTGTAGTGTACAGCATGTCAACTGTGGAAAGTAGAGTATGAGGGGAAAAAGTGTTTTAGGCCTTGAAATTGTACCATAGTCTTATCCATTGGATGCTATCAAGAATGTGGATATCATTATCACTGACTGAACGAGGCAGGCGTCCAAGTTGATGAACAACTAGGAGCGAACATATTGGATTATAGAATTAAGGATAAAAACGATGATGACGCTAATCATCAATGCAGATTATTGATGGATTGGATTAAGGAATATTTTAATTGCATATCATTTGTTGCACTTCAGTCATACCTAATCCCGCTCGTGTTAGAATTACGGCTAAAGCCATGGCTCGCAGTGTACCCGACCATTTTGGATCGATACTTTTAGCAACATTAATTGTGGGCGCATTACGCAATGTAAAGCCAACCACCAACATGCCAAGCAATGCTGGACCTTTCAATTTGGCTACAATAAATCCACCTAAAGCTGAAGCGGTTATCACCACAAATAAGGAGAAGATATTACCACCTGGTAACGCTTCCTTGCCCAAGATAGACCATAATAAGCCATAAGCAATAGCGACTTGTAGAATTCGTGTTAAGATACGAGCCAATTTTCCCGATGGTGGTGAACAGATCCGATTGCTGCTAATAGAACCGGAGTAGTTTTTATTATCGTTGATTTCAGCCATTGGATCAATGGATTGAATGATGACGACAATGCAAATAATGAATTTTTCCAATTTTTTTTTTTTCCAATCTTGAAGGGTAGTTAGTGTATCAAAGCCACTTTGTCAAGAGAATGATCGTCTGGTTGTCGATGGAGGGTAATTTTTTGCACACACACACACACACACTAGTATATCTCGACCAAGTTGGCGATAATAGTGATCGGCCAAGGCATGGATGGTTAGCGGAAAAATGAACGAACCAATATTAATGTTGTGTCGTGTGATGGCAATGTGGACTGTCTTGTTGTGGCCAAAATCGATCACACTGGGGCCTACAATGACTTTGGATTATACCTGATCCTTTCGTCTAGTCCACGCGTTATCCAAAGGCATCCAACTCTTCTACTTGAACTCTTTCCTACTAATAATCCTTGCTGCAATGATGAAAAGCGATCGATTGGACGCTATTGCATCACCAATGGCGAGCAGAAGTAGTGTTGAGAATTGTCATGCTACAGTATGTCCCCCGATCGTCTTTTGGAGGCGATTTTCTAGTCCAACCACAGGCCAGGCTGGTACCAGTCTGATGCCTGTCAGTCAGGTTAGCGTTGGACACGAGACAGTACAGTAGACGGACGCATTGTACGCTGGAGTACTGTGGACTGTACACTGTAGAGGGCTACAGTGTACAGTACTGGGCTGGACATTGCCAGTACTGTAGCAGTGTCACTCTCCGTGCCTGCCAGTCCTGGTACCGGTACTGGTCTTGCTTGGACATGGACTCGACTCTCGTCTTGAAACGTTTGTTGGACTTGTTGAAAAGGCCAGCGAACCAAGAGTACAGTACTAGAAAGAGTGTATTCAATCCTCGATATGCACTGTACTGGAAGACGATTGGACGCTGTTACCCTACTACTGTACTGTCAACAACAATGAAATAGAGTCCGTCTGTCAGGTCTGCTGAGTGAGTAGTTGGTGCCACTGAGTCACCTTTCTTTCAACACAGCAATACAGTGTACGGTACTCACATGACAAGTTCTCGTACTGTACACTGTACACTGTACAGTAAAAGAGAATACTGTATACGAGAATAGCAAAAGTTGCTTGAATCATTGCTTACCCCCCTCAACTGAGATATTGACAATGACACACCGATCATGTTGAAAACATGATGTCAATTGACATACTTTTAGGCGTTTTAGCACTCGCGCAAGACCAATTGACGCAACGTCCAACTCCATTGTACTATACTGTACAGTACATTGTACAGTACATTGTACAGTACATTGTACAGTACTGTACTGTACTGGACTGTACTGTACAATGTGCTGCACAATCGACGTCAACCGAAATCCCTCTCACCACAGCAACTGTAGTGCTTCCATTCAATGAAAATTGTCCCAACGTCTTATCCATGTACCATGGATTCGTCCATTTCCCCATAGGGGTCCGATATCAGCACACCAGCTCTTCATTCTTCATCATTGATTTCACCCTGGTAGTAGACTGTAACATACTGCTCCAAACCAACTTGGCAACATACAGTATTCGCACATCATTTCCATGGCAATCGTCGACCGTCAGCTCACCAGTCACCAGCGCTTCATTCTTCATCAGTATTCGCTCATCATTTCCATGGCAATCGTCGACCGTACAGTCCGTCAGGCCTATCTGTAGGTGTACCTGACCACTGGCTACACGCGTCGATACTGGTAGACTGCCGTACACAGAAATAGTGTTGTTAATTTACTATTAGTAACTACCAAACAAGGATAACCAATCATTCACAAACTTCATCATCATTCTCAAAATGAATTACAATCAATCAATCAATTGAATTGATCGAATATCAATACTCACTCCTGTATTGATATATGCATACATTATGGATTGATTGGTTTCTGTCATGAATCGACATTAAAATAGAAAATGAAACTACAGTATCTACTATGATGATCAAGCTTTCAATCAAATTTGACTTTGAAACAAACTGTATTGAAAATAAACAACATGCAATCAATTTGAACTCAAGGCATCCATTCTTTCCCAATCATCATACTGTACATTGTACAATTGTGATGCATAGCATAACAGCACTACTGACAACCTTAACATTTGTATGTCAGAGATGACAAGATAATATTCACGCAGCTTGCTACACTCAAGAATTGACTTTGGAAATGTAACCTATTTGACAATACAATCACTGAGCTAAGGTAACTAAGGTCCATGAAGTCATCGATCAAGTGGTATACGATAAAAACTGGACAATAACCAATAGATCGCTAGGCGAGGAGAAAGCAATTTCTTGCAATAACGCTATCTTTCGGTACAGCTGACATCAACACACCGATACCCATTCAAATAATGCTTTGAACTATTTTTGAGGCTGACATAATATCCTTTCTTTCTCATGCTGACTATATCAAGGACAATAACAATATAATATTTCTCTCAACAAATAAAGGTATACGCGTACTTTAGTGCCATGGGAAAATGGATCCAATCGCTTTTTTTACCGATATCCAATCCTTTCTTTCTCATGACCGACTGTAATCAAGAATAACTACTGTATACAATACTTACAATAACGGTATAGTGCACAATACTTCTTCCCATAAATAAAGATATGCTTCAGCACAGCGGAACTAAATACAGTGCACCGGTAATATTACAAAATTGATTGAAGCATTTGTTATGAATACAATATCGCTTCTTTCTTATTGTTGACAGTAAAAAAAATGAAAAGCAAAATAGAAAATGTAATTTATAAACGCATCATCACAACGCTCTTCAATAGTATGATGAGACGACTACCAATAATTTAAAAATTATTATACCCATTTCTAACGGAATGCCTTCTTTCAAACAATTCAGTAAGACTGCAATCCTTTCTTTGCATAGCATTAGAAGTGGCGAGTAAAAGTATCAATAATGTTGTTCAGGAAGAAATTGAATCGATACGCCGATCATTTAATTATATACGAGGATATACAATTTTTTCTTAGATTCGTATCATAATTCTCATATTAAATTGATATGAATGAAATCCAATCATGCAGGTGAAATAATACCGATATAGTGGAAAGGCGACATTCATAGTAATATAAACAATTGGTTGAAGTGAGTAATAATATGATGGGCATCTTAATAATAAATCTACTAAAGCATCATTTATCATTCTAGTTGCAAAAATAAACTATTTTCATGAAAGATACTTCAATCACACCTAGTACAGCCAAATATGCACCATGTATTCAAGAATAACACACCTATTTTTAATGAATTATTTACGGTTCTTAGAGTACGCTACCCTTGATGCTGTTGTTCATCCTATCATTACCAGTAAGACATATGTGTACGGTGAAAATGAATCGTGCAGCTGTACTGGATTAGTTTAGAATATCGTTATAGAATACTTTTTGAGCTATATTTACGGGAACGATGACAAGTTTACATACGGAGAGTCGTCGCCTTTATGACCAAATTTATGCCAACTAATTTTCTATGCTTAATGAATGCACGGCATATAGATGAATTCAAAGTCTTGTCATATCTGTAATGATGAAATATAATTTTCTACCATTTTATGATATGAATTTGTCTACTATAGAGTATGATATCCTTTATAAATGTGTCGCAATATGTGAAAGTTCAATATGTAAATGTAAGTAAGATGCAGTTACTTGAAGGAAAATAAAAAAAAGCATTGGCCTTCCGGCCTTGGTATTTTCTAAATGCTATGGGTGTTTTAATAAAACGATGTTTCTGTATTAGCGGAGCAAAGTTCACACCTGTCGTATTCCGCATGTCTAACCTTAAAAGTAGATTTAAAGTTGGAATTGAATAATTCTCTTATTTGCCTATTTCGTCTGGATATATATGAAAGTGAAATTTATAATTTTATCAATCGGATCGATCAGTCAATATCTAAAAAATGTAAATTAAAATATTGGATTAGCTGCAATGATACGTATTATGTATTAAGTGACAAGCCCTGTCGAGTCTCACGCGAATCCCCAATGAATAGGCAAAATTATTTTTTTCTTTATTTTTATGTCAGCTCTTTCTAGATATCTTATTAACTTTATATAATATATACATATATACACATTTATACTGCTAAGAGCTCTGTGATATTACAGCATCTATATATAGTAGCCAAATAATTTGAATACATCTATACGAGCATATCTAAATTATAATCAAAATTTTACACTGCTGTAAACTGATTAATAATGACTGTGTATATTAGCAAAATTAATATTTTTCTTGACATATCTGAAAGATTGCTACCCGAAAAAGGTCAAAATAGAATATCCCACAGGCACTCATGATTATCATGCAATCACAAATACTATCGTGGTATAAAACAACGTAAATATTAATCTACTTCGGATATACTTTCCGATAATTAGTAAGAAACTACCGTATCATGGGAAAAGATACCATTTTTCCGTAGTACTGTACTATATAGTACTTGCAAAAGTATCCGCCCAATGCGGTATTTGTACAAGTCAAAAAGTTCCAAAATTGTATCTTAATGAGTGCTTCAATTTCTCAACATCACTAGATACGAGTATCAAATAAATAAAACAACATGCGATTGATTAATTTATTTTTGTAATGCGAAGTGATATATGTCATAAGATTCTACCTGTACTGTACTTAAGTCTACGATTTTTTAAATAAATACTACACTCTATAGTATACAATACTTTTTCTGAATACGTTAGAATACTGTTCACGAGCAAAAGTTCGCTTTTTATATACCGAAGAGATACATCAATCACAGCATCATTATTATTCCATATCTTATATATTCCCTGCTTACATAGATTATCTTGCAGCATGGTATACTGATCTGAGAATAAGAATCACTAGGGATAATGTAAGGTTAACGTATACATTAAAAGACAATTACATTTAAGCTAATTGTATTCGATTTAGTTATAATTCTACTATCCGTAGGAATAAATACTGTAATATCAATAGTAATGTGATTAGTAACTATCTTAATTAAATGAGTGAGGAATATGGAAATCAAGTTATTGCCTAGATGCCTTAAATACTAGGCTGATTTCAAATTTTTACCCTGCACTGTCAATTCATTGATAATGAGTATAGTTTCGCCTATTTATGGAATTCTAGTGCACGAGCATATGCGTACTACTGATCGTATACCTAGATTAACGTTGATCAGATCCAAGATTATGGTGGTTTAGTCAGATTATGAGCATATTCAATGGTATAAAATTTTGTTCAAAATAAGGATATAATAATATCTTAATAGATACCCTGTGAGCAATAGAGAATGGAAAAGAGAGATGCGTAATAACCAGCTTAAGTTATAGCCTGAATGTTAGAAGTACCTTTCCGATCTATGTTAAGCTAACGTCAGTGCCATAGAATTCAGTTCAGAATAAAGATACTACTGTATAATATCACAAACAAACTCCGTGAACGATAGAGTACCAACAAATGTGATAAAATACAAAGCATGGGTATACCGTTTAACATAAAGATTACTTTAGCTAGTTACAAATTTCAACGCGCCATTTCTTAAATCTTTAAAATCAGAAATTACCCATATTGCTATTAACTAATAACTATCTATCGCTACACAGTTACTTTTAAAATTCAACTGAACTTTGATATCATTATCAAATCTACTATATTATAGACTGGATTAAAAAATTAATTTTAAAATTAGTAATTTCCCAACAGCTTCACGGTATAGTGTACATTAGTGGCAGCCTCCTGATATAATTTTAGAAGGAATTCTATTTACTAAAAAGTCTACTGTACTATTGAAAAATACCCTAAAAATAAAATAAAGTAGAATAAAGTATTGCAGTAGAAAGAAATATAATATGGATTGTTACAGTAACAAAACAATCCTCGTAAATTACAGATTTCCAACATATAATTTCTTAAGCAGTTAAAGTCTGAATTTATGTTATGATCTACCATTGAATATTTAAATGCAGTATCTGCAGATTGAAAATTTTGAATCCAATTGAAATTAATTTTTTAAATTTTAATTTCAGAATGTATACTGTGTAGATACCGTCAGACATTTTGGTTTATAATAAAATACGTTCAGATTACAAACCGCGAATTTTAGAAATATTTAGATAGTGATTACTCAAGAATGACTAGTGTATTCGTATACGCGTATTCGATAATAGTATATATTATTGTAGGCATAATTATTATATCAATGCTGTTAACTCACAATCAACTGCAATGATACTCCGACATGTGCAAGCATTCAAGTATGGTACTATCCATGAGGACAAACGAAGATCAGCCAGTATTTGATCAATATTAACGCGAGGTAGTTTCAATATATTTCATTTATGGTGCTTTTTAAAATCGGCAACTTTATTAAAATCTTGCGTAATATTATAAAGATCATTGGTAAACTACTGATAATAACCGCAATAACAATTATTCCACTTAAAAGCTACCAGTCTACATTTAATTCTACAATTATCTTAATCCTTGTAATTAAAAAAGGTATAATTATTATTATTATTATTATTATTATTAAGAATTGGGTTAATGTTATTGGAATATTAAAAGTAATTTAGTTTTTGATGCCGTTGCTATTCTGGAATATTATAAATTGCGTATAATTTTATCTGACGTCTTTACGTGCATTGAAGCTAATCGATCCACAAAATTTTTTAAGGGCTCGCGTAACTTTTCTCCTTTTCCATCGGCGGATTTGATGTTGGAAACTATCGTATCAAATTCCTTCATTACATATTTACTTGCTCCTTCATTTTCTTCGAATTCATAAGCATGTGTGTAGATGCGTGCTGAAATAGAAAATAATATTTTTGAGTTACTTCAATTACAAAAAAATCTAGCTATCATAACTTGATACTCATGGGTAGGTAAAAGTATAAAGCGACTGTAATTGTACTCTAAGATTTTGATAGCAAAATTAGAATAGTTTCAATTCATCTTGTGCTTTTTAATGTATAACCTTAACAATTTCCAAATAAGCACCGTAAGTCAAATATCAATTTTCGTTACTTAAACTAAAAAATTGGATAATCATTAATTATATCTTACTTGGATCCATTTCTTCGCGGTCTTGCTCCATTCCTTCACCTTCACCTTCTTGTCCTTCATAACCCTCTTCACCTTCGCCTTCTGGACCTCGTTCACCTTTATATCCTGGTGGTGGTCCTTCTTCTTCTTCTTCGTTTCCTTGTGCTTGTTCTAACTCAGGTTCCATTTCATCGGTAGTTAATCTATTGATCAGTGACTTTTCATATCGAGTTCTACCTCGCATCCGGATAGCTTCTTTAGCTGATTGCAAAGTGCCATCAATTAATCCTTTGTATAAGCGGAAATCTTCCATAAAACGATTAACACGAGCTTGATGTTCAGTATTGGCCATCTTGACTGCAAACGAGTATCGAATGCCTTTGAAATCATGCGCGGGTGGTCTTGCAGAATGTGGTATGGTACCTTGAAAGATCACAACTCGGCCATATCGAGGTCGAACTTCAGTTACAAATTCGCTAATATCGGAATTATTAGTCGTGTAAGCAGTTTCACCTCCATAGGAACTTTTCCAGCCAGGATTTAAGTAGAGTAAAAATGTCCATTCATCAGCAACATCCGCACAATCTGTATGGATTTGAGTGTGATCAGCACTTCGTATCATATTGCATGCTACATCGTAGGGGTACCATTGATCTTTTCCACTAACATAAGCAGCAACTTGTTTTTGAATTTGCCAAAAGTAACTCTTGGTATAGGAATCAATATTAAAGCCAGCAATCCATTGAACATTATCAGTACCACTATCGACGGAATCATCGTAGTAAAATCGTGCATTCTTGATCGATTGGCGTAATTCTTCCAATTCTTCATTCTTGAAAAGACCGTCAAAGACGAAAATTTTCTTACCGTCGGGAGTTTCAACTTTTTTAGTCTGATATTTACTGATGTCCAATTTAGGTGCTTCTTTACTCTTATGAGCGGTTACAAAATCAGCGTTACGTGCAGCATTTCTCTTGGAGTATTTGAGTTTCCATTGATCATGAAATTCCTTCACCTTCTCTTCAGATTTTGTCAATTTAATAGTTAAGAACATTTGACCAAATTTATAATCAATAGATGGTGGTTTATGTATGTAAGGGATAGATGCATCAAAGATAATACAACGCGCTAATCGTGGATGGATAGCAGCAGCAACTTCTTCGTCTTGATCATAGAATAAGATGTCGCCATAATCATTTTTCTTCCATTTACTTACTAACTGGATAACCATGGTAATGTCTTTCTCTTCCGGAGATGCATCAGTTGAGATAAGTGGTATATCACCGCGTCGTACCAGTTTAAATGCTGCTTCATAGAAATGATATTTACTTTCAGAAGCATTAAGAAAATGATTAACACCGGCCAAAAGTCTTTGTCCAACACTTGTTTTCTCAAGTTTAGCAAAATTAATCCTTGTTTTCCATGTTATATGATCTTTGTCTACGGTCTCTGCCTTGATACCATCATTAGGATCTTTCAATGTATGTTCCCACTGGCCAAGAGAAACAACATACAAGCGTAGCAGGTAGATATCACTGGGTCTAAGGAAATCATCGTAAACCGAAATTTTCTCATCGCTAAGGGTACGAAATGTTTTAGTTAAATGGGCATCGAAGTCAAAATTGCCTGCTGCCGAATATTTAGTATGAGGTTTTTCCTTAGAATGAGATTTTTTCTTTTGATGATCATATTTCTTCCCTACTACACTATCTTGCCAAAGGGCAAAAACTAGGACGATAGCAACAAGTGATACCGACTTGTGATACCTCATTCTTAGTTTTGCAAAAACTGGCTAGTTAATGATATTGATTCAATTTACGGAAATAGATGAGATTAAGGTAGAAAAAGATGAAATTTTTACCAGGAATAGGAAAGACAGAAAAGAAAGGATTGGCAGTCCCAAGTCGATGACTGTCAAGATTGAAGTCAGTTGAATTAGGAAAATAACCCTTATTCAATAGTAAAATCGCTGCTCTAAACAAAGATCGCAAGCAACCGCTAGTCACGATCAGTTTTCTATGTATTTAAACTAGCGTTAACATGGGCAGTTCCCAGTGTCATCATTGTTGTAACTCCCTCAACAGTCAAGATTTCATTATAATAACTATTTAAGAACGTCGGAGAAATCAATAGACATTTATTTGTATTTGTTCTTGATAATGGAATTTCTCAGTTATTGTTATGCACAGTCGATAATAGTTTTCAACTCGTCACGTCCACCATCGACTACAGATGAATAATGAATAAATTGAAAGGATATACACTAAAAAAACGTTTTACTCCATTAATCCTTATTTCCACGATTAAAATTAGAGATCAATCCGGCTAATATGAGCCTTCAATGGCTAACCAGTTATCCTCTACAATCTATTTTAGAGACGCTATCCTTGTCGTTACATTGTATGTGCTATCAATCTGAGCAGACTCTTAATCATTATGACAAGAGGTGGAAAATTTTATAAGCAGTAATTTTCTTTACTAATTCATTCAGTAAAATTGGCGTTACTACGTCAGTAGACGATAGATACATGGCGAAACTGACTTCAAAGAATGCTCACATTCACGGAAACAAAAACAATCTCTAATGTATTATTTATTCTTTAACAAACATATTCAATTAGTCCATTGCGACTATATTCGATTATGAATGAATGATAGAATTGTATAATAGATCAAAAGAGATAATTAGTTACTTTCTACGTAATTCGTCCTGCCAATTTTACCATCATACACATTAAATGAAGACAATCTACGCGTATGAAAATGGTAGAGTACGCGTACATCTATACTCTTAATCATGGGTAGCAGTAGGTAGGTTAATATGGAACAAGATATTTAAAGAAAAGCCCTATTTCTTAACCCCTAAATTATTCCTAACCCTAAACCTTTCTTGAAAAAAAACTTACTATGACAAGAATGGCGATGAATTATTCCAGTCAACACAACCTATAAATACTGTAGTCCTCTTATGGAATATCAAGTTGTTATTCATATATTGAATTTCCCTTTCCTGTAATTCAACTATGTTATTAAATTGACTAGTCATTGCTTCTACATGCTAGGCGATAATTTCTCATTCTGCGTCTGTCTGAATAATAATCTGTATGATAGAATTGGGAATGTAGAATAAAAATAATATTGATTCCATTCAGCTGGCATTGAATTTTCATTCTACGCCCCAAGGCATTACGGTGCTTCATATTAACTTCTATCGGAAATTGGGATTGCCATATAGAAATGGACAGAGACCTGTTAAGTAGGTTAATAACAAAATAAAAATACATAATAAGTAATGGATTGTTATTTTACCAACAGGGGTTTTAGCTATTGTACCACAGCAGTAATGATTTGATATTCTTCTGCTATTATTTGCAATAGTGAACCGCCTGACTTGTACTCAGGTGTATATCAGTAAGTCCCGGTAGTATTTTGCCAGTTAAGAATTAATAAGACTTATTAAAGCATGATGCGATATCAGAAAATTCATCATTACCAACTCACTTCCTGCCTTGCGTTGCATAGACGTTAATTTAGGAAACTTCTGTTATGACAATTGCATAATTTGAATGTTTAGGAGTGTTTGCATTTATTATCTATTAATCCCTATCAAGTAAGTGAAAATATTGCATACTCTGCTGCCCATTCAAGGTATAAATGAATGAAAATCGATTGATCTATTACCAGCAATAATAAAGATGAGCCAAAATTATTATTAGTAACGTTTGGCTACCGAGTGTTTATGGAGTCAAGAGGCACCTAGGCAGAATCAATTTTTGAATAAGATAAATACTCATGTTGCGATGCTTTGTAGCTGCATGCTATATGACTAAAATGGGGTTCAATTTAATCGAAAGGCAGTCAAAATAGTTTACTGAGATTAATTTTAGTAGTCTAAATTAATGATTTACGCCAAATTTGACGTTAGTTTCTTTGCTGTAGACGTTCATTATTCCATGCAATCTGTTTGGATAGATTCGTTCTCAGTCTTCCGGTAATGAAAGCGACTGCAATTAGTTCGCCATAATTTAGCAGATTACAGCAGTTAGTACTGTGTCTATACGTTCATAACTTTGAAATAACTTTTAAAAATATAAGCCTTGCAATATCAATAGCATAGCTTGCCACTAATTGAATGATCAAATCATGCAAAACATGACTATTGAAGGTAGACTAATTACTGCTGAGATTCTTATACATCTTACTTACTCTTTCACTAGTTTTATATGGATCTCCGATAGCAAAGCATTAACTGGATTACTAGCAACCTTTAGCGAGTCTTGCTCTAGCTTGTAATTTGATTAAATGTCCATTTTGATTTTTAGTAGTATATGTAAAGCAATACTTTGACTACTAGTTGTCTTTACTCTGTCCTGCCTTAAACTTATATTTAGCATCTGAGCATCCACTGAAATAAACATTTGATATCTCTAACATTAACGACTGAAATGAAATGGTAGCAGCATGATGGCTAAGACAAATATCGTAACTATTGATCACCATACCTCTTTCATATCAATATATATTTGCTTATTAGCACCTAAGATCATGAAATGATATCGTTGCTACATGAATTTAAAACGATATACTCACATGATTTAAGATTTTAATATTAAAATTACAGGAAAAAAAGGAGTTACGGATACACGAAAATTTAAATTATATCTATTTATAACTAAATCACACTACTGCCTCAAATAATTTAAGAATTAATATCAACTAAGAGAAATTATCCATCACAGACATAAAAAATAGAGTTATTTAATACGATGCCCATTAAATATTAATTCAAAACGTAACGATGGCCATAATAGGTAGAAATATTAACATATAAGTGACATGGTACAATCCAAATCAAAATATATTAAATACGAGTTAATTATGACTATATCAGTAGGCAGTTTGTGAATGAAATAAGGATTTATACAACTGCCCATATGTCCGATTATAATTCATCACGATCCCTTCGTGGGTCTTCGTAATCTTCGTCGGCTTCATCGTCGCCATTTTGGCCTCGATAGCCTTCCTCCTCTTCGTTCTCTGATTCGTCATATCCTCGAGGCCGTTCGCCTTCCTGGCCAATATCTTCTTCCGATTCCTCATCTATAAACTCGTCATAACCATTATCACCTCCATCTCTACCTTGGAGATAATCTTTATCCGTGACTTCTACCATATCGTCAACCCTATCAGTATCGAATAACTTGAGCAATTTTTCTAAGTTTTCTTTGAGTTCTTTTTTGGTGATAACACCATCATTATCACCATCTAGTACTGCCATGTTCTAATATTTAGTAAAATAATAACACGCCATGTTATTAAAGTAAATTTTGAAATACAGACTTTTTTCGCCAAGATGATGAATAACAGTAACTGTAAAATTATCGAAAGAGTGTGCGTCTTAATAAAAATACTACAGATTAAACTAACTTACCTTTTCACCGAACGGGACAGAACCTCTTACTTTCTATTAATATAAATAATACGTACAACCGTTATGATTGTAAACAGAGTATAAACATTTGTATTAATCAGATTAAAGGTTTTTAGTGTATAAATCTAAATTGAGATAGAGCTCAATAGTACCAGATAATTTTTCATAAATAGTTCCTTGTCTAATCCTCCGGTTTTTTTATCGATTGATTTCTTAATTACTCCCCTAAACGAAAGTTAATATTACTGATGAATTAAATGTAGTAAAGATTGAGAATAACATTACGAAATATTTACTTTATAAGCCTTCTATCCATATTATAGTATTCAAAATCTTCTCTATTTGCAAAATCTGGATCAAGGAATGAGGTGAGGTAAGTCCAATTTTTGAATGATAGCTCCTTAACATCTTTTGACGTGATATAATCCTTGTTTTTAACATCAAAAAACTCTTCAAACTGGAAATAAGGAAAAAAGACATATCAACGATTAGATCTACACTTGATATAGTGCCTTCTTTTAGCTAATGCTAGTCCATCAGATTCCCGTATTAAAATAAAATTTTCATATCTATTTTCTGGATCATGGACTTAAAACAGATAAATAAATTATTTATTACTGCTACAACATTTGTTTAATCCTTACAGCTCTTATTTGGATTTTCATACGTCCTGGATTATCTTCCATGATTAGTCCACGCTGATATTTTAAAATTAACAGAAGAATATAAAATTACATGATTGTATTAGCAGTATTCAGTTAGGAGAAGAAAACATGCCGATTACAAATTGCTATTAATAGATGTTGGGTCTTACTTTTCTAATGTGTTTAATAAAGTTTTTAGCTTTAACTTTCTTATCTCCTCGAAACGTCCGGATAAATCCATCCCTAACATAGAATAAAGAATCCGATTTTTACTTTGGAAAACAAAACTTTGTCTCTTACTTTCAACATTTCATGTACCGTTTTCAGATTCACTTTAAGCACAGTACTAATTATAAGGTGAAGATTTATTGCTCTACAATTTGTAATACAGAAGATTTCACTAGCCTACCTGATACCCCAAGGACTTGGATTGCCCATGGTCATGGAACCAAAGCCAGGATAATTCCATACGATTTTGGAAGCATCCAATATTTTATAGTCACGATTTCCATTACATCCAGTATTGTCAAATTTGGGCAAATAAATAAGATTGTAGTCGAGTAACAATGAGTACGCTAAATTTTTCGGTCCAGTTGAACGAACTTGATGTAAGTAACCTATCATAAATTATCATTTAAATGATAGTAGAATAGGCAATAATAAGTCATGATAGTCGCCGACGAGATGAGATAATTTCAATTGACTAGGATTGAGACTGACAACGTGAAGTATAACAACTAATGGAAAAACTACTACAAATGCTATAAAAAATTAAGGTAAACACTTATGGACGCTACTATGCCTTTAGCGATAGTTTAGCTTAATGTGGAACAGATCAATTATAAAAAAGACTTGTCTTTCTGTCTATTTGCTAATTAGCTAGCAGATAGAAAAGCGTGTAGATACCTGTTGGAATATACAAGCAGTCGCCTGGTGTAACATTTGCATACTGCCATGGTACTTTAGCAAAGTTTGGGTAACGTTCCATATTTACTTTATCGACGTTTAACATGGAGAAACCTCCAATTTCAGATTCAGGTTCTTTAGCCATAGGTACATTTTTGATGTGTTTATCACTGATCATGATCCAATCCTTAGTGCCATTAACGAGGCAATTTAAGGTGTTTACTAGAAAACGTAACCATAGTATAGCTTTAAAATGGATTGTACTATAATAGAAGTAACACCAACTCGTTTATGCCTGAAAATTGATGAGAATCTAAAAATGATACCAATCTCAGTGAAACTGTACAATAATATTGAACTGAATGTAGTCAAATTGATATTAGAAAGAATGTCTAAGTTCCTTGGTAATGCTATATATATATACGGATAGCTGACTGCAATGGCATAAAAAGTTCAATCGTTCTATGAAATATCGTGCTGTACAGTACTTGAAAGTTGAAGGTAATAAAGGAAGTATACAAGCTTTAAAATGCTAAATAACATCTGCTATCGATTAAAGATTAAGGACAGTTCTATAAAATGACTACCATTTGATAGATTTACCACTCAATGGGAAGAAATCGAAAAAAAGATATAGCATAATGAATTGAAAAAGTCAAGGGAAAGCTAGCGATAGTTGTTATAGCTAGACTTACAAGCATCTTTGTGCAATAAGCTACTTGTACCACCATTGCTAACCCATAAATTGGCTTCCATAATTCGATTAGTAAATGAACCGCAAGTTAGATATGGCGGAACCATAACATCTTTGGCCATGGGATCGGGCAACTGAGAAACGACATAGACATCTCGGGCTTTATACGTATTTAGAAAGTGCCTGATAGAGTCACGTCCTAGCCCAACATCACCAACAGGTACGACTTTTTTTTCCAATTTCGATTCTAACTTGACCTGTAAATCGCCAAAATTTTCCAATAAATATTCATCAGTCCATTTGGCAATGGCAGGAGATAGTTTAGCAGCACCACGAAAGAGCGCTGGCCTTTTCGCTTTAACATATTTATTAAAAAAATCAGTCGCAGATGGAAGTTCATTAGCTTCATAAGTATCAACATGGCCATCGCTATCACGATGATAGCCTAAAGGCTGCATATGACCACGAATAGTTTTCTTCCCATGACAAGGAACTGGACTAATGATTGCCAAGGCGGCAATCCAAGCACCAACTATTAAAAATCTATAGCTTATCGACATTATGTTGATTCTATTCAATATCCGTCGCCAATCTCTCACTCTTTATTTTTCTTTTAATCTCTGACTCACTAAGTAGTAAGTAAAGATTAAAAAAATGACTCTAGTAGAATCCTACCGATAGCTATACACTAACTCCCTATGACAATAGTTGAATTTTAGTCCAATAAAAAATAAACAGGTATAACGCACAATAATAGCCAGATTAATCATTTTTGCAGCCCATCTCTACCACCTATTGAATGAATTTGATGCCTTTGTTATTTTTCGACCTTTGTTGCCAAATTTATTAATTGAATAATAGAAATGCAAATCAATTTGAATTCAATTAAGGAACAAGCCATCGAACGTATTTGGTTTATATTTGTCTATCTAAAATAGATATAGGCGGTATCCTACATCAATATGAAATATGATTTATAGACATTGTCGCAATTTAGAATTGAGCCATACTATTCTTATTCATGGCTTTTCGTTACCTAGGGGCGTGATTGATTAATAGACGCGTAAGAATTAATCTTTACGTATATGAGGTTCATTAAATTCTGTCAGCGTTTTCAATGAGTGGTAGGATTGTCCCTTCTATACTCGATTGATATCGGTTGGATTCTAAGGATACTATGGAAATGATAGACGGAGGCTATCGTCGTTCTTTCTTATTTAACATAGAAATAAATGAATGGAATGATACTATTATTATAGCTTGCTCAATACGTAAGAAATCAATTTTTTCTATATCCATTTGAGTTTGGTTGCTTCAATTCTCGAACAGTTTCGATGAGAGGCGAGCTGCTTCATTCAGTTATATTGGTGGTTTCCACGAGTGATCGGATTGCCCCCTTCTAGACTTGATTGATTAAATAATTATTACTGTATCGGTTAAAGTTTATTATTTTACTATAGAAATGAGAGTCACAGGCTATTACTCCTCTACTTCATTCCAATTTTAACACACAAGTTCATAAATAAAACAACGCCATTAACAGGTTGCAGTTGAACGTCAACATCGAAAATTTCTTAAGTTTCCGTCTATGTTGATTTAATCAAGCAGACGACATTTCTTGTTTGAATACGACTGTTGTGAACTATCATAACTTAATTAATAGTAATGTAAATAGACTGTCGCGATCAATAATTGCTTTGAAGAGTTTAATAAGTAACGTATTACATCTTTGCCAATAAACAAAGTTTTAGACGTGTATTAATGTCTTGTCGTTATTAACTAATGGGAGTGACTATAAACCGTAAATTAATTTGTGATAGCGAAAAATAATTTTAGTACACAGTTTCGATACTGTAATTATTCGTTTCGTTGTGTATTTTTTCATCAGTTCCGCTTCCGTGGATACCTTCGAAAGAATATTAACCGATACTATAGTAGAGCTTAAAAGTTTCTGTCCTTCCTATTTTTTTAGATCAAATAGGTAGTTATATCCTTAATAATCCTGATCGATAAAATAAGATAAAATTTGAGCGAAATTGATTTCATCACTTCCTGAATTATTTCTCGGTGGTTGGATCTGTGACAGATCGAATTGTAAACGCTTGCCCGTATTTTTTAGATGAGTTAAGTCGATAACTCTAAGATATGCTATCAGGATTAATTTACTTTCGATAAATAATATGGTGGCATTGAGATTATGTTAACACGCAAAAACTTTTGTGGTAGAAACAACTGAACGAGGATACCGAATAGTTCAGTTCATATTAGATGTGAATTTAAGGAGAGAGACTAGATCTGACCAATAATAGATTAAAATAAATTTGTTTTGGAATCAGCTATCGGTATGGTGGAAATATACATTCATAATTTCAGCTTTGTAGATTTCATTCAATGAATAACCTTTTATTATCTTCCTTATTTGATTTCTAGATGTACACAAGTAAAACAGATCTTATAACGTACGGTAGTTGGTAATGTATTACTCTATTTATGAAATTTTAAAGATATCAGAGTTATCTTAGGCAAACCATTGGCGACTACAGGATTAACGTTTGCTAACGTTAAACTATCCACTAACATTCGCTATAGATATTTACTTAAAGTTCCTGATAGTTTTTGTAATAAGTTATTTATTTGACGCTCAAAATCATTTTGGATTTTAGCCATGGCTTTGTCATTGGATCTAACTCTATCTATGCTGTCGATTAGTTCTTGACGTTTCTTGGCAGCTACTTTATTGGACGTTTTTTCTATTTCTTTATGAGGATTGCGATATTGTTCCAATTCGCGTTCTAGAATAGTTTAGAAAAATGCTTTACTATTTTTTCAACATGATTGCAAGCTAAACATCTTCATATAAGTAAAATGGGTTGAATAATGAATTTATTAAATAAAAGTTAGATTGAAATAAAGGATAACCCTTAGTTTAAATTTACCATATTCTGGATCTTGCATGGGTTGATTTTCAAAATTTTCATTATCATCTTCAGACCAGTCCTGATTGCCCTTTACATTTCGTCGACTGGGCTCATCATCTTCTTCTTCTTCTTTCTCTTTCGACTTTGAAGCAGAAGCAGAACCGACAATAGATCGAAATGCGATTCTCTCAGTTCTTTCTTCACCCATTTTATAACCAATCTTGATTGCACTGCTAACTTGTTCAACATTTGCAGCATAGGTAGAAAAGTCTTCTGTTACTCGATTTACTCTTGCTTGAGCTTCATCTTCTGCCATCTTAACAGCAAACGAGTATCGTATGCCATTATAGCCATTCGCTGGTGGTCTAGCTGAGTGATAAATCATCCCCTGAAATATAACACTTCGGCCATAGCGAGGTCTTACTTCAGTAATATATTCATTATCATTGCCTTTTCGTTCAAAGAAAGCGGTTTCTCCACCTGATTGTGCTGTCCAATTAGGATTTAGATAGGTTACCATCGTCCATTGATCAGCGACTTGAGCGCAATCATCATGCAAGCGAGTTTTATCGCTAGTTTGGACTAAATTGCAGGAAACATCATAGGGAAAATAGGTAGTGCGATTGCCAACATGCTTCGCTACTTGTTGATGGATATCCCATAGATGACTATCGATAAAATCTTGTAATGAGAATGTTGCCACCCAAGAAACGCCATCACTGCCTTCATCAAATCGATCAGTAAAGACGTAGCGTTTATACTTTACAATTTTTCGTAATTTTTCTAAGTCGTTTTCGTTGAATAAATTATCTAAAACAAAGATCTTTCTACCATGAGGTCCAACATAGCGTTTAGTAATATACTTTTCTACATCGATGACATTAGAAGTTGAGGTAGTTAACTTGCTCAATGTAGTTTTGCGGCCAACAATTCTATTTTGTGATCTCAATTTCCAATGTTGAACAGCATTCTTGACTTTTTTAACTGATTTAGTCAGCTTAATTTGTAACGTTTTCATAGCTACGCCATTATCGATCGCTGGAGGTTTATAGAGATGTTCAATGGAAGAATCAAACATGATCATTCTATGCATGAGTGGATGGACAGCACCAACAATTTCTTTATTATCATCATAAAATAAAATATCGCCATAATCATTTTTTTTCCAACTGCCAATTAGATAGAGTATGGCACTGACATCACCTTCACTATCGGGGGCATCAATAGTACTCTTAGGGATATCGATTCTTCGAATTAATTTAGCAGTCGCATCATAGATGTGATAGCCATCGCCATCTTGCTGTTCTTTAAAATGGTTGACAGCTCGGATAATTTTTTTCCCGAAACGTGTCTTTTCGATAAATTCTGGATTTAGAAAAGTTTTCCACATGATATGATCTGGGCTTTCTTCACCAAAATGGCTACCATTACTGTAATCTTCTAACGAATGTTCCCATTGACCATAAATAGACAAATAATTTCTAATGAGAAAAACACTTGATGAAAGTAGAAAATTATTGTAAACAGAAATTTTTCGATGATCACTTGTGTAGAACGATTTGATTCGATTTTGATCGAAATTATCATCATTTAGGGCATTTTTCTTTGATTGAGTTGATTGTTTAGCCCAGCATACAGCCAGAATAAGGCAGGTAACCCATAGGATTAGGTTTGAACATGAATTAGCCATTTTGTAGCAATTCTGAACGATTGAAAGAGAAGGAATGTTAATCGTCAGATAAATATCACTTTTACTACTCCAATCAAGAATCTACAGATGTTGCGTAAGATCGAAGAGCCTAAAGTAAATGTATATATATAATCATCAACTACTCTTGTGATTAAGGAATCAGGTAGAGTTAGTCATTTACACTTTGGAATTACTACTAGGAAACTACTACTCTAGTTTCCAGCCAGAGAATTCTTCTTTTAGTTTTCTATCACACAGGCTAACTGGATCACCGATGCTGCTTTAGTTTTATTCCAAATAATATATTAACACACAATTGCTGTTACACCTTCAACAACTGTAAATAACAGTTGATTAACAAGCTATGGTAAGAATACATAGTCGCGATCATAATTCATGTAGGTAGAAGCTTTCATTCTTATTCATTTTGTAATAGATTATATTTTATAGCTTTACATCATATACAATATAATCTTTTCACAATGAAAACAGAATGAGAACTATAGATCTAATTCAATCAGCATTAAGAATTCCATGACGCTGATTAGCAGCAAATAAAAGGAAAGCATTCATTATTATTCAATATTCTGTTTATGATTTATTGAAATGCTAATATTACCAACTTGGTCGGTATGGTTTAAGCTTGTAAAATAGTCATCTTGTTAATTGAGTTAAAATCAGTTATACCGTAGAATTGAAACGAATCAATAAAAAAAAGTATTACTATATACATATATCGTTATTGTAGTGTATTTGGATTGTACTGTAACTGTAATCTACTCTTAAATATAAATATTTTGTATTGTTATTAAATACAGACACATTTACAGTCTGTTCGCTCTACATTCAAATATGGCTTACTACATTTAGTTATTACAGTCCTCGCTATCTTCTACAATCATCTGCTATTCTATAACCTGTTATGGTATATGTTGTATCTAATTCTACAATCATGTTCTCTGCATGTATTCTAATGCCATAGCTATAAATACCGATAAAGATATTGGTTGGCTATCGCAAGTAGCGCAGTAGCTACCTAAAAATTATACTATAATCGCCTATAAGATTTTAGCAATAGTCTTGCTATGGTTTATGTGCATATGATTCTTGCGCTTTTCAACTTCCATTTGTAATTTGGCCATAACTTTTACGTCATTTCTAGCTGTATCAATAGCTTTAATCTAGTGCTTACGTTCTTTTCACCTTCTTTATTATTCACAGGTGACAATTCACGATGGGCATTTTAGAAGCTCTGAAGTAGCCTTTCATTTCCCGCTAATTTATGAGATATTAACATAAATCGATTAACCGCATTGAAAAGTTTTACCGTAATTTGGCACGGAGATTAACTACAGCTAAAATATAAAAGAGCTTTGATTCTCTACTAATTATTCGGATTATTAGTACGCATCAATTAGCTATATTGAAAATTTTTTATCATAATTAGATATCCAGTTAAACTACTATTCATCCTATAGTATATGATACTAAAGTAGAATAGTTATAATGTTATCCTTCCAGTACAATATTAATAAAATTTATTGACACTGCCTCTTTTCTCCTCTTGTATTGCTTTCATATATTCTTTACTTAGCTCTTCATGATTCTCTTCTTGTCCTTGATCTTCTTGATTTTCTTGATTTTCTTGATTTTCTTGATTACTTATTTTCATCATCCTTCTCCTCTCCTGCATCTTCGCCCAATATCATAGATTGAATCATCTTCTCAGATCTTTTGTTGCCGATCCCATTTATTGCCTCTGTTAGTGATTTTCTTCCATCAAATTTCAATGCGTAGTTCATAAAATCTTCTGTTAGTCGATTTAGTCTAGCTTGTGCACAAGTTCATCTTCTGCCATCTTAACCGAAAAGGTATATCTTATACCATCGAAATCATTGGAAGGTGGCCTTACCGAATGAAATACTGTACCTTGGGAAAGAGCACTCTGCCCATAACGTGATCGTACCTCTGTAATATAGTTATTATCATCATCAGCACTCTCAAAGTACGCAGTTTCTTCACCCTTTTGTGCAATCCAATTGGGATTTAAATAAGTTACCATCGTCCATTGATCAGTAATCGATAAATAATCGCTATGCAATCGTCTATTAACGTTATTTCGAATCATATTACTTGAGACATCATAAGGGAAATAAATATCACGACTACCGACATGATTAACCACCTGCTGATGAATTTTCCATAAATTGCTATTTGCAAAATCTTGTACAGAGAAAATAGCCATCCATGATACACCGTCACTGCCGTCGTCATGAATATATGTGTAGAAATATTCCTTGTATTTCACAAGTTTACGTAATCCTTCCAGTTCTTCAGGAGTAAATAAGTTGTCTAATACATAGATTTTTTTACCATTTTCGCTAACATATCGTCGTGTAATATATTTCTCTACATCAATTACTCGATTTGCCGATACAGACGCGATATCATTTAACTTTGTGTTACGAATATTTCTTCGATGTTCAAATTTTTTCTTATAATATTCGATACCGTTTCGTAACTTTTCACTTGATTTAGTTAATTTAATATGGATTGTTTTGAGAGGATCGTAACGATCTATTGCTGGAGGCTTATAAAGATGCTCGATTGACGAATCGAACATAACCATTCTAAAGGCAAGAGGATGGACAGCACTGACAATTTCGTTATTATCATCATAGAATACAATATCGCCGTAATCATTCTTTTTCCATTTGCCTGTTAAATAGAAGATAGCACTAACATCGTCGTCACGAGATGGAGTATCAGTAGATTTCTTGGGAATTTCAGATCTTATAACTAATTTAGCAGCGGCCTGATAAATATGATAGTCGTTACCTTGTTTATCGCCTTAAAATGTTTTACAGCTCTAATAAGTTTTTGACCGATCTTTGATTTTTCCATAAACTGAGGATCGAGAAATGTTTTCCATAAAATATGATCAGGGCTTTCTTCTTTATAATCGCTACCATTATTATAGTTGTTAAGTGTCATTTCCCACTGTCCAAGACTGGATAAATATCGTCGGAACAGATAGATACTGAAAGGTTGTGTAAAGTTATTATATATCGAAATTTTTCGATTATCGGACGTATAGAATGAACGGTATAGATTTTCATCGAAGTCATCTCTTATTTTAGTTTCATCGGATATTTTAGACTTTTTAGCGTCACCAAATATCACAATAATAACAACTACGAATAAGTATATCCATTGATTTCTTATATTCCTAGAGAGACGAGCCATAATTGCATTAATGTGGTCCTCGTACGCGAAAGAATTTCAGTAATTGCGTAGAATAACGATCTATGAAAATTACAAACAAATAAAGCTTCTAAATGAAGTTTACTGCTTTGACGATAGCTTCTTTATTCAATCATGAGTTTATGCAAAAGCTATTTTAAGCCCGGTAAAGATCTGATTATGTACAGTACCGCAAGTCTTATGTACATTTATCACATATGACGATTGAATAGAAAGTCCTCTATAAACAGGAAAGAGAAGGCGTTACTGGCAATTTTAATTACGATCTTTATGATAGAGGATAATGCGGCTTGAACGCTTATTTTCTATCCCTAGTACCTTTTGAAGCGCTATAACTACAACAAAGTTAAATGGTGTATTAGGCTTTTTCTATATCGCTCTTTTTCCTTAGGATATAAATCTACGAAGAACATCATAATGCCTAGCTACTATAGTTAAAATTAAATATATAATATCGTTTGATGGACGTTAGATTGTAAATAGGCCTATAAGATTACAAGGGCATAATATTGCTATCTCTTTTAGATGATCAATAAATAATGCCAAGTATACTCGTAGGTAATCTCTACCATTAGTGTAAGGGATAAACCCGCCTATATTTGCCCAAACTAAGCTTACAGTTGGCAAATATATAACTATAATCTAGTAGGTTAGATGGTAGATCATAACATTAACCCTTATCGATAGTTATTCAATGATATTAAATTCAGGCGAGCTCTATAGCCTGACGGTTATGCTTACAGTTAGTAAATTTAGGCATAATCAAAATCTAATCGATTAGACTATCTGATATAACATTGCTAATCCTTGCCGAGGATCGTCATGCATATTCTAATAATTTACTGTCGTATCAATCAAATTGGTTTATCCTTACTACTTACATAGAGAACGCCGGTAGTTAACCATTCGACTTTTATAATATACAAATTAGATAATAACACTGTATGCAACTATATCATCACCAATTCTAATCAGCTGAAATAACTAAAGACGATTTCGCTGACTTTACTTAATATTAGAGCTATACTTATCTTGAAATGGACTTTCATCAAGCATTTTCGATATTTTCAATAAGAATAATATGGAGATATTCAATTACTTATAAATGAGACCCGATAAAAGGGAAAGTAACAGAGAAGAATTCTTGTTGAATAAGTTAATAATTAAATCATGCTGGTAGATTTTCGAATACGTAGAGATGGTAACTGTGGCACTTTTTAACACACCTTCAATAATAATATAGAGAACTGTGATGGAATTGCCAAAGAGCGATTAAATTTGCCGAATTTATTGCCTATTGCATAATGGTGTGCCCTTTCATTGACAATATCTTGATACTAACGTACAGTATTCACGTATAACAAATTGAATAGATGTATACTTGTAACTATTGCATAGTTCTGCTTTGATGGATCTAGCTTAGGAAATTTCCATCAGTGAGATCATTTTCAGTAAATAGGATTAATGAAGACTGTTATTAGTCAAAATAGAAGATAACCTTAATACTAAATGAGTCATGTTTAAAAATGAGTCCTAGATACATGTTGATATTAGTTCATATATTTTAACAAATAGTATAATATACTCGAATACTTTACAAAGACCAATACAGTATTACGCTAGCTACCTTGACTAACAGCATCTATTATAATCAATTTCTATCATACTAGATCTACAGAAAATCATTGCCTTGTCACGTTATACATATATCAATTTAACTTCTGTTTATCTATCGATTGATGGTATTAATTGCCAGCAGATTGTTTATTTAGCCTTCGACCTATAAATGTTTACTAATTTGGTCTGCTAATTTATCGGCTGTTTTATATATCTTCATTTCTATGGAGTTTTGTAGCTTAGCCATCTTGTCTCCGTTATATCTATGCTTTTCAATTGTCTTAATTAATTTCAGGCGTTCTTTGGCACCTGCTTTATTTTCTATTTCAGGCAGTGATCGATGAGGATGACGATAGGCTTCCGCCAAACTCTCGAATTCTTCATCTAATAAGGAAAATAACACATCAGTAGGATGAAAGCAATGGATAAAATAGTTCTCTATAATGACCATAGATCTTAGCATAAGTTATTACGGCTTATCCATTAATCAAGAGCTTTGCAGTTTAAGAAAAATAAACGGTTATTTAGAATAATTTTAGACTAGAGTAAAGAATAAATACCTTTTGCTGCTTTATTTTGATTGTTGGTATTGCTCTCTTGTGATCGTTGATCATTTCCTTCACCAATTGCGTCTTGATTTTGTTCCTCATTGATATGGAAGCCATTATCAGTTATTAGTTCATCTTCATCTAAGAGCATACTTAAAGTACTTTTCTCCAGTTTTTTGGAGCCTAATTTGTGTGCAATTCTTTTAATGTAATCATACTGATCCACATTTCCTGCATAAATTGCATAATCTTCCGATAATCGATTTAATCTAGCTTGTGGTTCATCTTCTGCCATCTTGACAGAGAATGAATATCTTAGACCGTCGAAATCATTGGATGGAGGCCTTGCTGAATGGTAAATGGTACTCTGAAAAATAACACTTCGACCATAACGTGGCCTCACTTCTATCACATAGTCGTTGTCATCGGTATTTTTTTCGAAGTAAGCGGTTTCTCCACCCATTTGTGCAGTCCAATTTGGATTTAAGTAAGTTACCATTGTCCATTGATCAGCAGTTTGTGAGCAATCATCATGGACTCGAGTATTATCGGTATTTTTAATCATATTACATGAGACATCATAGGGGAAATAGGTATCACGACTGCCGACATAGCGAACCACTTGTTGATGGATTTTCCATAAATTACTATCGACAAAGTCTTGTAGAGAGAAAGATGCTAACCATGATACACCATCGCTTCCTTTGTCAAGATAACTTTGATGGACATATTCCTTATATTCAATAATTCGACTTAAGCCTTGTAATTCTTGAGGAGTAAATACGTTATCTAAGACGTAGATTTTTTTACCACTTTGGGCTACATGTTGTCGTGTAATATGTTTCTCGACATCGATAGTTCGCGGCTGCGATAGAGGAGCGATATCGTTTAATTTCTTATTTCGAGCATCTACTCGATGTTGTGATCGTGCTTTATAATCTTCGATGGCTTTCTTTAATTTATCACTGGATTTAGTCAGTTTAATATGGATTGTTCTTACTGGGCCATTGCTATCGATGGATGGAGGCTTGTAAAGATGTTCGATGGAAGAATCAAACATGACCATCCTAAACATAAGAGGATGAACACCGCACACAATTTCCTTATTTTTCTCATAGAATAAAATATCACCATAGTCATTTTTCTTCCATTTGGTGATTAAATAGAGGATAGCGCTGATATCGTTATCATCAGCTGGAGCATCGATACTCCCTTTAGGCACTTCCGATCTTACGACAAGTTTAGCAGCGACATTATACATGTGGTAGTTATCACTTGCTTGATCACCTTTAAAATGCTGAACAGCGCGAAGGACTTTACGACCAATTTTACTTTTTTCAATGAACTCAGGATCGAGAAAGGATTTCCACAAGATGTGATCAGGGCTATCGTCTCTAAAATCGCTGCCATTATTATAATCTTTGAGTGTATGCTCCCATCGACCAGCGTCGGACAAATAACGTCGAAGTAGGTAGACATTGGACGGCAGTAAAAAGTCATTATAGACCGAAATTTTTCGATGATCGGATGTATAGAATGATTTATAGAGGTTGTGATCGAAATTATCCTTTTGCTCTTCACGATTGGATTTTTCCGAGTTGTCACCATTGCTAAAAGTGATTATCGTCATCGATAACACTAAGCATAGGTATAAATTTCTGACACTACCTAATAGAATTGCCATAGTTCTTAGGGTATTTTTGTACTCCTTCTTGAAGATTTTTATTCGAGCTCGTTTATATGTCCGAGATATATACTGTAATTATTGAAGTCTCCGTAGTAGTAAAGGCAAGTTAAGGCAACGCACCAAACACTTCTCGATATGTATTGATCCTTATTGAAGGAAATTCAAGTTTCTTTACTCAAGGCAAGTTAAGGCAAGGCACCAAGGGCGTCTCAATGTATACTGATCCTAATAGAATAAAATGGAAGTTTCTCAATCTGTACTGACCCTTATTGAAAAAATGGAAGTTTCTATAATCAATGGAGCTTCTCGATCTGTACTGATCCTTATTGAAGAAAATCCAATTTTCTCTGATCAAGGCAAGTTAAAGTAACGCCCCAGGAGCTTCGAAATATAGAATCCTCGTACAGTCATCAACTGAATAAACAGTCGACGACCGATTTACAATTAATCTCCTTAGCTGTTTAGGTCACGTAAAATCAACTTGATATCGCTCAACCTATAAAGAATATTGAATAGTATAAGATCCTTTAGAGGTAAGGGAAAAGAGGCGCCGATGCTAATTCTACGCTAGCTAAGTGGTTGTCTGTACCCAACATCGATATTATACTACAATACAAAAGTCTATTTTAGAAATATAAAGCCTATAATTATTATAATGAATTCTTCTTACTGCCTATTGAAATGGTAATGCCATTGATTTTATTCTACTGCCTATTAATATTAGGCATGATAGACAATAACGCAAAAGTTAACATCACGTATACATCGGAATGAATGGAATTAGATCTAGTTTGACCAGTAGCTCCTACGTGATGATGAAAATAATACTCTGGAATAAAAATATATATACTACCTATGTTTAGTCTTTAACTTTGCTATAGTAAACGTAATTCTCATAGTTCTTTAACGGCTATTTTAGTGGTTTACTGCTTGCCACAGGTGTCATAATATCCATTCAATCAACGCCATGTTGGCATCCAGTTTTATTGGTAATAGAGTTATGACTGCCTCAAGTTCATACATTCAGTCGAAATAGTTCTTTCTATCAGTTCTTTGCTTAACCATTCCATGACAGATTGAAAGAACTTTCGACGTACAGCCGTAGTAAACTTGATTAATTCAGTTTGCAAAGGAGAGTTTAGTGTGCACAGTCAAAATAAATATTAGGTAGAAACGATTGCCGTATATGGATACTACCAGCGTTTCCTTGAAGAGAATTAATATCGATTGGATAATAACGACGATAGCCTCCCAAGGAGCTATTTACAAATTTCCATTAGAAATGATTCTGAGTAGAAATTACTACTAAATAAGATTTTTATAATTAGTGTTGGACCCACTGTAACCATTAAATGCAACTAAATTCGTTTTTAATGCTGTTCCTGTGAATTATTTACCGTTCATTTCAATATGGCAGGGGTTATTCTATGGCTTACTCTGAGTAAATGTGGATGCAAGATATCGGCTAGTAAGCTCGTAAAATAGACATTCTAGATGATTACATATTGACAGTAAGTGAGCTGCCAATGAAACAGATATTAGCAATTCCCTCTAAGTAGCGATGTCATAATTCAAACGAGTGGATGTCAGAGAATAGTAATTAAACTCTCTGTTAGATATAGATCCTAACAAATGGGAGTTAGAGAGTAGTAATTCAACTCCTCGTTAGAAAGGGGTTCGGATGATTGCAACGAAGGAGTGACAGAGAGAACAAGTCTTGATCGTTATTGAAATCATATCATTTCATAAGCATGATATTCAAGTTTTTTTTTATAAATCCTTGTCATCATTGTCTTACTGAGAAAATTGTTTGGATCGCTTGCCAAGTGCTAAAAATCATTCACCATTTTCCATTGCTAATATAATTATAGATATTGTAATTTATCGCCAATGATTTTAAAGGGTGATATGATATCTTGAAGTACTAGGCAAGAAGGTGAGAAATATTGAAGGAGTAGTTAGAAGATAGATTCCGTTGCACGAACAGAATAGATGACTACAGCAAACTAGATATTTTTAATAAAGTAGAAGAGCAAAACCAATCAAAGAAAGGTATGGAAAGGATGAAGATGGCAAAAGTGCAACCTTGGACAGAAATACACTGATTAGAATGCTATATTTATTTCGAATAAGAATATGAAAGTTAAACAGCTGTTATAGAGGTATACACACAACACTACATTACATTTAGCGATATTATTAGTAGCAAATGAGATTATTACCACCAATGAAAAGTCGCTTAAATCTATAGCATCCAATTGATTGTATTGGATTGAATGTTAATTCCGCAATATGAAACAAAATAATGATAAAATTGTAATAGGAATGAATAATTATAGTAGTCGTTATTTCCTCTGGATCAACTTGGGCTACAAACTGGATTGTGAAAGAATCATAAAGTAGAGCTGGCATAATAGATAAATTTATAAATATGGAGCAATTTGAGCAGAGACTTTAGCGTAGGAATTGTGCATATTCTCTTCTAAGGAGTTTTGCAATTTAGCCATGATTTTACCGTTATCCCTATGCTTATCGATTGTCTTGATTAACTTGGCTCGTTTTTTAACGCCATCTTTATTGGTAACCTCGACTAACTTTCGATGAGGATTGCGATAATCATCCAGCATATATTCAAGTTCCTCTGTAATGAATTTGTAATATGGCGTCAAGAGATAGAATCAGTGTAATGATGGAATACTCTATGACTACCGAATTTACTTCCTTATAATCGACTTTAATTTTATTTTAGAACGGGGTTACTAATGGAAAGTAAAGCTATAACACCTTGGCACACTGTTCTAGACGATCACCACCATGAAAATATATTTAATTATTTCTACTCTACTCTAATAATAATGAATTAAGCCATTCATGCTCAGCATATTCACATTGACAAGTTGAATGGACAATTTACCTTCTTCTGCTTCGTCTTCAACAGATTGATCCTTTTGAGCTGGTGATTGGTCTTCTTCCTCTTCATCTTGATATTGCCCTTTACCTCGCGTTTTGCCTTCTCCTTCGTCATCGACCTGGGGCGCATCTTCGCCTAACAACATACGGAGAACCATTTTCTCTCCTTTTTCCGTCCCCATCATACGTCCAATTCTTGTCACACTATCACGCAGGTCAATATTTCCAGCATAAATTGAAAAATCTTCCGTTAATCGATTGACTCGAGCTTGTGCTTCGTCTTCCGCCATCTTAACCGAAAAGGTATATCTTAAACCATCGAAATCATTGGCTGGCGGCCTTGCTGAATGATAGAGTGTACTCTGGAAAATAACACTTCGTCCATAACGTGGCCTGACTTCGGTAATATAAAAATTATCGTCGATATTTTTCTCAAAGTAAGCCGTTTCGCCACCCATTTGTGCAGTCCAATTGGGGTTCAAGTAGGTTACCATCGTCCATTGATCAGCTACTTGTGAACAATCATCATGGACTCGCGTTTTATCATTACATCGAATCATATTACATGAAACATCATAAGGGAAATAGGTAGTGCGACTACCAACATGGCGAACAACTTGTTGATGGACATTCCATAAATTGCTATCGACAAAGTCTTGTAGCGAAAAGGATGCAGCCCAGCTAACACCATCACTTCCTTCATCGAAATTACCATCATGATCGTAGCGCTTATATTCGATGAGTTTGCGTAAATTTTTCAGCTCTTCAGCAGTATATAAATTATCCAGGACGTACATTTTTTTACCATTGGGGGCCGTATAAGTTCGTGTAATATGTTTATCGACATCGATGACTTGTCCTGCTTGTATTGGAGCAACTTGGTTTAGTGTTTTTTCACGAGCTTGGGATCGAAGTTGTGATCGAGCTTTCCATTGCTCGATAGCATTATTGACTTTCTCCTTGGATTGAGTTAATTTAACTTGCAAGGTGATAACTGGGCCTTCATGATCGACCGAGGGAGTTTTATATTGATGCTCGATAGAAGAATCAAACATGATCATGCGAAATATAAGTGGATGAACAGCACCGATAATTTCCTTGTTGTTATCGTAAAATAAAATATCACCATAATCATTTTTTTTCCATTTACCTATTAAATATAAGATAGCACTGACATCGCCATTACCCATTGGTGCATCTTGACTGCTTTTTGGGATTTCTGATCTTGCAATTAATTTTGCAGCAACATGATAGATCTGGTAGTCATTGCCTTGTTGATCGCCTTTAAAATGTCTAACAGCTCGTATGATTTTTTGACCAATTTTGGTTTTGCCAATGAATTCAGGATCGGGAAAAATTTTCCACAAGACATGATCAGGACTATCTTCTTTAAAATCACTACCGTTATTATAATCGTTCAGTGTAACTTCCCATTGGCCAATGGTGAATAAATAGCGTTTAAGTAAGTAGAGAGAAGTGGGTTTTAAAAAGTTGTTATAGATGGAAAGTTTTCGATTATCCTCTGTGTAAAACGACTTGTACAAATTGGTATCGAAATCATCCTTTTCTGGGACATTTTTACTTTTGCTTGATTTCTTACTATCGTCGGCTGAGATTAGGATAGCGCAAAGTATCAAGAGACCGATTGATTTTCGCATCCTGTTGACAATCTTTATCTTGGATAATCACTAGAAAAGGGAACGGAAACACAATTTTTTTAAATTGTACTTTCTCTCTCTCTCTCTCAATTACAGATCAAGTAGAAATAGTGTAGTACTCTGGACAACTGTATACCAATAGTTCAATGGATTAAATTGAAGGAGCCAATCTGCCTCTATGTGTCCTTTTAATAGACAATCAATATTAAACTTTAACGACTCTTTTTTAATAGGCAATTTTACGTCATAACGCTAACAACAGGTCGTTACTTCGCAATTATGAGAGAAAGAATTGATGTCGGTAGCTGGAATGGAGTACAATATTGAATTGTTTTACTATTATGGGGGATTGCCTATTGATATAATAATGGAGGCTTGCACTAATTGCAAAAAGTCACGCCTTCATAAGGCATTGAAGAAGAATAGTAAGAATATTATTTAAGCTATCTTATAGTTTTAAGACAAATTGAATAGACATGGTGTACAACTACTATAAGAGATCAAATATTGATCGAAGCTTAGACGTAGGACAACATTGTTGTATAGGAAATTATAAAGAGAGGATAGAAAATGAATATCAATAAATGATCCGTGGGCTAGCTATGACAACATGGATTGCCTTGTAATTAAGTCTAGTCTACGAGTACTCGTATCCTAAGAGGAAAGGGATTGATGATGCAATTCTTGCTGTTGGTTTGGGTAGATGGAGGCTGAGATAATGGCTTCCATCATGGTTTATAAACTATACCAAGATAGGCCATCTTGAGACGGTAGAATAGTACTGAAGGAGAGGCAATATTAAGCATAGCAAAACGATATACTCATATATACGTAGAAGAAAACTTCCCATAGGTAGTATCTACTGTACTCTTCAACCGAAATAATTTACTTAATTGAATAAGCTAGTACTCCAAATAGGATGAGTAGATTATCATTATTACTCGTATTTGTCAACTTGCCTTTTAAATGAACGGCCCCCCCAAAATGCATACTATGCCGGTGCTAGAAGTAGTCAATCAATTGTAAATTATAGGAATCATTACAGCACGTTTTTCTATAGTAATTTTCCTACATTATAGATCGATCTTATGTTAACTACGGATACGCCTTAACTCATAAGATTGCATTGAATTTATGGCATATTTAACTAAGAAAGTGTTATACTTAAGCAATGAGTTCACTCCGTGAGTAACATTTATAACTGATATTTATCGTTAATGTTCCGTATTTCTAGCTACATCAGGTTACACCTCGATACGATTATGATTTATACTTCGCACTACAATTAGTAAATGATCAGTTCACTTTTTGCAATCTACAGTATTACAAGCTGTAGTTCAGCCCCAAATATAACTTGGATTACGATCCAAGATTGTACAAGAACAGGTTAAAAATTGTACGTTCGAGTGTAAGATTGTATTAAGTATCTATTTTAGTAAATCTAACTACAGTAATTATACAACATAAAGCAACTATAACGGACTGTTTTATTCTTACCCCATAATGTAAGAAGTGAATCTATATGCATATAAACACGACGATAGATCAGAGTCATTAATAAAATGAACAATAAGAAAAATGTCTGCTGTGCCAGTACTGAATCTCTCTATATTGATATCTACAGTATGGCTAAAACCTGAATTCCGGCAATATATGATAGCCGGCTAAAGTTCGAATTAGGAGTGCACATCGTCCTATAGTTTAAGGACGACTATTTACTTAATAGAAAGAAAATCAACTCCGTTTAGTCCTTTCGCATACTGCATTGCTAAACACTTCCGTAAAGCAATAAAATCGATTAATCTGATTAGCATTCTACTTCAAGCATGAGTATCGCCGGCTAAAGCCCTAAAATCGAATATTTTTGCTTTTCATATCACTGTTCTACTACAGTAGTTCAAAGGACGAAGGACTAAATCTATCGCAGACTAATGCAGCTTCAATAGCTTATCCATAATTTATAAATGATTTATGCTACTGATCTACGTAGTTTCTTGCTGCGATTCAACAGTACAAGGTTCGGCTAGTATACACTGACGACCAATCCATAACAAGATTGCCGAAATCAAGAATTCTTTATTGGTACCAAACCCACACATATACACCACTCGATGGTAAAGCATCAAGTGGTTCCTTGCTTACACACAGTTATCCTATTTATCAATCGCTATACTAAATCTAAGCTAACTAGGGATAAAGTTACTAGCTAGTAAAGAATAACTTAATAATTAAAATAGTCCAAATTCAAATGATTTACAGTAAAAATGCGATGGCATGATTTACGTAAAATGAGCATCAACATCAGTAAGGTTATAAATACTACTAAAATGGAATACTATTTATCCTCATTGAAGACACTGACTAATTAACTCTATACGTTTTTGGTACGAATTACTTAATTTCTTATCCACAATATCTTGCAATTTTGCCATCTTTGCCGCATTATCCCTGTTTTGATCGATGATCTTTATCAACTTTTTTCGAAATTTTAGAATCGCTGGATTTTCCGATGTTGTTAACCTTCTGTGAGGACTACGATAATCCTTCAGCATCGCTTCAAATTCATCTAATCAATGAAAATCAATTCAATTAGACAAACATATTATAGAGCCCTTCCCCCCCCCAAAAAAAATAATAAATTGCCAACTTTTATTGTAAATGAGAAAGTGCATTGCTTTAAAACAATCCAGTAGTTGTGTTCGCGTTAATTTGAATCCCATTTCTTATATCATACCTTTTGCTATGGCCTCTGCTTCTAAAGAATCTATTTCATCCGATGGGTAGTCGTCCTCTTCTTCTTTTTTGTTTTCATTAGGACTTTCATCATCTTCTCCTAAAACCATATCACGCATCCTTTTTTCTACTTTATTAGATGCTTTCCGACGTAACGTGTCTCTTATTGTGCTTAGTACTTCCATATTTCCATTGTAGAAATCAAAATCCTCGGATAATCGATTGAGTCGAGCTTGTGCTTCATCTTCCGCCATCTTAACCGAAAAGGTATATCTTATACCATCGAAATCATTGGACGGTGGTCTTGCTGAATGATAGATTGTACTCTGGAAAATAACACTTCGTCCATAACGTGGTCTTACTTCAGCAATGTAGTTACTATCATCGGTATTTTTCTCAAAATAAGCCGTTTCTCCACCCATTTGTGCAGTCCAATTGGGATTTAAATATGTGACCATCGTCCATTGATCAGCAGCTTGTGAACAATCATCATGGACTTTTGTTCTATGGTTATTTCGAATTAAATTACATGAGACATCATAAGGGAAATAAGTAGTGCGGCTACCAACATGTCGAGCAACTTGTTGATGAATTTTCCATAAATTGCTATTTGCAAAATCTAGTACAGAGAAAATAGCCATCCATGATACACCGTCACTACCATCGTCTTGCATATCTGCATAGAAATATTTTTTATATTCCACAAGTTTCCGTAATCCTTCCAGTTCTTCAGGAGTAAATAAGTTGTCTAATACATAGATTTTTTTACCATTTTCGCCAACATATCGTTGTGTAATATGTTTCTCTACATTGAGTACTCGATTTGCCGATACGGGTGCAATATCATTTAACTTTGTGTTACGAATATTTCTTCGATGTTCAAATTTTTTCTTATAATATTCGATACCGTTTCGTAACTTTTCACTTGATTTAGTTAATTTAATATGGATTGTTTTGAGAGGATCGTAACGATCTATTGCTGGAGGCTTATAAAGATGCTCGATCGATGAATCGAACATAACCATTCTAAAGGCAAGAGGATGGACAGCACTGACAATTTCGTTATTATCGTCATAGAATACAATATCGCCGTAATCATTCTTTTTCCATTTGCCTGTTAAATAGAAGATAGCACTAACATCGTCGTCACGAGATGGAGTATCAGTAGATTTCTTGGGAATTTCAGATCTTGTAACTAATTTAGCAGCGGCCTGATAAATATGATAGTCGTTACCTTGTTTATCGCCTTTAAAATGTTTTACAGCTCTAATAAGTTTTTGACCGATCTTTGATTTTTCCATAAACTGAGGATCGAGAAATGTTTTCCATAAGATATGATCAGGGCTTTCTTCTTTATAATCGCTACCATTATTATAGTTGTTAAGTGTCATTTCCCACTGTCCAAGACTGGATAAATATCGTCGGAACAGAAAGACATTGGAAGGTGGTGTAAAGTCATTATAGATCGAAATTTTTCGATTATCGGACGTATAGAATGAACGGTAAAGATTTTGATCCAAGTTATCCTTTTGATTTACATTCTCGGACTTTTCGGCGTTGCTAACCGTAATGACAGTGCAAATAATAAGTAGAAATACACACGCCAATAACCTTTGCATCCTAATTCTCGATATAGCTATTAACCTGTTGCTGGCAATTATTTATGGATTAGTACAGGTATGAAGTACTAAATATCGTGGATAGTCGAGCTGACAAGATTGTCGGGAAGGAAAGTAAATCAAGTAAAGGTGTAAATTTATCGTCAGTTGTGATTTTAATGTTTCCTATTACTATACCATCGGATATGCGTACATGAATAGGCACGTAGCTATAATAATTATATATATAATAGACATACGTATAATAATTAATCTATTCATGATTGATTATCTATTATGATACACGTATAATTGTTTAGAATAATTCTAATTCTATTGGAATTCAGTTAAACTTCGAAGATCCTAATCAATGCATGTTGGCTATTCCACTTTAATTACCATTGATTTAGTAGTATGCTATTGATTTGTTAGACTACAGAAAGTAATGACGGTTGCAGATAACTAGTATAGAATTGGTAAAGTGGTGCAGATGTTATGCAATAGGATAAGGCAAATGGTCATACCGGCAGTCTGCGATACTAGGTGAATGGATAACGCTAATCTTCAGTACATTAAAATGACTGTACTACTGCCAGTAGATATTAGAAAGGAATTATTGTTTGTGTAGAGCTAGAATATAATTACTACAAAGTGGTATAGATATTAGGCTACTCAATGCAAGAGAATGATCCTAGGGCAAGAATATCATATGAACAGATAACATTAATCTACGTCAATTATCATACTGCATTATTGCCGGTAAGCTTTGTAAAAAAAATTATCGTTTGTATAGAGCTAGAATATAAATAATACGAAGTCATACGGATATAAATGATCAGAAGATTAGTATATAATGTAAACGGATGGTATTGATCTACGTTAGCTACTATATTATTACCGGTGAGCTGTAGAAAGGAATTATCGTTTGTATAGGGCTAGAATACAATTAATGTAAGGTGATATGGATATTAGGCCGCTTAATGCTAGAAAATGATCATAGGATAAGATTATAATATGAATGGATAACACTAATCTACGTTAGCTACTGTATTATTATCGGTAAGCTGTGGAAAGGAATTATCTTTTGTATAAAGCTAGAATATAATTAATTTAGAATGATATGGATGTTACAGTTGATTTCACTTACACTGCCAATAGACTGCCGAAAGAAACTATTACATTATATAGAAACTATCTATAAGCTAATAAAGTATAACCTGATACATGAAATGATATTAAGGAGAGTATATGATATAAAAGGATGGCTCACTAATTTACAGTTGACAGCAGTACTACTGCCTGTAGATTGCAAGAAAGAATCATTGTTTTTATAGAATTATCATTTACTTAATAAAGTATAATTTGATACAAAAAATGATAATAGGCCAAGTTTGTGATATGAGTAGATAGCATTAATCTATATTTAACTATTGCGTTACTACCGATAGACTACAGAAAGGAATTATTGCTTATATAGAGCTGAAATATAATTAATATAAAGCGCTACGGAGGTTATGCTGTATAACACGGTACAAGAAGTGATCATAGGGCAAGTTTGTGGTATGAAGGGATAGCATTAATTTCGGTTGACTATAGCACTATTGCTGGTAGACAGCAGAAAAGTACTTTGTCCGTTTATATATAGAACTAAAATAGTTAATAAAGTAATAAGAAATGCAATCACTTTCTAAGATATTGTTCCTGATGAATGGTAATACTACTTAATACAAGAAGTGATAATAGGATCATAGGGCACGTTTATGATACGAGCGCATAATGCCAATTTACTCTTACTCACGGCTTTACAATATATTGCTAAGTCTGATGAACACCAATACGAGACAATATCATTCACTACTTGAACATAATGTAGATTTCTATTCAATACGCATTAAAGTCGTGTAGTAAAGTCATCTTAACTTTGTTACGTTCGTATATTGTCAATGTTAACTGCATCTATAAAATTGATAACTTGTAGCATGACCAACCATCATTGTCTAGATTGAACTCTATTCTCATTCTACTTGAATCTCCATCACTTATACAAGGTAAAAACACTAATGCTGAAGCCACACCAGTTGTATGAACATACCTTTAATTAAAAACTTTGAAAGACTGACGTCAAACATTCTTACTTTATCGTTAATGATTGAAGATTACAGCTGAGACGGAAAACCTATAGCAATAATATATTCGCTAGGGTTGCTTTGATATAAAATTGTTTTATTTTAACTTAACATTTACAATCTAGTAATCTATGAAAAAACGGCAGGAGTCAGTAGCACATACTTGTTACTGTGACACCCAAATTGGATACATGTTTAATATTAATATTAGCTAAATGATGGATATTATACAAATAGTTGACGTCATAACTTTGATGGATACATTGACGCTAATATTATAGCCTATCTTGTCAGCCTATAATATTAACCAACGAGCTGCTATATTTACACTATACAATTATTCGTTGAAAAATATCTCTTTAAATTGAGTGATATCCAGTTTCGGACTAATTCAAGCATATTTTAAAAATATAAATTAAATTTCGCAGAGTCATCTAAAGGTGTTATAAAATTTTACAAATTTTCTTGACTTCTGTTATAACTAAACACAAATAAGTATGTCAAAATAATGACATATTGAACTTCTCGATAGCAGTTTGCGATCTCGTGATACCACATCCCAAATAAAGAGCTAGCTAGCTGTCATGTATTGATATTAGGCTGTAATTATCATACCACGCAACATTATTTTATAAGTTTCGGTTCCGTAATCCTTTAGTGTCATCTGTACAGTGAAAATTAAGAAACAACTCTTTAGGTAATACATTTGAAATTTAGGTTAACTTCTAAAACTTAGTCAAATCATAATAAATTAGTATACTCTATAATAGATTGACTACTAGTCGGTGAGATTCTAATGACTACAAACGGCATCAAGAAACTAAAATAGATTTTCATAGAGATAAACTATAGTTCGTATTATCATAACAGATGCAGTGTATGATTCATCTACTTTGATAGACAAATAACTGCGAGACACATCAATAGGTATCATTATTTATAAATAGTAGAACAGATAGCACAAATAGTTAACGCATAAACTTACAGTAAGGTCGAATTCCACCGGAATATTCGGCTAAAAGGCGACAGGAAGAATATGAGTACATAATTTGAAGAAATGGTAGATTAGTATTATGCTCGAACTGCCAACGAACGATATTTTTACTACTATTTCATGCAAATAACTAAGTAGTATGATTGATAGGTAATTGTATAATGAGACTGCCTTACATTGTGGCTAATTGGTGGGGCCCACGTAAATACAATAGTTCTTCGAGCTCCAGGATCTAAGCCTCCCTAAAGAATAGTAATAGCGGAGTTAGCTATTTAATACTCCTATGATTAATTGACTAAGAGTTAGCTTATGACATACTCTAGTAGGATCGACTGAAAATCCTTTAGCACTAGCTGAATGTAAATCGTCAAACCAAAATTCTCCAATCTATAATTCATATCAGAGATTATGTATTACAAGGTAGTAATGGATTGTTAATTATGGCAAAAAAATATCATAGTTAAACCTAATGTAAAGCAACTTATCAGAAGTTAACCTTTTTGGTAGATTGTAACACAGTTCTAACGCAACCAATTTCAATCTCCCTATTAACAGGTACATAACCATTTTTACCGTACCAACTTTTGAAGATTAATAATATAGGATGAGCTTTCTTAACCAACTTTTGGTCTGAAAGTGACAAAAGATTTAGTTATTCACATCTTGAAATATTTTAATAATGGGATTAATGATACTGTCACAATTTTCCTTTAGACACTAATTTAATGTGTTTAAAAAGCTTCCGCTACCTTCTTCGACATCTGCATTTGTCGACGTCGATAATGATTCAGTAGTTGGCTCAATTCTGTCGCCACCTAATGCATACAACGTCAATGGCCATGCTTTTCCGATTAATCTTAAATGATATGTTTTGACCTATATGATATAAAGTTGTTATAGATGCCCCAATCCATTAATTAAGGTTAAATTTTTCAAATATTTAATGATTCGAATTCATGATACTACTTAACTAGTGCTATTAATGCGAGTGAGCTATCGTATAATCGTATAATGGTGGAAGCTATTTACTTACACTATCAAATAAGATAATTCTGACCAAATCGGAATAGTATTTACTAGGATGATCTGGAGAGAAAATTACGGTAATTTCTTTCGATCCGCCTATATTGCGTAACGATATATCATAATCAGTGCCACATGCACATAGATATTAAAGACATTTGCTAATCAGTGCAGTAAAATATAGGATAATAATACCATCACACCGATCTGTATGATCCAGTTGATATTTTATTCCTACCTGGCTTAATGGTACCTTGAACTGGGCTACAATCGAAAACACATAGTCCACTGTAATTAGCCGGACCTAAGCAGAAACAAAAATTAAGATTAATACTAAAGAAATAGAGCATTAAGAACAACTTCAAATATGATGCTCATTCTGTTTCACGATCAGACGCTTTCGCAGCAGCTTAGAGATATTACCGACGATAGGAGTATTGTCATCGAATTTTTTCTCTATGGCTAAATTTGCTAATGGCTTGACGGTTTTATTCCTCTCATAAATGCTATCCTGCTTGATATTAAACGTAACTGGCAGCATAGAAGTGTTGGTTATCTGTTGATTATTATGATAATATAATTGTCAGCCGTTGATAGCAATTGCTTAAGATAGAATTACTTAAATAGATCAGATTCAGATAAATATTTACCAAATAATAAATATAAATTTCTTTAACTATTCCTATTACCTTGAAGGTTTCAGCAATAGCATCACCGGTTAATAAATTGCCAAAATCTAAAATATGATTTGGAATTGATAGTTGTATACTAGGCGCGACGCCTTTTCCATGTAATCTTATAGCTAATTTCGAAAGTGAGCTGACAATATTCATAACTTCCAAAAACTAGAAAATTGTGTATGGATACCAAATAAAAGTTACCAATTGCAATAAATTTAGCTACTAGTAACAATTACAACTTACCTCTTTATTTTCCTTAGGAGTAAAAGAAATAGAAACAGTATGAGAATTTCCTGGTGACAAAACTCGCATAGCGTTAATCATTTCGAATGGGCCAGCAGTGTCCAGTATTGTTGAATATAACTACAAATAAAGATAAAATGTTAGCTTAATACAGAAGGTACTGAATTTATACGATCACAGATTTAATACGAATAAACCTTGAGTGTTGTGTCAGATATATTCTGTATAATAACCGATCTGGTTTCAGATTCACCTACATCGAATACATTCAGTAGTTAATAATGTCTTAATTTACCCGCATAATACGTTAATAAAATGTAGAAATGTAGTTACTTACCGACGCTAACTGTTCCATAATCAATAACGTTATCACCATTATTGGAGATTACTATCAAAGCTGGACTAACCACTGTGCCAAGAATTTCAAGATAAAGTGTATTGTAAATACTACAATAAAACATGTACAAGATTAGCATTTACTTCGCTGCTATCGAAAAGATAATATGTTCAATATAATGAATTCATAGTCCTTCCTTTTCATGTGAAATGTTTATGCTCATATTCTTAAAACAATAGCACTAATTCACATCATTTACCTACCTGTACTGTAATTTTTTCGTACTGCTGATGCTACCACTTGCAACAAAACAAGGAATTTTATAATTGACCGACTGGCTTACAAAAGAACGAAGAAGAGAAAGCTTTGCTGCGGCGTATTCATCAGAACTGCTATTAGCAAATAATAAAGCAAAAAAATTTGAGCCACCTATTAAATCAAATATCAATTTTACCATATTGAACTTACCTTTCGCCCTGAAGATTCTTATCAGCTGTATTCGCTTGCTTATTTACTTTAGCTGTAATATTAGAGGGAACTGACGCGGTAGATTTCAATTGAGCCTTGGGTGATATTGGTCTCTTATTATATGCTCCTTTCTTTTTCTTTTTCTATAGATATTATTCAATACATCAAATTAGATTGTTAATCCATGTAAGGTATCTGATAAAGTCTGCGACAATATCGACAAACAGTAATGGTACAAACATGAGCATTTTCTTCCATCTCTTGACGTAACAGATCTGCTGCTCTACGCTCTTCTTCTTTTCGTTTAGTTTCTTGTCGTGCAATAGTAATACGTTGACACTCCGCTTCAATATCTGCGCCTTGTAATCGCGGTGAAAACCTAACTTCTGCAACTATACGCTGACCCGGTTCAACAGTGCCAACATTAGGAGATATTGTAACCGGACAATCATCAGGAACAACAAATTCGAAGGATGTTGATCCAACATCTGCGATGGGTCCATTACCAATCCGAGGTACCGGATGCGTAAATTGATTTTTATCAAGATGAGTATTTTCCACAAAAATGGTGGAAATACTAACATCATTGATAGCTGTTGCAGCGAAGTTAATGACATTGGAGGATAATTGTAATGGCGGTAATACACCTACAGCCTTACAAGGTAGTTTAAATTTGCTATAGATGGACAAAATATTCAATAGGAACAAACATTAGTCTGAAAATACGTTCATAATTAGTCCAGTATAGTGCTACGAAGATAAAGCTAAAACAAAATTTTCCAAATTCAAGGATTCAATACGTCGTAATAATACCGATCGACTGTTGTCTTGCATGTCAATTCAAATGAATACTCTCCGGCTTTTTGAGGGCTAAAGATAATGTCAATTTCCAACTTTTCGAAAGGTAAAAGCATTCCAAATCCATCGCCTGGCTGAACTGAAATATACTAATACACAAGAAGTATAACAATTACGGGTTTTACATCGACTGGCTCAAGCCCTAAAGAAACTATTTTATTCTAACTATATTTAATTGATTCCCTAGCAACATATCTTTCATGCGTACATCGTTCAGATTGGCTCAAGCCCTAAATAAATTATTTTATCTCCAACTATATCTAATCTACTCCCCAGTAACGTATCTGTCATACTTACATCATTTAGGTCAATAAATCCGAATGATTGCGGCAATGATGATTTATTTTCAATGGTGATAGTTGATATAACTGACTCATGAATAGTGCAATAGCCGAAATCAACGCCTTCAACTGAAAATTCAATATCTGATACTGTCACTTCGCCCTTAACGTTGAATATAACTGGTCTAGTCTAAAAATAGACAAACGAATTAAGAGATTTTACATTATTATTATTTGGCAATAGTCAGTTGTTCAGAACAAATGATAGTCAGGTAAACTGAAATAGCAACCTGGTCGGCGACTTTAATTGTGATCGGTATATCCATTTCACCGCTTATTGGGTCAACGTACTTTTTACACGTTTCACGAATATCTCTCCTAATAAATTATCAGTCACGATGATCAAACTGGGTTCCATTGATGTATTTAAATCAAATTTAAAAAAGATTTCATTCAATTTTTATAGTCATACTACCTTGGAAGAAATTTTAATTGAGCAGAAAATGAGGATTCTGCTTGAACGATACCATGGCGTGGTAATATTTCAAGATGCTCTTGCATTGGCTTAGGCACATCAAATCGTAATCGTAAAGCAGATGTCGCCCTGTACGAATTAAAATACAACTTGGTATCTTATTACTGCTTAAATATAAGTTGGAATAGTAGCAGTGAATATTTATAGTGCACCAATTGGGTTGCTTTCCGTACCTGTTTTGAATGATGACAGAATCTTGATATAATCTGTCAACCATGCATACTTTAAGGTCGATTACCTATTTTAAAAAAAAAAGATAACAGACGCTTTTAGTCAGCTGAGAGTGTTTTCCAATGCCAGTATCATAGCAAGCGTATCTTGTTAAAATACGCGTACGTATATAGCAACGCTAATTAATCTTATTCATTGATGGACTCTGATAGATATGCAATACTTTTATATGACATATCCGTATTACCTGTCTCTTGACCCAAACAGCAACATCAATCCCTGTTCCTACAGCAGTAACTACGATCTAGGTATAACGTTCAAATGTAACAGACGAAAATATCAAACATATGCTACATTGTAATAACTGATCATTTACCTACATTTTATAAAAAAGTATTAATAATTACTTACCGGCACTGATTCAGGATCAGTAAAAGCTATTTGAAAATCTGAAGTAGCTCTACCCGTCACCAAGGGGGCAAAGTTTAATTCAATTTCAACACTTGAAAACGAGTTGATATGACCCTTGAATTTCTAGCGAAATAGAGAAATTCTTTCTCAAAAATGATAATTTAATGCTGTATTCTTACCGAGAACTGACGCTATAATATATTGCTAGGATAAAATCAGATAATCAAGTAGGTAAGTCAACAAAACTGATTTATCATTTCATTATTACCTCTCCAATTTGAAGTGCACTATTTTTATCGATAGCTAAAACATCTGAATCTTCACTGACAGTATGGGTCGAGAGAACAGTACCAGTTGAAGCTAGAAGCAATATGAATTGTTACTTGCAATCGCATAGCTCGTAAAAAATTATTTAAAGATTTTAACTACCATAACAAGATCATGAAAGCTGTTAAATTACCCCGGCTTTCTATTTGTGATAAAGAATCTCCTTTATCGGTTATATCGCTAAGTAATAAACTTTTCTTGTCATCTTCAATAGAAATCAAGTCTGGCGGTTGATTATCATTTAATAATTCCTTTTCTGCTAGCGATGTATCGTCCTTAATCGTGACTTGTTTTTCGCTCGTTACTGCAGCAGTATTCGATAATGGGCTGCTCCGATCCTTGTCATCCGGTAAGGCATCAGGTGCAACTGTCGATGCATTGGATTTATCATCATTACCCATTTTTTGAGCATCTGTTGAATCTTCAATGCCAGCTTGCTGATTTAACTTTTCGGTAACTGATAGAGACGTCGATTCCTTCCTTCCAACTGCTTCATAGTTTTTATCATCTTTCTTTATGCTTTGTTGCGATAAAGACCTAAAACTGATTGATTTTTGAAAGGTGGATGTTGGCTTTGGTTCTCCTTTGTAATCCAAAGCTAATTTCCCTTTATTGGGATCTTGTTCTGTGATGACAGTTGTCTAGAAATCATTCATGTTGTGATCGTAAGATCGATTACTATACTTTATTATACCACACTATATTAATAGGGAAAAATAATCTACTCACAATACGACCGATAGTTCCTGGTGGACTAGCAGATTTAGGAACCTCTGTTAACCGTCAAGTAAAATTATAGAAAGATACACATCAAAACCTTAAATATATAGCTAGATCAGTTATTGTTATAAATGATATCAAAACGAAACGAAATAAAAATTATATATAATATTACCGATTATCCTTGTAATCTCATATTCCGTGTCTAGTGCACCATCGTTTATCAACGTTAGGTGCATTGTCTTCTTTTCTCCAACACATAGCTGGCCAAAGTCTAAACGTTCGACATTAGTTTTCAATGCGCATTTTTTCTTATAGATTTTTAATGGGACAGTGAAAGGACCAGTTTGAGCAAGAAATTTAAGTTCCCCTTCTAAATTTTCGTTGATCTAATGATAAGATAATAGGTACAATTTATTTAGTTAATACCAGTACTACATTTCGAGTAGCAATATCTAGAGTATCATACGCTTCAAAAACTCATCTAAAAATTTAGAGGAAATACTAATAACTTTCTTTTATCGATGTGTATAAGCCAAGTAATAAATTTAAGCTTTACTGAATGCTTGTATATCTGCTTGTGATAGACTAAGAACACTAATATGCACGAGGTTGATTTGTTATTCAACACTTTATGTCTCTGTATAGTCTAATTGCAGTAAGATAGTCCTTGGTAGTTTATGAGACGAACCTAATCTTATGTAATAAAGTGAAGTTTACAAGGAATTATAGTTCTTGTTATATTTTTGAGAAGACACTTTATCACAGTCTCACGAGTAAATGAAACTGCAAGTAAATAAGAAACGATAGGGAATACATAGATTTCATTTTCAAATAAGAAACGATAGGGCATACATAGATTTCATTTTAACAATTTGGATACGTAACAATAGTAGTGGGAAGTGAAGTACATTTATGATACTTCTTCAAACAGATTACTTGAGATCATGCATAAATGGTGGATTTACTTGCAAATAAACAAAGATTTCTTATAGTTAGAAAATAAAAAATAGTGACAATGACTAAGATAATGGTATTAATTTAGTAGGAATAATCAGGTATGATAGAATTAATGACACTTCGCTGTAAAATGTAATTAAAGTTAGATAAAAGATATACCTTCGGAGTAAATATGACCATCATTTTGCATGTTAGACCGGCAGACATGTATCCAGGAGGGTTAAATCTAAATGGAAAGTTTTAATGATTAATTAAGATTTGTAATTGCCGAACAGTAACTGCATTCATTTTATCAATTGCTAGCGCAATTAAGTATTAGCAACTTGTAATAGATTTGATTACTTTATTTCGATAAAGTCCTTCAACTGTTTTGATACGTCCAAGAATTTAACAGAATTGATGCTGTACGATACATTGGTTAACTGAACCACTTGTTTGTAAGTTTTACCAACACTAAAATCCTGCAACCGTAGCCATTGTACATTAGTTATCAAAATTAGATCGAAAATTATCAGCGTTCGTAGACGAAATATCTTACTAACCTTAAAAACTATCACTTCTGGATTACTAGAAAAGGCTTTTCCCTAAGTTTTAACCAGAGTAATTCATCAGCCAGAAATTTTATGCATGAATTAAAATGAAAGCAACTTGTTAATTAATAAAATTAAACATATAATGGATTTACTTTAAATTCCCTTCCGGAAACAATTTGTTTTTGTATCATTTTCGTATATTTTTCACCAAGTTGCTCTTGATCTAGCAGTTGCTAAAATTATTTCGAGAATTATTAGTATAAATGGAATTTTATTACTGAAATAGTTTACAGTGCAATTGAATTGTGTATCAAGTTACTATACTGTATACTCTAAAGTCTCACACTTTTGATCAACACAGTTAAGATTGGTAGGATCAATTAATGCAACGCCTCTCTTTGTTGGTAACACTAATTTGAAACTTTCGTAATACGAATAAAACATACTACGAAAAAACTAATTCCTATTGCAAGTAACCAAACACCTTCGATAGAATTAAGTGGATATCGTGTGCCGTAATATTGTAATAATCCTCATAATAGGAACAATAAAATGTCGAATTACAACGTAACTGTATAATTAAAATTTGCTAGTTATACCGATTCATCTTCAGCGTCAGCTTGTTCCGAATTATAATAATGGCCATACAATTTAGAATCATCTCGCTATTGTATCAGCACAATAATTCCGTTAATATTGAAACCAAGCAATATCTTCGCGTTCAGTGACATAAGGTTTAAAAAGATCTTGTAGAAGGTTTATTTACCTTATCCGCACTTTGACTCCACATTCCTTGAAACTCAGGTATAGCAAAAGCTTCTTTATCATCAATAATTTCTCTGGTATAAAACATTGTTAAATTGAGTAATTTAGTGGTCAAATCTTATAAATACTTAAGTAATATTTTTTGTATAAGAGGCTTGTAAACTAGTTCATACGGTGATATTGCTTGGTTGGCATCATCAATTACATCTTTCATTTCATCTTCATCTGAAGACTGAGTTTGGATCGATACCTATAATTTAGTCAGCATCAGTGAATAATTCTACAGTCAATTTTTAAATCGAATAGGAAATTGCAATAAAAATTAAGCAAGGTGTCATTACATCATGATCATCATCGTGGGGCTCATTGTACAATTCATCCGCAAGTCGAGATATTATTTTTAACTGCTTTTTAGTTTGATCTGGTTTTACCTAGATTTTATAATTGTATTGTTACTAAGACAGTAAATTGATTTAACTTCAACGTAAGCTACTTTTACGCACAAACCTGTACATAATTACGTTAGATTGCAATACCTTTATCGGTTTAGGTTTAAATAGATACGGTTGCCGTTTCTGGCGCTTTTTAATGTTCTCTTCTTCTTTAACTAATTTTTCAATGATTGCCACCTGTCGTTATTAGTAAGAACATCATGTCTATAAGAAGTCATGCTATTGGTAAAATTCATGTCGTCATTGTTGAAGTCTTATACTCTATAATGGCGCATATAGGCATACATAAAGTATATAGCATATGGGTTATTGAACATTTTACCTGACGTTGCTCTCTCTCTGCCTCAAAATTTCTAAATTGCATAAAAAATTATTTAAGTAAGATGGAATCAATTAGCGGATAATCAGACTTGGCTGTAAATTTGCAGCAATGTAATTTAGTTATATATTAATGAATCCTGATGGATTTTATTACGTAATACTCACTTTTTGTCTCCGTCAAATTTTTTTAATTGTTGCTTGCGCAATATTTCAACATCTGGATTCCCTCCACGTTCTCTGATAAATTGACGTTCTTTCTGTTCCTTTAAATGGTCGTTATATGCCTTTTGCATATCTCTAGCATGAATTGCACGCATATTTTCCTATGATAAAAAATATTGAAGAAACATTCAAATTACTTTTGAATACCTAACACAGTTTTTCGGTATAGAAGGTTACATCCATAAAGGATTTAAAACATCCACTCCATAATAACGTACACGAGTAGCTTCAATTCGTTTCTTAAGGGATTGAACACTATTCATTCGCTTCTGAATCAACATTCGAGATTCATTTTCCTTTTTTAACTCTTCCTTCTTCATTCTAGGTTTGAATAGTTTTTTGGTAATTTTATAATCAAGTGTAGGTATTCATAAACTGTGCCATTATTGTACCTGGCGAGTGTTTCTTGCAAAAATGTTTGAGCTCGTTTTCTATTTTCTAGTGCATCATTTGCAGTCCGTTTAACACGTTCAGCATCCTCACGAGCTTTAACAATTTCCATCCTTTAAAGTAAATGAAGATTATCTTCATTTAGCAAATGCTGATAGAAGATATATTTAAATTAAATAAAAAGAGCTTTTTAAAGGTAATAACCTTTGTTGCATTTTGAGATATCTAACGGCTGCCTTGCCATAATCTTCCTCCTTGTGGGCTCTGATAGTTGCTATTTCTGCCTTTCTGGTTTTCAATATTAGCTCTTGCTGTTCTAACTCTTCGTTTAATAAGACGTACTTGCTACGCTCCAACTGGGCTTTTGCTAAATCTAGCCTATAACAACAATTCATAAACATATGTAAAATCCAATAGTAAGTTTTTAGATACCGACTACTTTTTTCAAAATCTTACTCAGCTCGTTTTAGCTCCTCCGAAATGGAGGTTTCTACTTCTTGTTCCGAAGATAATTCAACGCACAACTTCGTGTAATGCGATTGCAATCGATAAATGGCAGCTCTAAAAGGATATAAATTTTTTTATTTATAGTTTTAAGTATTGATTTTTAAGACTGTTACTTAACAAACCGTAATAAACCAGCATTCAATACGAAGTTATATCTCTTTCTATTAGCAATCGGCAGTCATGAAAGAGCTGCAAGTCACAACGATAACTTACTTATTATTTCTTTCTTCTAGCTCTGCTATTTCATCAGCAACTGCGTTACATTCGTCACTGAAAGCTTTCAATCGATCGTGACAATTTTTAACCTCTTCTCTGTATCGCAAAATGAAAGCGATAACCATGTGTAAAGGTTAATATAATTATGACAGGGATTGGATCTACCTTTAATTCATGCAATAATTGAATTAATAGGTAGGTTACCTTAATTGAGCAGCTTGCACATCGTATCTTTCGACATCTTCATCAAGTTTGTTTAAAAACTGTCGAAGAGCCAACATTCTGATTCTCTCCTATGGGGAATAATATTTACTGCCCTATTAGTACCGTTCACTTAAAGATAAGAGAACAATAACCGTACCTGTCTACTGATTTTAAAGGATTTCGATTGCTGAATGGGTTCATCTTCGTCATTACTGTCAGAATCGAGATCTTCCAATTCCCTAAGCAATCATAATTAATCAGGGACAAGATATTGAACGATATTTAAGATATCTAGTGATAGGATTGTTATTCAATAGCTACGACAATCTAGGTGTTTTAATCATTTCTGCTGGCAACTGGCTACTAGGAATAGTATTAAAAAGATTGTAGTTTTTAACTTTCCTACCTTAAAATTTCTTCTAATCCTGGTCCATCATCTTCCAAATCTTCATCATTGAAGTTGTCAGATTGTCTTGTAATGGCTAATCGGAATATCGATTGTAATATTATTATTATACTTTGAAGCGGTATTAATTCAATAGAATAGCCAGTATAATTAAACTACTAACACTTTGTACTTGTCGATTTTTCAGTAGTAGGAGAGTCCCCTTTCCGATCACGATCTGGACTTGAAAGACGAAATTCGTTATGGTTACCACTGTCCATTAGCTGATCCTCGTTTTGTATGGTGTCGCTCATGTTGATGTACAGTTATCAACGCTTTAGGTCACTAAGTATGCTTAAACAGATGGAAGTAACCAATAAAATATAAATTTGTACTATCTAAAAATTAAGCTAAAGCAGTTGTTAATATTATGTTGCTATACAATAGCATAAACACGGTGCTAAAGCTTTTAAATTCTTATTAAAGTCAAGAATTTTTCGTGATATTTATTATGCATATGATCGATTATTCATAACTCGTCTATGATGCTATAGTATCTCCAGAGCATATTGCATATACTCGATATTTATAGTATAATACACTATACTTAGTACGCTAGTAACATTCACTTTAAAGCATATACTACTGTCTATAGAGATATGTAAGGTACTCGAAGTAAGTTTGTAAAAAAGAAAGATTAACTTGAAAGAAGTCCATGCAGAGAGTTCATTTACAAAATGGTTGCTATGAGCAACGTCGCGCATGCGCGTTACTAACCAATTCGTGCCGGAGCAGCATCCTTGCTATTCTGATCTCTACTACGGTATACTGTACAGCACAGTATAGTCATTTCTATCGATTTTAGGACATACTACTGTAAGAATATCCAAGCCAATAAGGACTGATGGAAATAGCCATTAATGCCTTCTCGGTTACTAGCAATACGAGAGGATTCTATCTACTAGGACGAAGCAATCTCTACGATGAAATAGTGAATGAGTTCATTTCTTATGCTGTATGGCGTACTGTAGACTATAAAATTGATTTACTTCAGGTATTAAAAATGCCATCATTTGGGCCGAATGCGGAAATTAGAATTTCACTTTTAACGTTTAAATCATGAACGAATATTTGCTAATTTTAATTAAAGCAGATGAAATGCGAGTTGCTGATTTAATTTCGAATTAGATTATAGCAGTAATAGACTAAAAAGCGCTTTGCATGTATTCATTATAAAAACGATTGATAGAGTTAGCAGCGTTGAACGGTATTTTTCATCTAGCTTAGGCATACGGCTGCTTTTCGTCAGATGCAATACTAAATGCTAAGCCCGCTGCTGGATTTAAAGCATATTGCTAGACAACCGCCATGAGCTTTAGCTACGTATACGCTTTTAGCGCTAAAGTACTCAGTACGATGATTTGCACTAGATTCCCCATTTAATATGAGCATTCGGACATGATAGAATGCTCCGCACTGTGGAAGAAAAAGCTTTATTTATTTGTATGTACTAGTTAGCATGCATAAGCTCGTTCTAATTATTACCACTTTTTAGTTAGTCAATTAGTTTTTCAATTGCTATTAAATTGTCAAGACTATAATCTTGGTTGTCAAGATTTCTTCAGTAATAAATAGTAATAAATCTCTGACTACCTCGTCTACACTATCAGTGATGCTATAATTAGACTGTAGTATTTGGTCGTTAGAAGTGAATTATTTGGTGGTATAGCTAATCTCGCCTATTTAAGTCAGTAAGAGGCGTTCTTCATAAGCATTGGCGTGCGTAGATTACTTTGTCACTAGTGGTGTGTGACAGTACTACACTTACTATATGTACTAACTTGATCTGTTATTCCTTAACGATGTGCTAGCTGCTTTATATCATCATAATAATATTCATTTATAGACGTTGCGAATGCAAGTCCTTGACTCAGTAAAAATACGCGTACAATATAAAGGTTATATATACATATACATTCAGCAAAAAGGTATGCGTCAAATAAACGAGCAGGGGTCTAGTAAAAGCTACAAAGTGGTTGCTTGTATCCAACCCTGCATGCGGCATCCAGTCCACTGGTTCTATGTGCAGAAGCAGTTAAATGCCTATGCAGTATCTTTACGTTGTTATATGATACTTTAGTTTTAGTTGAGGGAATATTGAACATGTTCAAACTAGTCCATCAGCCTTGAACAGGTCTAGAGATATCGTGTATTATCATCGTCTATAAATTCATACTGTATATATATATCTACAAATGTATAGTAGAAGTAATATTAAAACCTTCATTTCTTTATACGTACAGTATACTTACTACACGTACTAACTTGATCTGTTATTCCTTAACAACGTTCTAGCTGCCTTATATCATCATAATAATATTCATTTATCGACGTTGCAAATGTAAGTCTTTGCCTCAGTACAAATACCCATACAATAGATAGGTTATATGCAAGTACATTTAACAAAAAAGGTATGCATGAAGTAGAACGAGTAGGAGTATTGCTAAAAGCTATAGCAGTTCATTTGCCTATACAATATCTCTACAGTATCTCTACGTTGTTATATAATACTTTAGCTTTAGTTGAAGGAATATTGAACTCGTTCAAGCTAGTCGGTAAGCCTTGAACAGCATCTAGTTATATCATGTATTATCGTCTATAAATGAATACTGTCTAAATACGCGTATATATGCAAATGTACACTAAAAGTCATATTAATTAGTTTTACCTACAATTCTAATCAATCAATCAATCAACTATATACCGTGTATATGCTACGCATACAGTTATCCATTTGTAGTCGTAGAGCAGTAACACTGTCCAAGGGTTTCTCTACACGATATCACCAGTAGTACACAGTATCAATAATTATAATTAATAATTCTATGGTTGCTTCTTGGAGGCGGATCATTAATTATGTAAGCAGCGATGGCATCAATACTGTATTGATCCTTTAGCAAAATAATAGCGATTCAACATTGATTGCCAAAGCCTTGACTAAAACTACTGCTTCTCACTAGTGCATAAGACAGTTTTTACAATCGAAAGAAATGATACAGCAAATTATACCACTGTGTATAGAGATGACTCAAGAGCCATCTTGCCTTGTCTCCTATTAAGGGGAAATAGTCGTCACTGCTGTGGAAATACAACCTATTCAATCCAAAATAAAATTAGTCTAGCGCAAAATTACATTGAAATCGATCCTTCTATCGAACAACGATGAGTTTATTGATTCAATTATCCGTAGCTATTGCATTCTTACTACTCAATGGCGTCATTGATGGATCCAATCCGGGTGATAGTGATGAAGTAACTGCATTGCCAGGACTGTCGATTCCTTTACCTTTTAAACATTACTCCGGTTATTTACAGGGTGTTGATAGCAATACTCAGTTACATTATTGGTTCGCTGAATCTTATGGTAATCCTGCAAGCGATCCTTTAATATTATGGATGAACGGTGGTCCTGGTTGTAGTTCATTGGATGGACTACTAACCGAGCATGGACCTTTTAGTGTCAATGATGATTTAACCATTTCTTTACGTAATACTTCGTGGAATAAATTTGCTAATGTCATCTATCTTGAATCACCAGCAGGTGTTGGATTTTCTTACGGACCATCGTCCAATTTATCGGATATTACAACGGCAGAGAATAACTACGCTGCTCTTAAAGCATTCTTTAAAAAATTTCCTACATTCGCCAATCATGACTTCTACATTACAGGCGAAAGTTATGCTGGCGTTTACGTTCCTACGTTAGCCACTCGTGTTGCTAATGATAGTACAATCCGATTAAAAGCGATTGCTATTGGCAATGGCATTCTAGACAGGACTAAAAATCTCGATTCATTAATGTATTACGGTTACTATCACGGCCTATTGGGTGGCCAACTATGGAATGGCTTGCAAGTTGCGTGTTGCAGTGGCAGTAGCTGCCAATATGCAAATAGTAATAATTTCCTATGTTCTCATCGAGTTCGCTCTGCTACTAATTTAATTTGGGGCGATGGCCTAAACCTGTATAGTATCTATGAGGATTGTTTAAAAGTTCGACAAACTTTAGCCATTAGAAATCATCTACAAGACTCTAACCAACCTCTTTATGGAACCCCACCTTGCTTTACTGAGAGTATACTATCCAAATATTTAAATAGCGATGCAGTTCTGAAGGCGTTACATATTGCCAAGCAGGCTCCAAAATGGACGATCTGTAATTTTATTGTCAACCTCAATTATCAAAGGACCTATCCTTCTGTTATCCATTTCTTAAAGAATCTGTCATCCAAAATGCGCGTCTTATTATATTATGGCGATGCCGATGCTGTGTGCAATTTTATAGGTGGACTTTGGAGTGCTGAAGCAATCCAAGCCCCCAAAATCGATGACTATAAACCATGGTATATTAACACCACATACGGCAAAACAGTTGCAGGTTTTATACAGCGATATGATAACCTCGATTTTGTGACTGTTAAAGGAGCTGGACACTTAGTCCCAACAGATCAGCCTGATGCTGCCTTTCGACTGATGGAAACTTTTATAGGCGGTCATAGTTTATAATAATAATGTGTTGCCGTGAAGATAGTATTCTATCAATTTATTGGCAACATGGGCTCATTTACAGGCCATAATAACGAATAAAGTAGAAAATGATAATCGAAAAGTTGTTGAAAACGGCAATTTCCGTAGGATTGTCAAGTCCGATGGACAGGATCTTGAAAATCTTGTGGATATTAGATGCACTTTATTCTATTTGTAAATTATGAAATGACCTAATAATGATATGATTATTGGCTATAAAATAGTTGTCCTACGCAAAGATAGAAATCCTTATAAACATTTTCAATTGGAGTAGGATCTGCAGATCATAATCTATCATTGACCCACAGGGATATATTTCTCTCGGTGATCTTCCAAAAAATCAGTTAAGTGATAAACTACAGTATGGTCATTTAATGTACATTCATTGTAGATGGTGTAAATGTTTGATGTACTCGGTTGGACTGTATAGAATTGTTACATGAATCTGTAGATTGATTTTTACAACACTGTGCATCAGCATGTTGTATCCTATATCACTAGTTATACCATTAAAAGTAGATTGTTGCATGAATCTGTAGATTGATTTTTACAATACTGTGCATCAGCATGTTGTATCCTCCTATTTCACTAGTTATACCATTAAAAGTAGATTGTTAGTTTATTGTACATTATTTATGTGACTTAGCATACACATTGCATGGATTTTCCATTAACTTTCCTGATACGAAGTTCATCAATGGACCTAACGATATTCCCTTTAATTAATTTATTAAATAATTATAACGGCTGAGAACAAACTGTAGCTGATAGGTCAATTACATAATTTATGTTCATATTATCAATTATTCTATATACAAGTATTTAAAGTTATTTTCTGTAGTATCTTGGCTTTGTTAGTTAGCATTGCCAATATGTGTATATCTTACTATTCAGAGTTCAATCAAGGAATAAATGAAAGATTAAGACTAATCGGTGCATCAGATTTAAATTACTAATTGATCAATTTTGTGAAATTCGTTCATGAAATATTAGAGCACAGTATGCTAACGTCTTCAGTCAACGAAATTTTAAATCCTTATTGGTTTTAGTTCATGGAAATGTCTCGTACAGTTAAAAATTCAATGAAACGGGATACGAACATGTCATGTCTATGGATTAAAACATTTTGTTTACTAACTATACGCATAAGTGCACTTCCTCTACAGTAAGTAAATTAGCTGTAGACTCTGCAGTACTACAGTAGGTAGTTTTCGAGCGGAGAAGTACAAAAATACCTCGTATAGCTCTACAGTATTGTCAAATCCTACAAAGGTAAACACGAAGCCGATCCAAAAGTTAAAGAGTAAAAATGCAAAGTTTTATTGCATACAGCCAGTACACTACCAAGGTAAACATGATTATAACAACAGTCACTGAGCAGCAAATTTACAATGTAATTTTAAACTTACCAGCTAAAACAGAAGGTCCATTTCCAGCCAACCTATAATTCTAAAATTGTCGCGCTAGGCAGTCGGCTGCAGTATGAGCACAGTCTACTACAGTCTGCTGCAAGCACTATGCATGTGAGTCAAAAGTTGCCATCGCCGCTTGCTGCAATTTTTGCATTCCTGAAGGTGGAATAACTTCTGAATAAATAAATAAACAAAACAACATTATTAGATGATGCTTATAATGATTAGCCGAAAGATGGAGGATCTGGGTGCAAGTAGCATACTGTAAATACAGCGCCATACCCCTTGATCCAGAGAGATCGGTGTCTTTGATCTTATCTCTGGGGCTAAAATCTCTATTAGTGCTAGGCTTTCCAAGGGTTATGCAGACTTGAAGACGCTAATGTTGAAATTGATTAGACATTTTGGCAGAGTACTGTACTGTACAGTACGTACACGAGGACTACTAAAGAAGGCATCGTAATAATTCCAGCTGTACAACTATAGCGTCCATGTGCGACAAGTCCTTCCATTTTATCTGATGTAAATAAGACAAGTAAGAAAAATTCTCATCAAAATTTGAAAACAGATCTAATATTATTATGATTATCATTACTAGTTGATATTGATATATATTCTACTGAATTTCGCTTGCCATTGCCTAATTTGCAATTGTTTACCTGATATAGTTAAAAGAAGCATTATGTTTACACTTTTAGCGTTCTTGCCTGCAACTTTAACAACGATCATTGCCTGCACGACAATTTTGGTAGTTGTCATCACTTGCTATGTGCAGTCACGACCAAAATGGACAAGGCCTTGTCCTCCAAAGAAAGAAAATTACGATGTACAGCAAGGCGTTGTATTGCTATTTCAACTGGAGCGAAACTGCACTGTACCTAGTCTAGCGGCTTACGTTTTAAAACTTGAAACTTATTTACGTATGGCCGAAATCCCGTATAAAAATGATCATAGCTTTACTTTATCCAGTAAAGGTAAAGTTCCTTGGATTATTGTTAACGGCAAAGAAGTTACGGATTCATCATTTTGTATTGAATACTTGAGTCAGGAATTTGATAAAGACCTGGATAAAGGCTTGAATGAAGAAAGTAAAGCTGTTGGTCGAATGTTAACCAAAACGATGGAAGAGAATACGTTTTGGGCCACCATTGAACAAGCCAGACTCTATGATGGCTTAGACGAATGGTTGGATCTTGTAGATGTCAACTCGTCAATGCGATCCTTCTTCAAAAATCAAGGCCCAAAAATCGTGAAAGAATATAGTTGGGGACATGGCATAGGAAGGCATTCCTCGCAAGAAATACATCATATAGGTGAATTGGACCTACGATCCTTTTCAGTCATTCTTGGCTCTAAGAAATACTTCCTTGCTGATTATCCCACTACGGTTGATGCATGCATGTTTGGATTTTTGGCAAATATGCTATATGCTGTACCCAAATCGTCCCCATGCTATCGTTTGTTAACTACGGAATTGACAAATCTTGTGGATTATGTAGAAAGAATGAAAGCAAAGTATTGGCCAGATTGGGAAGAAATCACCAGCAGGGCACCTAGAGGTAGTCTCGGTCACTGAAATAGACCTACAGTAATGAACAGGAAAAGAATATTGTAGAATCATGGTGTTTTACGCTAGATGATTATAAGGAAGTCACTAGCAAACGTAGTACTCTACATCAGCATAACTGGATTAGACAGGTGCAAGCTAGTAGTCTATCAGTAATTGACAGTAAAGAATATTGTAATATTATAGCATGCTATGTTTGATAATTGTAGAATGAAGTTACTAACTACAGCAGTCCTGTATATCAGCAGAACTCGACATGTTGTGCAAGCTAGTAGTCCATCAAATTTCGGGAATATTCTATCGATTTTCGTTTAAAGGTTGCTCGTTACTCGTTTGTGTTAATTTCGTGATTGAAAAAGGATGTCCACTTCATTTACGGTAACTAGTAATCACATATGTGTTCTTTATAAGCATTCTACAGTCCCTTCATTGAAATACTGTATACATAAGTTATTCAAGTCTGCAAATTCTTTCTATTTTCGTTCATGATTTCATTTTTATGAATGATCCAAAAAATAAACGATGTGTATATTATAATATGATATTATTTAACTGCACGGGTATATTGATAATCTCCTAACATAAAGGAATTGCGCTACTATGACTTAGTTCGTACTTTATAACCATGATTGCTGATACTGTCGAAGCAGTTAAAATAATTGCACAATCAAAATCTTGCTTAGATATTGCATTTTTTTTCTCGTCTGGCAATCAATTGACTTGAAAATAGATTTGATCTCAGCTACCTTACGATGAGTATTCTTGAAAGAGGTTGTAATAGTATAACTAATTACTAGGTATATAAGCGTTGCTTTGCATACTGCATTGCGTTGATACACTACTGCTAAGGTTAGTCAAATAGTTCCAGCATTCGCGTTCCGCAGCAAGTTATTTTTGGTATCGTTGCAGTCAACTTCCAGAGCTGTGGTATACTGTATTAATTATAAGAATTTACCTCTTTTCTTGCTAGCCCAACTAAGCCGCAATAAAATCTAGTCTTACCCAGTTTCTGTAATGATAATATTCAATATCGATAGTACTATTTTGTAGCTCATTTACAAGGTGTAATGGCTAAATTTTATGAGCGAAGGTATCCGCGTAGACTATTCTTGCTATTTGCAACTTGAGATAAAAGGCCTAGAGGAAATTTTTCAAGGTTGGAATTAGCTGAAGTTAGCTTTTAGATTACTGCGTCGATGTTCTACTATCAGCTCTGTTCTGCTCACGAAAACGTCGACACAGGAGACAAAAATCATGACAAACAAATTTTGATCTGGTCTATCGGTCAATGAGTATTGTAGGACAAAAATCTGCATTCTCACAAGTAGATACCCTATAATAGGACAGTAGTCCTGCAGATGTGATAAGTTGGTGCTAGACCAGATTTTAGACAATCTGGTAAATTACTATGACTGCATGATCACACTATTGCAATTATACAAGGCTGAGCTCATGCCAAAGTATCCCATCTTTTAGCCCTAGAACTGCAAGATCTGCCAAAATGACGGCGTAAAAATTGGAAGATTACTGGACTCATCGAGATAAAAGAACGTGTATAGTTGCAGTATACTGTAGGTAATTATGGTAAGGTCTGTGTGAGCAATACAATCAGCTCACTTAGAAAATTTTATATATAAAATTGCGAATTTAAGTTTTCCAAGTATATCAGCGTTTGCAGTACCCATAGGCCATAGCATTAGCAATGCCCTGTAGTACTTAAAAGAGCCCATAGCAATGACATAAAATTGAGTTGATAACTAGACAGGCTTTAAATGCAATTTCATTTTCCGTTCTAAGGATTTGTATATACAACTATTCCAATGGTATCTTATAAAAAAGTATGATTATATGATAGAATCATTTAAACAGGATCCATTATTCCAACTAACCCTAACAGTATATATCATAGGTACAGCATGATCCTTTTCCAATCAGATGAATCAGCACATATTATATGCGGGCATTTTTTTACGAAATCCGGTAAATTTTTTATATGTAGAAAGAGTAAGCTCTCATGTCGATTGGTGCATATATCATGTTACATTGGTTAATACTAAAGTGTTTAACTTCATATTAAAGAATTGGAAACGAAAAAGATCACGCTGTATATATTTTATATCACACACTATTGTTATGTCAATTTTAAGTCAAGGGTAATGGATTTCTTAAGGTAGTAGAGATTATAAACGAGTAAAACACAACTAGATGAGCACGATAGACCATTCGTAGTACAGAATTTGATGTAAGCATACAATATTCTCCAGAACGAATTTCATACGCGTGCTATACATCAACAGTTTCTTGTCTCTACAAGAGATTGAACTGAAAGTCATCGGTGATCGAATTATTTTCAGTATCGAGGAAAATCCCTTAGTATTATCTTACTTTCTATCGTTGTTTAAGTGCATCTATTTAGTAATAAGTGCCTGGTAAAAACCTTTTATGCTTATTTTATATTTATACAGTACATGAGCGCCGATAACAACAGTCCTCCTATTTTCTCTAAGCTACGTATATAAACAAATTAAAACACGCTTTCATTCAATATTACTACACTATATCAATTCGGGTTATATAGTCCCAAACTCTTCATCTTGGACTACTGTACAGACTACTGAAGAAAAAAACTCTAATCTATCATCTCGCCAGTTCTAAATATTACCCACTTTAGCGTAGCACTAATAGTTCATTTTGTTACTTTGGTGAGAAAAGACCAGTGTTATTTGCAGTTGCCCTGTGCCATTGATGAAAAGCAACGGTGGTACAAACTATTTTTAATGATAAAATACGTTTTCCTATTTTATAAACTAATAACGAAAACAAGGATTTATTGAAAGCATCGATTTGGAAAACAGAATAGAGTAATAGTGTATGAAACTTCGGTGCTGATTGCATTGATATTATACACTTTCAACAACATTTACTTCCGTAGAAATTATCATAACACATTATAGAATGGGGGGAAATCTTAATAGATATCATAGTATGATAGTAGGGATATCTACACACTAACTAATTCGTATTCTGCCACTCCAACCATACTATCAGTCTATCTATCAGTCGTTTGCCTTTCTATCCTGTAAAATACGAGATTACAATTGATAGCTAGGAATTAAAAGAGCCGTAGAGAAGGCGTCAATCTCGGTTCTAGAAAAGCTTTCCTTAATACGTGATATATCAACCTGGGAAAATAATTGATTTCTTTTATTTCAAGAAGAAAAATATAATAAAATTGAAAAATGAATGACAGCTAAGAATGTTATTGTCGTGAACAATAATGGTGATGAATAAATTGAAAGTATTGTCTTTTTTAATTATAAGTTTTACTTCTATCTATCTATCTATAGTTTATAGTCGAGTAGGCGATGTTAAATTGTTTAAAGTCAATAAAAGCTTAATACCGAGATCGATTTTTTTCATCTATCGATCAACGAACGACTTGTTGATTGTAGCCGTATCTGTAAAACAGAATACAAGTTATGTCGAGTTTCTATCGTTTCATGACGACTGTCCTTGTGGCAGTAATCCTATCTAACGCGCCATACTGTCAAGGCGATAATGATGATCATCCTCGAGGACATTTCGACCGCCTTGGTAGCCACATTGATTCTGATGGTCATGTCGAAATATACGATGAAATCCCAACAGCCCAAAAGTTTTGGGAAAAGCATGTTCGACATAGGTTACCAGCCGTATTTCGTGGCGCAGCTAAAAATTTTGAAGCTTTCAACTTGTGGACAGATGACTATTTAAGGAAAAATTATGGTGACCTCGAAGTAAAACTAGAAGCAAAAGCAGAAAAAAAAAATGTACCTATTGGAACTAAAGGCAAAGGAAGGGATACCATTGCCGATTTCTTGGACAGCTATGTCAAGAAAGATTCTTATATCGTCTCACAATTGCCTGATCCGATGTCTCCTGAAATCGGTGTTTTACCTTGTATAACCTGTGGTTCTTTTAAAAATCGCATCTTGGAAGCTAATTTATGGCTCAGTAGTGGTGGTACTAAATCTCTCCTACATAAAGATGCAGGTAAAAAAGTTAAGCTATCGATACAAGGTTACTATCTTTCAATTTTTCTAGTCGAAGTTTTATTTATAGAAACTGAACTTTCCAATTAAAATATTTAGTTGATTAAGGTAAATTTCAAATTGTCAACTCCTTTTTTGATGCTCGGTGCCATAACGCTTAGTTTAGAAGTAAAGCTAGAAAATTTTGGCCTAACTTAATGTTACCATACTATAAACGTGTAAGCTGATAATAACAGCGATTTCTCATTCGCCATGACCTTATAGCCGTTTATGTTAAGATCGATGTTTAGTATCCGCTAAATTAGGCACTTGAGACATTTAACAGCTTCATAGATATTCTCTATCATAGACTTTTGTGGAATAGAGTTCGAACTGAAAACCTACATTTTACTTTGCAATTTTTCAATTTATAAACGCTACCTTGACTCTTGAATAGCGAATAAAGATAATTTATAATAAAAATCTATACTTAGTACTTGTTCAAAGTATGCTACGATATGAATTGTTAGCATCTTTATAATGATATTAATTCAATGTTATTCATACACGGGAATGAATAGACAACGCTATTAATTGCCTCCTGAATGGAACCAAAGATTGGCTTTTAATCCACCCTAAATACGAAAAATTCATTCCAATGGCCAAAGAAGCCAAATCAGAAGTTGGCGGATTCTCCACTATTAACGTGGATAAAGTCAATATTAAAAAATATCCCAACTTTAAGAAAGTCCATTACAACCATGCTAATCTATCACCAGGAGATTGTTTATACTTGCCTTATGGTATGTCAGCTAGTTGAGTTTTAAATAAATCTTTCTATTCACTTTATTCCACTATGGGAATATTGAACTCGTTTAACCGAAAATGTCGATCAATTTAACTTGGTTATGTTCGAAAATAGATTTGTTTATGGTAGAGAGATTTAAGCACTTCAATGACAATAGTTGTTGATTAAATCAAAATGAAATTACGAAGAGGCTAATAAGGTTTAAAATATTATGTGTTCAACTAGCTTATTTGCATCAAGTTCGATCTTATGGCTCGAAAAATATGGCTGTTTCTGTACTCCTTGCAGCCGGACTCACTCACGAAAAGACTTTTAATAATGAGGATTGTGAATCCAAAGACTACAAAGTTTTTCCAAAACTGACTGAAGTCAACATGGTGTGGACTTATCCAGGACATGGTCCACAAACACTAGGTAGCATGGATCCAATGGAACTGAGGTAAATTTGTTTCAATATTATTAAACTAGAATAATCTACTTGCGTTGATAATAACTAGATGCAAAATAATACAAGCCTATGGCAGGTGTATTATTTCTGGATAGTCATGATATTCTACAATCTTCATCAATCTTGTAAATGCTTTTAAATACAAAATACAACAGGGATAGCATTTTGAAACTCTTTAAGAAAAAGGATAAAGTACCGAGCGACAGATTCTTGCAAGAAGTTACAGCTGTAAGGAATCAAAAATAATCATATAAGATCAATTTTGTTTTAAACACAAAATGACTTTGAAAGAATCTTAGTTAAGCTGGATATTTTTTGCTGCAGATGGATGATGAAGAAGATGAAGGTTCCGGCATGATTAAAATTCAACATAAAGCTGTAAGTCCTTATTAGTGTAATATTATTAGAGTAGCAAAGTAAAGGCCCGTTCATAATAAATAACCAATTGATGACCTCTACTCCAGATGCTATAAAAGTAATCATTTCTACTTTGGATAAAATTTTAGTATACAAAACATTTTGGGCTGGATAAGAAAAAATATGTAACTGCAGAAGAGGTTAATAAAATTCCATTTGAGCAATGGAAAGCATTAGCTGTTGATATGGATCCCGATCCAGCAAATACAGAAGAATATGAATACGCCTTATTTGATGTTAAGCAATTTCAGTATGGCATAGAATTAACTATATAGCATTTTGATATTGAAGTAACGATATTCACACCCACATCTAGGAAGTTTAAAATAACAAAATAGCCACTCGTGTCTGTAATGTTTACACGAAATGGTGATTCTACTACAGGAATTTACTTATTTTTCTCTCTCTCGCTTTCAATGTAAATAGAAACGTTGTACGGAAATCTATGAACCAGAAAAGTGGAGAATTAGATTCTGAAAAGTTTATTAAAAATTATATGGTAGACAATTAAAAATTACATAAGAAATTTTATTGCCATCCCTCAGTAGCTATACTCGTATATGTGTAAATCATAATTAATTAGTGATCAATTATACTTTTTTGAAGATGTTATTATAGTATTGATGTTTAACTAGAGCAGTATCATAGAAGACAGTAACAGCTTTATATCCACTTGTGTTATAATCTTACTATCATTGCTATGATAAATTTATAGTACTTTTCTTTTTTTAAATGTAGAAAATCGGTGGTTCGGAAAAGATTGCAAATGATGTAAGTACTAAGACAGTAATTAATTTCACAAAGAATTAAAGTGAACATAGTTTATGTGAGCTTACTTATAAATACCGAGAAAATACGATTTCGATACGGATATAGTATGATAATCTTTTTCAATTTTAAATAAAGTTGAAAAGCTTAAGATGTTAACAATTTTAATGCAAGTAGCTAAACAAGCTAATCGTTAATTGCGTTTATGACATGTAGCTGCTGGAAAAATTCGACAGTAACAACGACAAAGTTATTGACGGGAATGACTTGGAGAAAACTGCCGAAAAGGTTCTCAGTCTTTTTAAAGAACATTCTATGCCCCCAAAGAAGGTCGAGGTTAAAGATGAAGACTATCTCAGAGAAGAAGCAGAAACAGAAGAAGAAGGATTACCAGGTGATGAAGGAGATGATTTGATGGGTGATGAATCGGAGGGCGAAGGTGAATATCGTGAAGGCGAAGAACCTGAGGAAAGAGCTCCAAGAGATGATGATGAAAACAGAGATTATCACGATGAACTTTAAGCAAGTTATTTAATCATAATAGGACAAGTAATAACATCGACAATATTATTAATTCGAAGTATTTCCTTTCAATATATCCATACACTAATGCAACATTAATATACCTTTAGGACTGCAGGCGATAAAAATGCAAAGATAACCAAATCAGCATGATTAAATGCAAGTCCACACGATTCAATGCCAAACATAGCCAATTAATGTGACTTTAAAGCGATAAAAATTAATCTTCGTACTGAAAACTTCTTGTCTTGATATGTTGAATAGCCTAACCTGATATACTATACAATAATTTAATTTAATTTCGTAAATAAAGCATTTTCTTATTTAACCTATTTGTTATCAATGCGAGTAATATTTATGAGTGATATTTTAATTAGCATCGAATGAAAATTTCAGCGCTATATTTTTATCTCATGAATGAGTTACCGCATGATGGAGTAGACCGCGATCCAAAAATCGCGAAATTAAATGCATGCTGTTAGATTATATTTAAAAACCAAAATATTTACGAGTGGAGATAGAATCTCTATTACTAACCGAAATTGTCATGCAAGCAAATATCTCGATATTATTTTACTATATATTGCAAAGTTGAACGGCTAGGAAGAGTAATGAATTATAATAATAGCAGGAATATTATATTTCATGGCAGTAGCAAAGAAAAACAGTAAAGTACAATTATAAACATTGCCAATTTTTAAATATTGAATTAGATTAATTCTGAATACATCTCTCAATAACATAAAAAATCTGGAATATGTTTCTTTCATTGATTTGTTTATTACAGAGCATAGTAAATAATAATTAATTGACGGTGTGTAAATAATAGACTACCGATTACTGTAATAACAGAGCAATCGTAGCCAAGCTAACTGTAGGGCTTAGCTCTAAACTACAGCAAGACATTTAAATCAATTCTAAGTGAATTTAGAGTTTATCAAGTTTCCATTTTATTTAAAGTGATTAATGATCTATAAATTTAAATTACAGTTATCCTTGTTTGTGCAACAGTGCAACTTTCCAATTTTTACATCTTAAAGGTCTGCATAATATGCCTATGGGATACAATCTTGCAGTAGCCATTCCAAGAAACAAAGCTAGATTTCGAACATAGTTTGAACACTAATGTCATGGATTAAAAAGTAAATACGCGGAAGTAGCACTAACTTGACTCCAGATTGTAAATAAACAATAAACAATATAATCACATGTTTGTAAATAGTCATGGTAATTGAAAGTATATTAATAAATAGAAATAAATGATTTCTTAATCGAGGTGCACAATGTTAAAGATGTTTATTCCATTAGGAAATCGTATTTTCTCTGACATTAAATCTTATAATACTGATCAGAAAACTTAGTTCGCTGATAAATGCTGCCATCCGTGGATAATCGGCATTAAGGTTAAGTTAATATTATTTCACTAAACATTTTGATTATTTAAAATTTCAATTGAGTGGTTGAACTTGATTCAGGTATCACAGCTCATCTAATATTCGTCCATCTTTTCTTTGTCTATTAAACTCTAATCTGTCGTTATCATCATCGTCAGATTGCTCTAATTCCTCATCTTCCAGCTTGTTTTCATCTTTTTCATCTATGATGGAGTCATTTTCATCTTCGTTCCGATCATCTTCTGGCTCATCTGCTTCATTACTATTATTTTGTTCATATTCCTCGTCTAGAATATCTTTATATATTTCTAAAGCTTTCGGAAGATTTCTCTGCACTTCATTTTTATCTATGATGTTATCCTTATCTTCGTCCAAGGTATTAATAAACTATTTAAAAAATTACATCGAAAATGACTCAAATTATCGAGACACATATTGTGTTCATGTTTTAAACATTAAAAATCTTGCGAGATATCTACCTTTGAAGCGAAATAATCGGAACCACCAAGTTTCTAAAAGTTATCAAGTACATAATTATTCTATCAGTACCAAGAAATTTGATATTTTTAAAATCACTCGTATATCCTGGATTTAAATTGTCATGATAGAAATACTTAAAGTGACCTTGTATTTGTCAGTAAATTTTTGTTGATCGAAATAACCTTTACTTTCTATAGACGCTTTAGCAATTCGTCTAGAAATAGAAAGTCAATTTCAGTATTAATCACAGTAATAAAATGTTGAAGTTTCAGAATAGCTACACTATTCCTCCTTATCAAGAAGTAATTAAAAATTATTATAGGCAATGGGTTTGTTATAATATCCATTAACGAAACCTAACGGAGAAGTAGTCCAAAACCATTGCCTCGTAATTCAAATCATTTTCTGGGTTAGTTGCTAGCTCCTGAAGAGTTCTGATCTCATTGTAGACATTTACTGGAATTGAAAGTAGCTGTTGATAGGTAATATATTTTTGGCTGAAATCAATCCATTTCTCAAGCTATGTCAAATATAAGCATAATAAACCATGCCTGTTAATATTGTAAAGTATTCTTAAAGGTATAGTATCATCTTATTAGATTTTATATAACACGATATGAAACCAGTATCCGATCGTAGATAATCCAAATTTATAATATTAAATTCCGTATCGATATCAAATTCGCCATTGTCACTGTTTAGCATACAGACTTACAATCTTAATAACAGCCTGAAATATCCTCACTTTGCGAGATTCCTAGTATGCAAAAATGTACATTTAGTCAACTACAACCAATAGAGTCAGCGAATCTGATTCTATAGTCGTTTATATAGTTTACTGTACTGTATATTACATTTGCACTTTTAATATTAAATGCAGTACTTAAACCATATCAGTTCGAATGATGTTGATGAATATAGAAATTATTGACTGCCGGTAATCTTCGCTTACTATTTTCAGCCGCTTTCGAAATACTGCTAAATCTATTTTCTCTGGCTTACCATGGAAAAATAATTGTAAGAATTGGTTACTAGATGGTAGATAAATTGGAAAGAAAATGTTACCTTTAAACGGCGCTACTCTACTTATTTTAGTGCAACAGGTGAACAGAACATCTTTCATAATATTGAAATTTTGATACTTTTCACACACACACTCATGGGATACTTGAAACTATAGCACTAAATCTTATTATAGCAGTAGGCAAGAAATAAATAAATACAAATGGGATTGTACTAGTGGATTACTCGGCACTGAAATATGAGCCATTCCACTCCTATAACAAATTCTATGGCATAAAACATCCATTAAAGATTGGGAAAACAACTAATATCACATTTGTAACCAACGGCAATAGATTAATTTCTGTATTTTATTATAGTAACTTAATGCACAAATCTGGCTACAGGTTATATCATGCACAGAGAAATATTCAGCAGAAACTCTTCCAGTTAAAGAAGTACATATAATTTTATCTCAGAAAAAATTTTGTAGATTCGGAGAAACGTAAAGGTGCATTTTTTTAAAAACTTAAAATGAAATAATCATTTCGATACGGATAAACGGCACAGGCACTTACGCGCTTTCTATTTGCAAACGGTTACCGAAGGTCATATGCCCGTAGCCAGGATATCGTAAAGACATTGGCACATTACTTAAAGTAGCACTTTCAACGTGATCGCAACCAGTTTGGTTAAATATCTTAAAATCTTTCTTACTAATATCGAAAAGAATGGTGTAAGCCAAATTTTTCGATCCTATGGAACTTACTTGATGAAAGTGACCTATAAAGGGAATGAGACAGCTTTTTTATCTCTTGTCGCAATTATTTTCAGTTACACTTATATGATGGACATCAGCAACGTAAACTCTTCACCTTTTCGGCGAAAATTACTACAATTTATTTAGACGTATGTTACCTTACTTAGATATACTGTACTAGTACGGCAACCTATTTTATTCTTATAGGTATACTGTATGTCCTTCTGGTTGAAAATTCGAGTTAATTTTTTTACCTCTAGGTAGGTAGATGCAGTCACCAGAAGTAGCATTAGCAAAACGCCAAGGAACTTTACCCACTTTAGGATATCGATATAGATCTACTTTATCGACATTAATTGAGCAATGTCGACCCCCTATGCCATAACTACTTTCTACACCTAAATATTTACTGTACTTTGGCTCCATAAAAAGCCAGTTTTTCTGTCCAACCAGCAAACAATTCAGTGTAAATACTAGAATAAAGTATAAAGTTATTCGATTGTAACAACACGCAATTAATCCCATCACTATTGACAACCTATCAGAATATTTGAAACGATCACCATACAAGAGTTCACATTTTAGCTCAGAACAACAAACTAAGTGAGCTAAACAAATCGAATCGGAGTTCTACTCCACTTACTTGGGTCACTATGTAATCGACTTCGGGTACTGCCAGAACTAAACCAAAGATGACTCTCCCTAATTCGGTTAGAAATAGATCCACATGCCATAAATGACGGGACAAGAATATCCTTGTGCATTGGAGCAGGCATCTCTGATACTATATAAACTTTTCTATCTTCGTATGTATCTAGGAAGTTGGAGAGTTGATCGAATCCTAGCCCCAAACTTCCGATCGGTTTCCTCTGATCTTCGGTTTTGCCTTCAATTTTAAATATAAATTTACCAAAATTGCTCTTTAAATAGCGATCATTCCATAAATTAAAAGCGGGCGAAGAGCCAATAGCATTTTTAATCAAAACGGGTCTTGATTTGCTAAGATAATTTTCCCAAAACTCTCTTGGCGTCGGCAAACTGGTTAATGTGTCAATATGCCCATCAGGGTCACGTTGCATTCCTAATGGCTGGTTATGTCCACGCAAATCATCACTGGTTGTGCATACATTGATACTAAGAAATAGAAATAGGGTCTTCATGTAAATAGCATAACCTATGGCCATGGCTCCTCTTAATTTAGTTAATCAACCACCACGGTATATTGAAATATATATAGAAAAATTTCTTTCGACAACGGTACCAAAATTAGTTTATTAGTGGCTAAAGCTACCCATTAAGGCGATCTTTTGACTCTAATAACATTTATTCATTTTCAAGGAAATCAAATAGGCCAAATTCATGAACTATCTTGGTATAAAGTATAAATACAGCTAAAATGATAACTCAACAATAATTACTTCGTTATCTATTGAATTATTCTCAGGGCAACCGAAAGTGATGAGCAATTTGACGAAAGTATCGCACGGTACAAAGGAGTAAGTAGATCATCTTATCTGCCTATTCACACTATTGCCTTATAGTCTGAAATTGCTGTCTTTCTATCCCTCTTTATTGGGCTAATAACAAATACTATACAATTAATCATAAGTAAGCATCATTGCGAGCATTATTATTCATATATTCCTTTGTTAATTATTATACAGCAGCGAGATTGTTGTAATCTATTATATTAATAAACTAGAGACCACATCGGTAAGGCTAAGTGTCCATATCATTGATTAGTAGAAAGAAGCTACGACTCTTAGATTTGCATACTAGTTTATAGACTTCTAGATGCCTAAAAGTCCATGAGAAGGAACATCTAGTAATCTATATAAAAGTTAACGCCTCCATACTGGGGATGTCATTGAATAAATTAGGCCATTTGACTATGGCTGATAGATGACAGTGTAGAGATTTTGAGCTATGTCTTATAGATTTGAAGACATAAGTATCTCCTATGTAATGTATCATATTACCTTTATAACTCATTGCATCGAAATTTTAGGTCTTTTGCAGAAATGAACTAGCAAAACAGGACGCAATCAAAATAATAAATTGAGAAGTTATTTATTCAGATACTAGAGGTGTCATTAACTGTATTTTAGAGAAAGATTATAATTTCAATCTAATATTGGTAAACATAGTACTAAGATCATATGGAATAAATATGCATGTAGTTATTGTTTACTATCATATTTTCTATAGTAATAGGATTAACTGACAACACTTTTAGTTTGGAGATGAATTACTTTAAAAAATCTTATTATTACTGAGTAAATGCAGTATTCAGTACTTTCCGAAGAGTATCGATAAATAGGGTGATTGATAGTACAGGTAATAATTGTAGTAAATTACGCTATAACATTGTCAATAGTAAATAAAAATCTCACTATAATTTTAAGTGTTACTAATATTCTAGTCTATGCAGTAAATGATTTCATCTCCATTAGATATTACTAGTATTTTCAAATGTCTTATCTATTTTTTGAATTTTAAAATTTAAGTTCATACCAAGTCCAATATTATATAAAAAGATATTTACTGATAAAATATTACTAATATTTAAATCCGCTCATAGTTCATCGCGGCGTCGCAATAATTTTATTAAATCTTCTTCATCGATATTTCGTAAATTTTCGGGTAATTCTTTACTTCTCAACAATTCTCTTATACGTTCAAACTCGTCATCTTCATCATGCTCACCACGATCATCATCCTCTTCTTCTTCTTCGCTTATATAGCAAATTTCTGACGTCGTGTGAACTGTCATTATCTTTCACGGTTTCGCTATAAGGCTCTACTGTCTTATTTAAATTGTCTTTTAATTCGTTTATATCGATTATACCATCTTTATTTCCATCCAATGCAGATATTATCTGTGATAGTAATACAAATAAAGAATTCTTTCAAATAATGGACGACCCAAGAATTGGAATAGAACAATTTATTTGCTTTCACCATTAGCTACAGTTTTGCATGCCATTGCTACATGGAAAAGGCATAGCATAATCATCGAAATTTTCTTACTAACCTCTTGAGCGTACTTATTAGACCCACCAATTTCCTGAAATGGATGGATTATGTAGTTAGCATGCGTATGGCTTTTCTTATTATTATATAATAATTAAGTTTCGAACTCAGCTGATAAGTGATATATCTTACGTCTTATATAATTTACCTTATAGGCATTCGTAAACTGATTCTTATCAAGTTGCTTGCTGCCTTTATCATAGGCGGCTTTAATAATTTCCCTAGCATCATCCAATAAATCAAAAAAATATAAGCTCATAGTAAGTTTATTATCAACAACGATTTAATAAAATTAGTATAATTTAAGCAAAAATTATAGTGATTAGTGCAGCTTATCACCAGTACTCTACTGACCTGATCATTTTCCTGTGAAAATGAAGACGTTCATAATTAATATTGTTATGAGGCCGAGCATCTAATTCTAATATGGTTTGAATTGCTTTCCAAGCTGGTATTGGAATTGATTGTATTTGCTCTTTGGTAATGTTACCACTAAGGTCGATATGTTTTTTAAACTAAAAAAGCGAAATCGAATTAAATATAATAAGATGATAGACCATATGGTGCTATACTGCGAAACGATGTATGATCTATCTAGTTCAATGTAAGGTTAACTGAGAATCTCCCTCACCAAATCTATAGCTTTATTTACCGTAACCGTTGAAGTGGCAAACTGGAGAAAAAGTGAATAAAAAGAATTTAAATGAACAATGAGTAATTTTATATAGCAGAGTATATATAATATTCATCACTTACTATTCTAAAATAAAAAGACAAGCTTGATATAAATCAAGCGCTTACAGATTAATTTTAATAGACAACTAAATCGATGTTTTAGTTCATTAGCTACTAGTGTCCTTGACGATCGCTACTGTATTGGAATTTTTCGAAGGATTTGATGTTACCTCATTAAGCAGCAGCTTAAGATTTTCTAAATCGCTTGGAAGCCCTCTCGATTCGAGTTCGTGTACAAAATTTCCCCTAATTAATAGATATTTTACAGGATTATATCTCTTTGGAATTGAACGTCAATACAAGTACAAGTTATAAATAATTTGTTACTTCCAGCTATACAATTTACTAACATACCGGCTTTGGACAGGATTAATATTACCCATGCTCATGTGGCCATTACCTGGATAATCCCAAACTAATTCAATACTGTTTAAATTTTTAATTTTTGCCTTTTTGCAATCTTGACGCTGCAAGTATTCTAGATCGTGATAGTCAGTTCTATCTAGTAGTACTGAAAACCCTACATTGTGCTTTCCTTTGAAACTTACGATTTGAGAATAACCTGCATTGAAAGAGTAATAAGTAATCATCAAGGGTCAATAATTTAAAATCGTGACAAACTATCGCCGAACTAAAGTTTAAAAATCAGTTACGAGCATACAGCAAGAATAGCACCCTAGGGTTATAACAGATATTAAGTTGTAAATAGAGTAAAAGCCTGATAGAACGTATATCAGATTAGCTGAAATGAAATTTCTCGTTAGCCCTGTACAGCGTGTAGGATAATTGCTACGATACAAAAAAATTTCAAGATGATAATTTAATGGTGAAATTTATCAGAGCTTTAGATGCTATCACTATGAAACGCGATAAAAATTATTTCCTAAAGTGTTGCATTCTATAAAACTGATTATAGAATTTGTAATGATGAAACTTTACTCGTTTTGCTAATAAAATTTCACGATTGACAAACATGTTAAGAAAATTATTATAATTCAGACGCAAGATAACGGTTCGTATTTCTTTTCTGTTAGCAGTTACATTAAAGGTTAGGAATGCATACAATAATTCAATATAAAACACAAATGCCGCTGGTAACTTTATACATATTAAATAAATTAGTTTCCTTGCATCTTGAAAGGAAATCTAATCCTGATAAAGAACTACAACGTGTTGGTTTTAATCATAGCGGTAAAAGAAAAAAGCTTTTTCTTTCAAATTGCTTATTCTTTTACCTCTATGGCTTTCACATGCTCATTTGGGTTAGAATGACTTTGATTAGCATCATTCTGATTTATAATAACGGCTACTTTATCATTAATGTTAACTGTAGTAACGATAATTTCATTTTAATGTCTTTCAAGATTATTTACCATGCGGAACATATAAACAATCGCCTCCTTTCACTTCGGCATAATGCCAGGGGACGGATGTTTCAGAACGCAAACATCCTCGTATTTCATCATCGTCGAGATAAGCGACATTGGATGTATCGAAATCGGCAATTTCACATTTGGAATGTAATTTCTCGTTATATTTAGATTCAATAAGAGCCCATTCTTCTTTTCCGCGTAATAAGCAGTGAAGCATGGATGCTAGAAGTGCGTAAAGATAAGACAGAATTATGAAAGATTATCGTATTAATGGCAATGTAATTTAACGCCATTCACAAGATGACATCTGTAGTCCTATTTGTTACTTACGCGAATCTCGCTGCCACTGGGTATGATGAGCGCCGAGACTGATCAACAAATTACTGGCGAGAATACTACGAGTAATTGGACCACATGTTAAAAACGGCATGACTAAGATATCCTTTTGCATAGCGGTTGGAAGTTGCGTTTCTATGTACATTCTTTTACGAAAATTTATATCTAAGAAATTGTTTAATGTGTCGAAACCCATGCCTTCGTTTCCAGTTGGTGGCTTCATTCGATTTTTTTTATCAATAATTTTAACAGTAAGATTGCCGTAAGAATTTTTTAGAAAATTTCGATTCCATGTATGAAAAGCTGGTGAATATACAGCAATTCCTTTAATTAAAACAGGTTTAAATGTAGTGACATATTGGTCCCAAAATTCACTTGTAGTGGGTACATATTTAAGAATGTTAACAAATTGATTGGCAAGACTTTTCATTTCAAAAATCGGCTCTTCTTGATGGGCTTTTGCCGTAGCACTTTTCTCCTTGCCATCGGCTAAAGATGGATGACTCCACGAAACTATCAGTAAAAAACCAATCGCTAATATAGTATTCAGTCCGACCGCCATGGTTCTATTCGATCCAGGCCAGGTTATAAGTTAAAGGCGTTTGCAATTTCGAGCTAAATAGTGCTATACAGAGTATATTGATTCAATGAAATTTTTCACTCATCAATTCATATGTGTAGTAATAGCAAACAGTGGCAATGTTAATGGACAATACATGAATGGTAAGCAACTTACTAGTAGAAAATAAAAATCCTTCAAGATTACTAACGTATTCGTCTGTCTACCAACTCGTGTGTGAGTATAAGAGTAGTCTTAACGCTTGTTTTACGGCAATCCAACGGATATATTCATTTTAGGCCTTTTTCACTAAGGCTAATTAACTGCTATACGAATTGGCAACAGTTTAACCACTCTATTTACTCCTTTCTATGCTGTATCTGAGAAAGGATATGGAGGCGTGTACATCAATCCAGTCTTTGTAAAGAAAATGAATAAAATGATTAGCCTATTATCATGTTAAATATAGAATAATTTTACATTAATAGGACGAGCCATCATAGAAATAGCTTAAAGGCAGATTAACCTGAACGAAATCAAAGTTAAAATGTGTATCCTTGGTGAAGACTGTCTTATTCCTCTTGGTCATTGGATATCATTGAGTTTTACGTTATAGACTAAAGCGTTTATAATACGTTTTTCCTCTATAGCCCGTCTCTCCACATTTATTTGAATAGTTTTGACGCTCCTCATCGATAAAATATCCATAAATTGAGGTGTATTTCTTGGCATTTTACTGTAAAACAGTAGATTACAGCAGCGGTAATGAAAGTGGCCATTTTTTCTCCAGCTTCAATTTTAGAGCCATTCTTGGAGAAGTACACGCCAACCACTTGTAAGTGACGTTCAAAAGTCATTCATTGCAGTCACAATGCATGAGACATGTCAAACAAATAAGTTTCACCCCCTTGGTCATTCTTAGAGAATGGCATTGTTTAATATGTGATGGTTCATCCATTCGCTTCAGCCATACAACGATCGTGCGACATTTCAAAATGGCGAGTGTCAACACTTCCTCATTGGTAGTAGTTTCAAGCCAGTAAGAGAAAAATTCCTTAAGCTAATTTTCTGCAGCAAAAGGATCATGTCGGGAAGGATAATTTCATAATGACTTACCTGAGTAGTCATTATCTACCTCTATATCCGCTTGAGGAGCAAGATTGGTTTCTTGAAGTCAAAACAAAAAATGTCTAAAATCTCCTTTCCTGTCATTTTAGCCAAAGGAAATAATCAGATCGGAAAGGATAATTTTATAATGAATGTAACTCTGTCGGTCATTCTACATACGTATAGTATATCGCTATGTCGGATTGAGGAAAGTAAGAGTTATTTCTTGAAGTAAATAAAAAAAATAAAAATCAACATAAAATCTCCTTTCCTGTAGCTCCAAGAGGAGACATGGTTGATCACTTTAAAGGGGTATCTCCATGTTTCAAATGAGTATTGTAAAATCTTACTCATTGCTGGTAGAATCAAATCAGGAAGAAAAAGCACTAAATCTGACTCTCTCCGGAGAAGTTATCAAATCAGGAAGGGTAATTTCATAGTCGCTAATAGACGTAGCCATTATTTTATATCCGATTTAGCAGAGGAAATGAAATCAAGTAGGTCTTGATATCGAAACAAAAAATCATGAAAACCTTTTTTCCTGTAGTATTCGGAGGAGATAGTGCAGTTGTTACTTAATTTGACGGTATATTTCTACGTTCTAAACCTGTGCTGTTAAAACTTTGCCATTGCTAACAGTATCAAGCCAATCAGAAAAAGGATTTAGGTAAACTTTTAATAGTAGAAAATCGTCTGGTCGAGAAGGATAGTTTCATAACCTCACGTAGCGAATAAGAAAGTTGTTAAAATCGATATAATTTAATTCATGCTTACTTATTATGGCATATCTGATTACGATATGTCTTCTTGTATATGTATAAGTATAGATTAATATCTGCTCATACATCAAGTATATTATAAAAGTTCTAATTCCCCTGTAATTATCGAGGGCTGAACCAGACTGTACAAGGAACGGAACGATCTAGAGTTCTTCGTGATTAGCAATCATTGTGCAACACCAGCTACTACAGATCAATGAATACTTTTACAATTATAAGGTAAGAAATCGCTATTTCCACCTATATTATATTCATTTACGTGCCGTATCCAAAATCCTTTCAATTGTCAAGATCGATTCATTTCATGACTTATAAATTGCACTATAATTTATGATCTTCTGCTGATACCTTGTAAACCTATGACAAGATCTTGAAGATAAAACTTGATCTATTATCATTTATACTGGTTAAAGATGAACTATTTGAGCTTAGCAATCAGGTCAAATCTATCAGAATAAATTCTCAAATCCTAACACTCGGATCAATACGTATGACAAGTACTAGAATGCACGTAGATTAACAACTTTTCTGTACAGCTGGCTCGAGTTTAAATTGTTTGAGTTTACTTTCAATTTATTGAATGCACTATTAAGAGATGCAAGAGGTAGAAAAATCGAATGCTGATATGGCTGGCTACTCAAAAAGATAGGTACTGATGTAACATTGAATAGTCATACAAACAAATGGAATCACTAAGCGACTTTGTATAAGAAAGGATTAAGCAATATTTTAATATGCCTAATATTGATCGCATAATTAAATATAGATGTAGTTATTGATTGAAACAATTTTTCTCTTTAAGTTATAATTATAATTGGCAAAAATAATATTAATTGTACGGAAAATTTATCTTATGATTATCGCACATGGACAAGATACAATTATAAGGAAATAATTAGGAATAATTGAACGTCCATTTATAATTCCTCGTGCATTATTTCTTCACGTTCGTCCACAAATTCAGCTCCATCGCCATTACCTTCATCATCGCCCCCATCATCATCATCATTTGATCTCTCTTCCTTATTAACCGGTATGCCGGCTCCGTCATCAATTGGCCTATAATTTTCTTCGTAATGATATTCCATTTCATCTTCATCGGGTACCTCTTCACGTTCCTTACGATAAACATAAACATCCTGATAGTCATTAGAGTGCTCGTCTGGCACGCTTTTCTCAAACAGACCCAGAACTTTCTTTATTTTGGCTGCCTTTTCTGATTTAGTAATTATTCCGTCACTATTTTCATCCAGCTTTTGCAGTAGCTAATTATCCACATATGTAAAAATATCAGCAGTGAGTCTGAAGCTAACTGCATATGTGAAACCTTCCACTATGATCGTTTTATAGTCTTTCTAATTTAGTAACATTACAGGCTTACACACTTCGATATACAATTAAATGTATTGCATGAAATTCGAATTACCTCCTTAGCAATCTTTTCTGATCCATGTATCCTCTCCTAGGGTTAAAAATGTGAATAAATTGATGACTATCATGCATTTACCACAAAGAATAAAATTTTAATCGAGATTGATTAAATATGGCAATCATATTACTTTAATCAAATAAGAAATTGTTACCAGGAAGAATCGCGTAGTCTTATCGAAATTTTATCTGATACGCACTGCAATACCCATTATTATGAAATCTAGATGTCGTTTTGCAAGTATTTAAGATTCTGGTTTAAAATTACCTTATAAATCTTAATAAACTTTTCACTATTAATTCCACCGTCCCTCCTTGTTGAATGATCGAATGCTTGCCTAGATAATGCGATGGGTTAAAATAGGTCAGCACGAAATCGAACACAGTAGATTTCGATTTTGGTTTTACGACCGAATATAAATCTTTTATGATCTTTGAGCTGCAGGATAAATGTTGTTACTTACTTAATCATAGCTTGAGAAAATTGAAAATACTCATATTGCAAGGTATTTGATGGATCGGTCTCCAGAGAAGCGATTATTTCTTTATATGCACCTAAAGGTACAGCTGAAAGTTCTGCTTGAGTAATGTATTTTTTATTCTCAAGTTTCAAGTTCCTTTTTAACTATAGATAATAAATTAAAGAAAACTTGGATTAATCACCATTTACGATTTCAAAATATCATGGCAGTGAACTAGTAATCTCCATAAGACCACTTATAGTTCGCTACGATCTAGGATGCTTATCTAGGACTAACCAAAGAAACGGCCAACTTCGATTTCTCTACATCATCGGGCAACATAGTCTATTAATAACGCCTCTAATTAGCAAAATCATCACTGAAATTAACAATATTCTTAGGTTCCATATGACCACATCATATTTTTACCCTCTTAACTCTAGTGATTAATAGTTTAGTTGTGATATTATTCTTCCCCTTAAAGGCTTTCAATATGTTTTTCCTATGAAAATTAATTCAAGAAAGTAGCTAATCAGCTTCTAATTCAATAACCGAAAATTAATTATAATACAGTAGATGTGCTCTTACGTATTCCGTACTTACTATAATAAATTGAAAGATTAGTAACGTTAACTATAGTTAAGTATGCAATTCAGGATTGGTGAAATAAGATTAACTGATAATTAATTTCAAGCTTCATGTCACAGCTATCAAAGGTAATGAAAGAAAATCTAACACTTATAACTATTCATAGAGCATTCTTCGACAAAAGCGATCATTGGCCACATTTCACATAAAATCTAGAGTTAAGCACTTCTTTAAGCAGTGATATAATTTAAGTTATAACACAGGTATATCATATCAAGTATGATATTCATACCGATAGAAGATAGGCTCATTTAATCCCATGGTCAAAGAGCCAACACCATCAAAATCCCAAGCAACTAGTGTATCTTTTAGATTCTTATAGACTGGTTTATCGCAGCCTGTATTATCAAATTCCTTATTATGCGTTATAGTGCGGGAGAATAAAAATGACACAGCCATGTTTTTGTTACCAGATGAACGGACATGATGTAAGCTACCTAAAATCTCATTAAAATGGTGTAAGGTATGACAATTAATGGCATACTACAGCAGCTAAATAAGGTAGTCTGTACTGGAATATTTTAGCTAAACCTATTCCAGCTGTATTTATAGTATTAATTTCCTTTCATCGATAATGTGCTGAATTATCTGTTGTTGTATCTCACCATAAGGTACATAGAGGCAGTCTCCGGCAGTGACATTGGCGTAATGATAGGGGCAATCCTTGAATTTGGGATACTTGATCAAATTGACCCGGTCAACGTCTAAAACAGAATAACCACCTCCAGCCAAACTTGGTTCTCTGGCTAATGGAACCATGTGTTCATGTTTGGGATTGAACATTAGCCAATTTTTAGTTCCATTAAGTAGACAGTTGAGAATGTTAGCTATAACCATAAAAGGAAGGAATCAATGACAAGGCTTAATGCAATAACATATATTAGAGTGAATTATATCAGATTCTATACCGGTTCTATATTTACTGGTTGGAAGGTTCTTTACTATAGTATATTCTAAAGTCAACTTTCTAGTTTTAAGGTATGATTTCGATTCGATATTTGTCATAAATATTTATTATTTTAATACTCGTTAATCACAAAGTTTCTCATTAATGACGCTTGCAAGCAGTAGTAATTATCAGCATTATAAGAATTTATGAAGTCACTGTAAAAGCCAACTACTGTAAAAACAAAATTAACTATAAAAAAATCAAGATGATGACCCAGGATGTAAGTCAAATCTCGGAAAAATAGCTACAAAAATGCTGTCTCTTTTTAGTATGAATACCTTTAAATAGAGTTTAAATTCATAGCATACTCTTAAGGTACGATGTAAAGAAAGAAAAGAAATTTATGGTAATCAAAACAAATATATTCTATCTTTCATAACCAATCAAGTTTTTTGTCGGATAGATTTAGTTCTTCAAAATAATTAGCAAGATCAGATTGAATTTGAAATAAGGAATTGAAATCTCTGTAGCAATAGAGAAGCAAGAAGAATTGACTACTTGCCAAAGATTTTGAGTCAGACGATTGCGAACCTAAAGGGTTATAAAACTCAAGCACTACAACAACATAATTATTTCGAATTCTTTCTAAAGCTAAATAATAGTACGAAAATGTCAGAACTTGTTAATTCTAGTTGTAAAGCAGACGAAAACAAATTCATCCGGAGGGCTTCAAAAGTGTAACGTTCTAATTTGAATGTCAGAATCATCTTTTTAGAGTCAATGTATAGATCTCAGACTATTAATACGAAGTTTTGGAATGCCTACAAGAACATAGCTATCATCTCACTTAATACCTTAAAAATTTACTTAATGGGATTGCTTTGTGATAAGAACTTACGAGCATCCTTGTGCAATAAACTCCTAGTGCCACCGCTGCTTAGCCAAAAATTGACTTCAATAATGCTGTCTTTGAAAAGTCCACACGACATACATGGTGGAATAAGAACATCGCCATACATTGGTTTGGGTAACTGAGAAATTACGTATTTATCGTCTTGGACATAAGTGTTCATAAAATGCTTAATAGTGTCACGGGCTAGACCCATATCACCAACAGGATTGGGATCTTCCTCAAGTTTTCCTTCAATTTTAAGTGATAGATTACCATAAGTATCCGATAAGTAAGAATCAACCCATAATTCTTTAGCAGGAAAACTGCTAGCAGCGCCACGAAGTAAAACTGGACGCCTTTTACTGACATACTTGGTCCAAAACTCTTTAGCTGACAACGGTTCAGTTATAATATCAACATGGCCTTCAGGATCACGGTGTAATCCAAGTTGTTGTAAATGGCCGCGCGGCGCCTTTTTGGATTGTTTTTTACCATCACCATGATGGAAAAAGGCTATTGCTAAACATAGAGTAAGAATGATACATTTATTGAGTGTTAGAATCGCCATGTTAACATTCAAACACTGTAATGGCAAATAGGTGAACTTGTCCTTAAGTAATTGTTAAATCTTTCTTAGATGTGTATAATAGCAGATTTAAGTTTACAAAGACGGTTGATACATCTATTGGTGGCGATTAAGGAGATCGTAGTTTTCTTTGTATAATTTTATTCATCTCTATTCTTATTCAGATAATTGACAACTTCTACAGGTAGCTGTTAGTTCTTCAACCATATTTATTGCCATCCGTTACTATAATTCTATTGCGTAAAGACAATGTAACTATGGACTTATTATTTCGACATGATTTAGTCCTTGATTGACAGCTATTCATAGCACTTAATTAATGTACATCCCGTGATACATGACGCCAGTCAAATAAACTTCTTAATCAAGTATGAAAGTGCCTGCAGAAAAGTTTTAAGGCTCAGACTATAAATATTAGCTAGGGTACGTACCATTCAACTCAATACCTTTTATTTAGCGGTTTAAGCGAGGATCAAAGTGTGGAAATGATTGTCACGTTAATGTAAAAATTAATTATAATGCCTTTAGAAGGTAGGGATGGTGCTAAATTCTGCCGTACTTAAACGTTTGTTAAGTAAAGTTAATACAAAAACAGCTAAAAGTTATTTTGAACTCCCCATAAAAAAGCAATTTAACTTATTTCCATTATCAAGATGACTAATATCTAACGGTTATTGCTCATTTAATTTTGTTTAAAGGCGCTATACTCTCACTATAACAGTTCTAACCTTGTGGGCTAGTTTAGTACTTCGGTAACAAACTCAGATTTCTAAGATTGGCATGCTGAATTTCGATTGTAAAGAGACTAGAGATGTACACCTGCAAGTCTCTGTAACAACTATTATAAGTTTTTATATCAAGTTCTTGATACAGTAATCCTTAGTTGATGGATATCGGCATTGGTAAGCACTTTTATTCAACATGCAGGCCATCATAGCGTAATTCTTTTATTACATGACCAGCTAATTCATCAATATGGATATAAAATGCTACGTGCTCTTAGCCTGCTAAATATTTCAATGGTGATATTCCATATGAACTATTTATGATAACTCATTGGTAGTCGTTGTTCTGTATATCTGGTTTATGAAACAGACTCGTATTTATTTGAAAACTGGTATAAATATGTAAATAACTAGACAGAATATTCATATGTAGAATTCTGATTTATACTTCTGATAATTCTTTCTGTTGTAAATGAAGTTTATCGTTCAATTTCTACTAGAATGTAAGGGAAGGCACGCTAGCTGTCGTAATAGTATGGCAATAATTTAGATATTACCGCAATATCATATAGATGATATACGGGCATATCATGCTATCTGTGCATCAAAAGGTTGCGTGTCGTACGACCTTTAATTTATTTCTACTACAGTGCAACTTAATAATCAAACCTCGACTTTATTCACAAGTGAATACATGTAATACCACAATCCCAATCTTACGGTCTCCTTTTACTTTAAATCAACAATTGAAATTTATCAAAACATAATTACGTAGAGTACAGTAATTACGTATTTGTGACTCAATTTTTTATACGTCTACTAGTACTAATCATCTGTCATTCCTAGTTGCAGTAATTTTTAATTTTACCGTATATAAGTCTAAAAACTCACTTTTAGGCAAAAATAGCTATTACATATCTCTTTTATTGAAAACATCCTTAATTTGCTTTTCCTGTCAGGTTAACAACATTGATAAATAATTCGCCTGTGCTCATTTTAATTTAGTAGTATACTAATTGAAAAAGATAAGTACCAGTACTGGCAATACTTAGAGATGTTTAGCAGCTAAACTAAAAATTAGTTTCACTTAATTAATATTATTATTAACTATAGAAGGTGTGGAATAGTTCAATGTAATTGGTCAAATTTATAATTCATCACGAGTCGCACCTTTCTGCATATTATTATCGTCTTCTGGACCTCTATCATCGTCTTCTGGACTTCTTTCATCGTCTCCGGGACCATCCTCTCCTTCTTCTTCTTCATCTTCCTCATCACCATTACCTTCATCGTCTCTACCGTCTGCTTCATTTCTTTCTTCGTCGTTTTGATCATTAGGATTTCCACTCTCTCCACGCGGCTCAAATAGGTGGTACCCGTTTTCTACAGAAATCCCTTTTCCGTCATCCAATCGTATATTTTCATCGCTCTCTGGATCCATCGAATCTTTTTCAGGAACTTCTGGACGTTCCTTACGATAAACATAGCTATCAGCGTAATCATTAACATGCTCAGGTGGCATATCTTGATCAAAAAGTTTCATTGTTTTCTTATAATTATTTCTCGTCTCCTCTTTGGTTATGATGCCATCCCCATTGGTATCCATTTTTTGTTTAATCTTATTTTAAAAGTAATAATTAGCGATAATTTTAGGTAAAACTGTTCAAGTTTACAAAATATCGCTGTAATAGTTACTTGCTTCCATTCGCTAGTCTTTATTATTTAGATAAAATGCATATAAGCGATTATGATTCATTTTATCTTGTTACGTAATATTACGAATACCTCATTAGCTATCCTTTCAGAACCACCTAATGTTCCCTAGAGTTGAAAATGATCAAACAATTAATTGTCTTAGAATAGAACAAGAGTTCGCATGAAGTTGCATCTTACCACGTAGGCTTCTGTGAATTTCTTGCCATCAAATATGCCTGATTTACCTATGGCTTTCTTAAATATCGGTCTTGAAAACAGCAATTAAACAATTTAGAAGATAAATATTAGATTCTATATAGCACAACTTTATACCGTCATATTTATGTGCTGTAATCACTGTGCGAAAAAACAATATCAGACTAACTGTATATGTTGCTAAGCTATAATTATCCAGTTATATGATAATAAGAGTAATGTAGCTAAATTGTTCGAGCTTTTATATCAACTTGTAATACTTTGACACAATCATCAGCATTATAAGCTTTAATTCAGCACATTTAAGAAACAAAGACACATTACAGTCGATCCCTTAAATTTTTGTAAGATTACAGAATATTACTCGAATTTAATTGTATGGAATGGTGCCTAAGAAGATGCCTGATTAAATGCATCTACAGGTAGTCTATCATAATTTCATCATGAAACCAATATTTCATACGAATACTACTGTAAAAGTGAAGTAGTTCACTATGAATTAGATATTATGTCAGAAAATTTAAAAATTTAATTCTAATTATTCTAGGTGCTAGAATTTTTGAACGTGAAATATCTAATAGAAATGCACACGAATGTTAGATAATTTTCTTTTCAGTACAAATATTTAATCTAATTTATCGAATTTTATTCGATAGCTTGTACGTAATGTTTATTGAAAGATTTCTATAACTGTAACTTACGAGACTTCACTTCGTGTAAATTGACGATATTCATATTGCAAAGTATTTGCTGGATCCATTTCATTGAATATAATCATATTTTTCCATGACTGCATAGGTAAAGCCTTGATATCATCAACTGATATGGTTTCCTTATCATCAGTTATTTGCAAGCTATCTTTGTACTAAAGATAAAATATAGAATCAAATTATTGCTTTGGGCTTGCCCAAGTAGATTCAGTACAGAAAATTCATTCTTAAAATTTCAAGCATGAACATTTATTTTCTTTCTGCTCTTAGTTACAACGTACTATTTTATATCCTTTTTGATACTTCTCTCCTTCAAATTCACCAAGATAATCCTTTAAAGTAGAAGATATATTAAATATAGGCAAGATAACATCAAGATTATTTATGACTATCATACGCTTTCAACTAATATGATGAGATTAATTCAAATATGTAGTAAGCTATAATGCAGAAAATAGTTGCATACCCTGACAACATGCTTCAGTAGTTTTTTTGCGGGTAGAATCGACTTCTTTGCTTTTTTAAAAATATGTAGGAAGCTATCCCTATTGGCGAATATTTAAATTGCCTTAGTAGGTGAGCAATAGTTATAACGATATATCTACATAAAATTGAACATCTGAAAATAAACCAAGGAACTATCCTTTAAAAATGATAACGATATTATCATATATTAAAATTACAGTAACGTATTTGAATAAGTATTTCAAGTTTATATCTAAACCAAAGTTGATATGAACTAGTTCTTAGAGATTAATAAAAATATAACCTATAATGCTTAGGTTCATGTAGACCCATCGTTAACGAACCAATACCATCAAAATCCCAAGCAACTTCTACATCTGTCAAATTTTTATACGTTGCATTTTCACAACTTTTGCTATCAAATTTTTTTGTATGTGTTGTTCGGCGAGAGAATAGATATGAGATGGCCATATTTTTGTCGCCAAAGGATCGCACATGATGTAAAGTACCTAATATTATCATAAGGCAATGTCGAATTAGATTGCTTGTATTACAATTATGATCGAACACTTTTCAATATATAGCATTAAAATCCAAACCCATAAATTTTACTTTCTCTGAGGTCAACATATACTCATGTTTATAATTATACATATAGTAGTCTTAATCATTCTGGAACATGGCTCGTACTTAATTACGATCTAATATCAATTTAATATACATAGCTGTTTATAGTCTATTTATGCAATTGGTGGAAACTTGAGTATACATATTACATATTGGATCATCGCCTCATTTCAATCTGTAAAGCAATTTCAAAAGCATAAGCTCACCGTAAGGAACATAGAGACAATCGCCGGCAGAGACATTAGCATACCAATACGGACAATCTTTAAATTTGGAGAACTGGATTAAATCAACTTTATCTACTTTTAAAACAGAATAACCGCCACCATCCATTGCTGGTTCTCTTGCTAAAGGTACCATATGTTCATATTTGGGGCTAATGAGTAACCAGTTTTTGGTTCCATTTAATACACAATTAAGAATATTTGCTATTTATTGAAGAGAAATAACTTGATATCAAAATGTAGCATTACTTGAGGATATCTTGACTTCAAAATGATTATTAATGGTGATTAGAAAATGTTATTCTACTATTCAATAATCTGCAAGATTAGAGATGGAACTAAATTTCTACTCTAATATTGGCTTGTAGAATTGAATAGGTAAAGATACATTAAAAACATAATGATGTGGACGCCATCTTTTGAAAAGTAATATCGCAATAGTACTTACGAGCATCCTTGTGTAACAAACTTTTAGTTCCTCCATTACTCATCCAGTAATTGATTTCAACTAAGGAATCCTCAAAAATACCACAGGATAAGCAAGGTGGAACAAGAATATCGCGATACATTGGTTTAGGCAATTGGGAAACGACATATTTATTTTCTTCGACATAAGTCGTTAGAAAATTCTTGATAGTGTCACGACCTAAACCTAAATCACCAGCGGGAATACCCTGAGCTTCTTTTTTTTTCTCTAATTTTACGCTATACTTCCCGTATACATCTTTTAAGTATTCATCCGTCCATAAAGTTTTAGCTGGAAAATTTTGAGCTGCCCCTTTAAGTAGAACTGGTCGTCTTTTACTAACATATTTAGACCAAAATTCTTCAGCTGGATATGGCTCATTCATGATATCTACATGGCCGTCAGAATCACGATGTAAACCTATCTCTTGTAAATGACCCCTTGGAACTTTGCTCGATTCTTTTCCATCGATTTTGGCTAAAGAAGCGAATAATAGGCACAAGAAAGTAATTCCTTGCATCCACTTCATCTTAATCACTTTTACTCGTAAGGGTTGGTCCCTCTTGTTTTTTTTCAACGAAAATGAAGGAATTAACACCTGTTCCTGTTACATACTAATATATATTATAAAATTCCGTAGCAAACTTAACCTACTAGTAGTATTCAATCCAATTGGCATTCAATCAGGTTGTCAATAACATTGAAAAGAATAACTTTATTAGCCATTGTGTCGAATAATAACAGCCATCTTTATTGTTTGAATAATTGAATTAATACCATTGCTTTTCCATTTTATCCTCTGATGGGACCAACTTTTATACTTTCACCCTATCTTACTTGTCCTTAGCGATTTTATAATACAATGTTGATAGCTCTATTACTGTTTTCTCTTATTGATTGGATCGGAAACCTGTTTTCCCACTGGCACTGCGCTGGATTGATTGGCTTGTCTAGTCACGTCGTTAAATCAAGCTATAGTTGGTAGGGATTCCGACCTTCATAGACCACCATTCCTTATCGGCTGCATCGAGAGTTAATTAGCTTGTCTAAATAATGACATTAAAAGAAGTTATAATTGATATAGGCTTGATTTTTAGTGTAGCACATAGTCAACATCGTTGATCACGTTGCACAAGCGCTAAATCTTTACCGGAAGCTAAATTGAATTATGTTATTCCACGGTCTATTCTTACTTTAAATGATTATAGAAATTTAACAGGTCCTCTCATAATTCGTATACTTAATATCTTTCGTTGATGCTATTGAATTGCATTATAAAATTAATATAAAATCTTTTATCCCACTATAGATTCCTAGCAAAGAATGATTCTGTTTCATTTATAATCTTGTCTGATTCCACGTATTCAATTTAAGATTATCTATGATACTTTATCTAAGATCAGCTAATATTGACGATCCAACGCTTTTTAGCCTGTTATAACGTTTAAAATATTAGCGTTTTATATCAATTTCTCCGGTATGCGATACAAGATTCTCGATGATGTTTTGTCAAAGATCGGTGAAAGTAAATAATTCATCACTCTGACTTCTTGTAGAATAGATAATAGGGCAAATTCCTTTTTTAAAGAAATATCTGCTATAAATATAGCCTTCGAGAAGTAAAATTGCGATTCTACCATTCATTCTTAATACTTCTTAGTCTTAGTAAGTATGAAAATAAAATGAAACCAAAACACTATCAACTGCAACAAGCGCGATCGGCAAGGAATCGGTAGAACGTTTAATGCATACAATCTTAACCCCTCCTAGTCTGCTCGTGAAAATAATCTGAAAGGATCAATTCTTCTCGAATAATGCACTTGTTTGAAGAAGCAAGCACCGTAATCATTAATTCATAGATGCTCAGTGTTTTCTAGTCTGTGCCATGCAAATAAAAGAGCACATAGAATTTTCTGCGTAGCAATATCGCAACCTTCGATAAAGCATCGATAACATTATCCATCCATTCACAAAATCTTTACATAGAAATCACAAATGTTCATTTTTCATATCATATTACAGCCATATCGATCATAGTAGATTATATCCAGCTGATTGAGGAAGAATTCCAATATACTTTCTTTACACTAATTCATTTTGACACGGAAACATACTATAGTCGATCTACACTGCCGCATTCTCCGAAAATAAACAACGATATACGAGTAGGAAAGTAACTTTAATGATAAAATCACGTTGCTTTCAAGGTGATATTAATGAAACTACTTACTGAAAGTTAATATAAGCTGTGGAGGAAGTTGCATCCGGTGGTTTAGAATAATAATTATCTAATGGAAGATAGTTTTGATTTATAGTAAAAGCAACTACCATGTAATCTCTTTTCAAACTAGGACTTACTTATCTACAAGCAAATGAAAAATGCTAACTATCATTTTAGAGATGTTCTAGATAACAAATAGTAGCAAGGCATCAACTTTATCACCTCTACGTATGTTTACTGTATGAGTTTGTTTGGTTAGCCATCATCGATCGGCATTATAATTATCAAATGGATGATAGTTTTAATTTTATGGCAAAGCGAGCTGCTATGTCATTGCTTTTCAAATTAGAGCTTGTCCAAAAGCGAATGAAAATTTCAATTACCATTTTAAAGACGTTCTAGTTAAGGAATAACAGCAAACCATCAATCTTGTCACCTCTATAATTACTATTAATTTGTATGGTAGGCCATCATCGATCGGAATAATCCTTTAGTCGTTCATTACTCTTTTGCTTTTTAAGATTTTAACCCTTGTACGTACATTAGAAATTAAATTTAAACTAACTACGTGTCTGCGGATGGAGGTTGAAGTTAAAGATTATAAAGCAATACTAAAATTGAATAAGAAATAAAGCTGTTATGCTATTGATGTTCCTAATAGCAACGAGGATCATTAAAATAGCAATACTTCTATAAAGTACATAGGTAGTACTAAATCGAGAACAAACGCTAACGATAAGTTTGCCAAAAATATTTATTAAGTGTAATCATTCTCCCTAATACGCCAAAGAAATAATATTGGAACTGTCAAATAAACACTATCGGGCATGTTGTAGTAGAAATCATTCATGAACGGCAACTATTCTCTCTAAATACACCAACAGTTAATCTAGGCACTAGTAAATATCTAGTAACGATCATTCTGTCAAAGCCACTCGAGGCAAATTATAATAATATAAGATACAAATAGGAACAGTCTTTTGGAAACTCCTAATAACGAAATATAATAATAAATGCGAACAGTTGGCTAAGATAAAAATATTACAATTCATCGCGAGAAGATTTCTTTTCATTCATTTCATCATTAATGCTTCCACTATCAGTTTGTTCAGGTATTCCTTGGTTTCCGATTTCAGCAGACTCTTTCTTTAATTCCGTCTCCTCTGATCTTAGAGGATCTTCACCATCCGATATATCACTTTCATTGCTATCTATTTCGTCAACTTTACCATCCGGATTAGCAAACAAACCTAGAACTTCATCCAACTTACTTAGTCTTTCCTCTTTACTAACTTTTCCGTTTCCGTTAGTATCAAATTTTCTCATAATCTATAGAAAGAAATTAATCATCATGTTCCATTCTTGCCCTCATTTTCTGTTAATGTACTGTAAATTCTTATATATTAAAGATCTAAAGTACTTATATATTAAAGCTATTACTACTATAGTACGTAGTTATCTAAATTTAAACCTTTTAAATCAGTCATTACCTCGTTTGCTGATTGCTCAGACCCTGATAGTAATTTCTAAAATATGGAATAAACCAGAGTATATTAAATTACCATGGCAATAATGAGAATTTGTCCCAATTTCGTGCTTGCATTGCGGAATTATATTGTCTATAATAGTAAATTAATAAATTATTGGATGGTTGTACCTCATAGAAAACGGCAAATTTTCTAGTATTAATTCCTCCAGCTTTATCAATGGTTTTCTCGATTATCGATCTGGAAATAGTTATAAAGATTGTGTAAGTATATAACGACAGTAGCAAACTTCTACGGCTAGAAAACCATAATCCAAGACGTATTGTATGCAATTAGAGAATGATTTTAGGCCAAATGTAGCTCCATAAAATATATTGTATTATCTTTTAGTCACAAGATTATTCATAATTTAGCATTAAATGGTTGATCGCGAAAATATATACCCCTAAACTTGATAAGACTTGACTTACCGTATATCTTTCTTTGTATAGATGCGATATTCATATTTTAAAGGATTTTCCGGATCTAAATCAAAGTAGTATATTAAATTTATCCAAGATTGCAGAGGGAGGTCAGCGATCTCATCAGTAGTGACAACGTTTTTATTCTCTATCTGGAGATTTTTTCGTATCTATGTAGAAGCAAGTTTTAATTAGTAGCCACATCTATCAATAAAACGTTGCTTACAAATCAGATTAGAGACTAAAATCTTTAGTATCGGCTGGCTTTACTTACTAATTTTATCACTTTGTTTATGTGATCAGAGCCTCGATCAGGAATGGTACGCTTAAATAAGTACAGTATAAAATTTAGTTCGATAAGGCTATAAGAATCAAACACCGTCACCATGATCAATACCTATGGAAAAACGCTAGAAGTACAATTTTGTATCTTGATTTCTGAAATAACAGGTTTCTTTTAAAAAAAATGATATACTACCTTGAGTCTCCTTAAAAGCACTTCAGTCCTTATTTTTTTCTTGCCTTTAAATGCTTGAAATGCAGCTTCTCTATTTCAAGTGAAGAAAATAATTAATAAATTGAACAAAATTGGCCAAACTACTACTGCTATCAATTCCAATCTTAACATTTCACTTTTTCGTAGAAATTAAAATCTCAAACGTAAGGTTTCAAGAATTTAAAATCTGTCAAAAGAATCGTGATTAATGTGTAATATTAGATTTTCATGATGATGAAATTCACAGCGATGGCTTACTCAAAGTATAAAGTTATAGATACACAAATTTAAAATTTAGTATGTAACAATTTGGTATGTAACTTAAAATATTGAATCTCTAGAATCATTAACTAAAAATTGTAATAAAGTCCAGCAGTAACATTGCTTAACAAAATTTCTTCCAAGCTTGAAGGCACAGAATTAAACTTGTAAAAACCTGTATAAATTAGGATCTTGCAAATCAACAACTGGGGTTGTATGGCTATTAATTTGCCAATCAAACATGGGGTCCCGAATATTTTTATATTTCGACGTTTGACAATCCTGGTTGTTAAACTTTTTCAAATGCGATACGCTTTGAGAAAATAAAAGCGAAACACGCATATTTTTAACACCATCTGTTCTTACTTGATACAAAGAATCTGAAAGGTAAAATTAATAAGAATTACCAAAAAACAACTATCATAACCTAAGTAGCTAATATTCAGGCCTTAAATTCTCTTATTAAGTTTCTTCAATATGTTTAAGTAATTACAATTGACGGATTTTGGACCTAAATAATAGGCAACTAAAGCGAATATATGCTTTGCTGCACTTTCTCCTACTTAGTGTAAACCATATAATTCATTTCTTCTGCCTTAAGGTGACTATAGTAATCGGAAAACTTACCATGAGGAAGATAGATGCAGTCTCCTTTAGCTAAGGTAGCATCATAGTAAGGGCAATTTGAAAATGCTGAATATTTCTGTAAGTCCACTTCATCAACTTGTAAGGCAGAACGTGTACTTCCATCTTTGGCTATCTCTTCTACCATGGGTACAAGATGTGCGTTTTGATTATCGATTAATATCCAATCACTCGTTCCATTCAATAAGCAATTGATCGTATTAGCTATTGGCATTAAAAAGAATTTGTGTCAAGGCAGAAACGGAGTCATTATTATTATAAATGGATTGCTATAAATAATACATGTATAGTATGTAGTGGTAGTTAAGATTATTAGTACCAAGCATTTTATCTCAATTATTCTATTTGCAGTTAATACGTATAACTTATTTATCTAACAGAACGCTATTAAGTAGTAATACAGTCATTTTACAACATAGCTACCAATATTATAGAAGCAGTAGCTCTTATTACTGATATATACGGTAGGATAATGATCAAAGCTGTAACTTTAGTAGTCTCTTTGGTAAAGCCCTTCATATCTGCAGTTTTTTTATTTTTGCATAAAACCCGTTAAAGACTTCGCAGTGTTAAGGAATAATTCGTATAAGACTTCTAATCCTAATAGATAGTATCTTGGGTGTGAAGCACGTAAGATGGATGCCTAATAAAGAGCTAAAGATTATGATGATTTCAGTTAATTACAGGAGTGATGTGTTAGGGGATAAGAACCCATACACTGCAAAGATCTATCCGATAGCAGTACTCCTACTTCTGCTCATTAATTATGCAACAGGTAGGCGTTCATAACTATGAACATTTATCTTCCTTGTCTCCGGTCTACGTGTATTCTAACGCCCTTTATCCCGAATTTATGGCCAAACTGTTACAAATTTCACTTAAATCGGGAATTACAACATACGAAGCCAAGTGCATATAAGCATTGACTAAGAACTTTGCGTGACATATTTACCTTAATTTTTGAGTTCATGAAGGATGCTGGTTCTTATATTTATAGTGCAGATATTACCAAACCCAAGCTCAATCAGAAGGAATCGTAGGATACATTAAAATGCTACAGATGACCGTCAATGTGGGTCAGTATGCTCGCATTATTATTGCAATTTGAAATGTCTTAGACTAATTTACTATTGCTCGTATAACTCATCAATATAGTACGAGACAAAGGGGAGATGAAACACTTTATTTCAACAACTATAATATTGACCAACCTATTCTATTTGCCGATTTGTGATTGATAGGAACAGTAAAATGGACTTATCTTATCAAGACCATCTTATTACAACTTGTTAAAGTACCGTAATCATCTGCAATCTTATGGCTTCAATACTGTTCATATATCTAATGGTGGAATTGATTTAAGAAGTTACTATTGATCAACTGCTATTCCCGTGCTCTAAGATTCTATCGAGAGTTAAAGCGTTGCACATCCCTAGCGTACGCCAAGAATACTTCGAGTACGGAATAGATTTATGTCATACGAAATTTACTGTATACCCTCAATAGGATTATCAGGCAAATCTTGTAAAATCTTGACGAATAACATATGGAATCTTTCGATCATAACAGAAATCTATTCCAATATTTCATCATGCCAATGATCAACATTAATATAATAAAAACGTTATAAGGCATCTGGGTTATATGTTGGAACATCAATTTTGATTCGTCTAAATGCTGTTTGATGAAGTAAAGAAAGAGCTTACACTACATAACGTCATTTCGGTCTGCAATATTAGAGCGAGTGCGGTGCTTATTAGAGCTATTAATCGACTACAATATCTTACCATGCTAACATCATTAAATAATAGTATACGAGATAATATTTACAAAATCATAATAAATTTTCAAGTGCCCATTTCAGCAGTTACATACGCATTGATATGAGGAAATTGATGTATCTAACAAAGTCAGCTTTCACTAGTGAAGCTGATGAATATGCTCTTAACTTACAAGCATCTTTCCGTAGCGAACTTTTACTGTTACCGGTGTTAAGCCAAACATGTACATCAATCATAGCGGTTGTAAATGAGCCACATGAAAGGAAAGGTGGAATTAGCACATCGCGTTGCATGGGTTGAGGCAATTGAGAATCGATGCATTTGCTTTCATTGACATAAGTTGATATAAAATCATTCAAGGATTGGCGTTCTAGATGCCCTTGGTCATTAGAGATTTCTTCCTTTTCATTGATTTTAGCAGAATAAATCCAATAATTTCCATAAAAATTTCTTAAATAATCATCAGTCCATGAGTCTATCGCTGGAAAATCTAATGCCGCTTGCTTTAGTAAGACTGGTCGCCTTTGACCAACATACTTGCTCCAGAATTCTTCGGCAGAAATCGGTTCATTGAGTACATCAATATGCCCTTCAGCAGCACGATGTTGTCCTAATGGTTTAAGATGGCCCTTAGGTAACTTATAATTGTCATCCGCATTGCCCTGATTGACCAAGATAGCAACTAAAAATAACACAGTAATTTTATAAGTCATTTTATGTCCACTTGGTAGCAATTTGAGATGTAATCGAGTGCACCCTAGGGAATGAATAACTTTGTGGTGGGACTAATATTATGTCTTGCTAATTATACTAACCTCTATTGACGTCAAGGGAAAACCCGCATAACAATGATGAATTCGTTCTTTCATAATATTCTATTCTATTAGACTAAGCCAACTAATGTATAAGCTTGACAAAATACGTTTAAATCAATAATTGCCTAAACAAACAATAGCCTGGTAGCCATCGCTGTCAATAAAATTGGCGTAGGTTGTGAAATATTTAAAATTAATTTGTCAAATTTACTACTTATGAATACATATAAACTGTAGCCTAGGAAAGAGGCAAATAGATTTATTCCCTTAGCATTCTGATCGGTGCCTTTATCCTGCACAGAAAAAGTGAATAATGAAGTGATAAGTACAAGTTATATAGCTACGATGATAGTGAAGAATAACTTAGAGTAACGATTATGGTCTATCTAGTCAAGTGTAATAACAAAGGCCTTCTCATTTATTCACTACTTCGGTCATTAGGGTTGACTACAGACTAATTTAATAAAATACAGACGTAATCATTTTCGCTAAAATATTACTATCTTGCTATAATATTATCGTTGTGTAGCGAGTATTAATGAACAACTTATGATTATATTTTGCCTTACAAAATCAGTTTAAAGCTAAACTGTTCATTTGCTCTTCGATAATGTTGGCATTTGCAAATCTCAAGTATAATTGCACCAAATAGTAGGAAGTAATTGCATATAAATGTAATTATCAGTTTCAGTACTATTTCCATCGTCTACTATGTTAAAATTATATGATTCTTAAGGTATATATTATGATAGTAAAGTTATCTTTATTAGTAGCAGGCGCAAACGAAGGAAATCAACGAACGTAAAGGACCTAATATGCTGCAGTATCGATTCTAATAATTTCTTCAGACTGATTTATTATCATCAGGTTTCACGTCCTAGAAATCCGTAATAGTTCATGGAGAAAGTATGAAATAGGCGCCTAAGCTATTGCCCTACATCAAATTTCGGAGTTGGATTTATTAAATTTTCACCTTAGTAACAACTATCGTCCTCACTAATTAAAATAAATGGTTACAAGCTTAACTATTGATAGACGCTTATAGACATATTTTACTTAGGGTTATTGTAAAGGGCTTATTAAACATTCTTCGTCATTGCCAGATACATTATAGGAAGTTTTGAATGGTGGATTATCAATTTAATTGATACAGCAGTGCTCAATTTATCTGATTCAAGCATTCCCAAACGCTTACTAAGAAATTACTTCGACATTTCAACAATTTCCATTATATACACAGTTACATAACAGCTAAACGGCTATATCTCGCTTAATTAAGCCAGCTATCTATATTATAAAGGACCTGCATGTCTATCATTGATATCAGCTGTTCAAAATTATATCTACAATATAAGCATTACTTTTGAGCTGTGGTGGAAATATAAAGTTAATTTCTTTATTGAAGAGCATGAAAATACAAGTACCACGATAATTTGTTACATCAACTGCATTAGTGAAGTACAATACTAGTAGGGAAAGTATGGATTGTAAACCTTATTTATGAAGGTTGTTGTGAAGCATGGGAGATAGATATGATATACCATAAAAGTCAAGTTGTAATATAGTTTTGCCAACTGGGAGGGAATCATGGAATAATTTTAAACTTGGGGTATTTTACGACAATTAAATAATGCGCTATAGATTCAACGGTATTATCGTTAACCAGATAATTTCTATGATTAGCATGCATAACTTAAATAAATTCATTCTATAATGAAGCTAATACAATTCTCTAACGCTCAGAATCCCTGTAGAAGCAATTATGTTTATCATTTCTATTCCATGTTAATAAATAGATAGTTATAATCCAAGTAATTAGGGTAAAGCATCATTCAGCAATGCTATCATAACAAAAAAGTTTACTGAGCACAAGATACCGTAGTAACATCTACAAACTTACACAAATCGGCAATATGTCACTAAACCTGGACTACGTGTAGAAAAAATTTTAAAGTATTGCTACCTTGATAATGTATAATTGCCATAATTGGCTAGAAATTGTTACTACAGCACCCATTACAATTCATCACGAGAATCTCGGTTGGGATATTCGTCGACGTCTTCTTCTTCATCTGGCATCTGCATTTCTTCCTCCTCTTCATCGCCATTTCTTTCATCCTTATTTTCTCCCTTAGTTGAAAGTTCTTTTCGGCTCGTAAAAAGTGGATCTTCTCCATCCTCGAACTGAGTATAACCTTCTTTCACACGAATTCCTTCACCTTCCCCTTTTCGGTAAAATTCATACTTTTTTTCCGCATCACCATCATAGTAGATTTCCATTGGATCAACCTTTGGCACCTGTTCCCTTTGATCGCGATACACAAAAACATCTGCATAGTCGTTAACGTGTTCAGGTGGCATATCATCTTCAAATAAGTTTAATACACGTTTCATGTTCTTTTTTCGCTCCTTTTTGCTGATTTTGCCATCTTTATCGTTGTCAAACTCTTGTATAACCTATATAATCATCATCAATAAATTGTTTAAAGGTTGGTTATTATTATTTTCATTTTATGAATTACGCGTGTGTTATAGTCGTCAAATCGAACAAGATAAAACTTTTATTAGCTCGCGTTCTATATGATATTCTAACTAATATATACAAGAGAAATACTAGAAATGCGCTGACCTCAATAGCTACTCGTTCCGATCCACCCAGGTTACGCTAGATAAAAAATATTTTATAGCCGTTCAAGCCAAGCATTAAATAGAAGCTCTAAACCTAATTCGATAGCTTAAATATTATGTGTAACGCATTCAAAGCTTAATAATATTTGCATATATAAAAATTTACCCTATAATATTCTTTAAATTGTTCACAGTCAATGCCACCCTTTTCATCTTTTACTTCACGAAAGACCTCCCTATAGATCGTCAAAATGCGATAACATATAAGATTAGGTTTGAAAGTAAGCAATTTTTACGCAGAAGTTCCAGATATAATAATCAACATAATTAAAATTATTGTATAGCGCAATTTATTATTGCCGTTCTACCGATGATGATCACGCACAATTTTAACAAATCAAGTATCAAATACAATTAAAAAAGCTATGGTATCCTTTTAAAATGGATATAGGGAACAATTCTGCAAACTTTTTAATTGATATATTGTAAATAGGGTACAATTATTGATACCTCATTTGATCTTTAGTAAACAAGCGATACTCATATTGTAGTGTGTTAACAGGATCCAATTCTGATATGAAAATTATTGGTTTAAACGCATCCATAGGTAAAGCCGATATTTCGTCCACGGTGATAAATTTTTTATTTTTCAATTTAAAGTTTTCAATAGCCTATATTAGAAAACACCTATTTCTTACTCTCTACGGTGTATATGCAATATGAAATATCAAGCATAGATTTCAATAGATTCAAGATAGACTGGATAATTAATATAAATTGCATTCAGTAATTTTTGTTGCAACAATAATATAATCCATGGTAAGATAGAAATTCCTATAAAGTGCTTACTTTCTTTCTTGCTTCACGTCTTTTTTGTGGATCTTCCGGAAGTATAGTCTAAAACGAATCATTTTAGGTGATTATTGAGCTAGATATTCCTGATTTGTCATAAATATATTTCCAATGAAGTAAGCCTTGATATAGATAAGTGCCTTATTCCAATTATCGTTCCAGTACTTTTTAGCTAAACTATTCGTAAGATCAGCTGATGACGTAGGAAGATAGCATGATTGCATAAAAAATGAAAATATTTTCATACTGCTCTGTAGTTTTTGGTAATCTACTTAATGTCATCTTATAAAATTGTTGTAGAACGTCGTTAATAAAGCAGAAATTGATAGCGGTTAATTCTATGATTCTTTATATTCTACCGAACATTATTTTCGTAAAATTGTAATAGAATGTTCTTAGTAACGAGATGGATAATGATATTTTAGCATTATTACAACATATACTTTCAGTATTTTTAGTGCGCTACGCCATGATACGCGATCTTTATTAAATTACACTAAACATATCTGAAGCTATTGTGCTCTAAAATATAATTCTCTAGTATTATATCAACATCTAGAGTTTCTGAATAATTCATATATCATTTTCTTCCTCTACAGTATCGCTTATAGCGGATACTGGATATTATATCAATTCAACAATCTATACTAAGTGTAGCAATACCTGTCCTATCCTTTTCATGAAGAGTTTAGTAGTTATATTCTTCTTTCCTCGGAATGCGCGTAATGCTGCTCTCCTATATGTTTATTATTAAGATTAGTGAACACCTAAGCATAAATTTTCAACTGTATCGTGAAAATTAGTGTCGCTGAAAAGTAGTAGTGGGCAGTATAAGCCTTCTTTCTTTAACTGACAGAGTAAATATTCGATTGATTAAAATGTTGTTAATACATTATTCTCATTAAACTTTGTGTCATATAACTTATAAGAGTTGTTCTCATATTTGCTGACAGTTAGAGCCGATCACAGATCAACTACAGTATGTCGTCAATTTTTGTTTTAAGAGCATACCTGTATACTGCTGGTTCTTGTAATCCCATCGTCAGTGTCGTGGCCCCATCAAAATCCCAAGCAACTGTTGAATCCGCTAAGTTTTTAGGTCCTTGTTTCTCGCAACCGGCGTCATTAAACTTTTTAGAATGCGATAAACTGCGAGAAAACAAAAAGGACACGGCCATGTTTTTTTCGCCGTATGATCGGACATGATGTAATGTACCTAAAGAGACGATGACGAGTTAATCAATTAACTTTTCTTAGTTATAGACGCTATGGTCGTTCGCAAAAATAAAGTTTATCCATTAAGACATTAGTTGTTAATATCTTACTTTGCTTTATTTATTATTATATAAAGACATTATTAAGAGAAAATTGGTAGTCGATATTAGATCTTTGAAATTATTTTTTCGGTTAAATGTTGTTGAATGATGCAACTTACCATAAGGGACGTATAAGCAATCTCCTGCTGATACGTTAGCAATATGATATGGGCAATCGCGGAATTTTGAGAACTGGATTAAATCGACCTTGGTTACTTTAAGTACAGAATAACCTCCACCATCCATAGATGGCTCTTTTGCCAATGGTACCATATATTCATGCTCAGGTCTAATCAAAATCCAATCTTTCGTCCCATTGAGTACACAATTGAGGATATTGGCTATCGAAAATTGAATAATTACATGAACTTAAGATTAATGCGTATTATTTGCGATTAAAGCTATATTAAAACTACAGCAACAAGGCCTTATAATTCAACGTGCTTAATGAAATGCTCACGGGCGACGAAAGAGTACGTTCAAGTCACGAGAATTGCAACAGTTGGTCAAAATGAAATAAAATCTACATGGTATACTACATCTAGCAGAGTCTTAGAGATTCGATGACAAAATCAGGGCTTCTGGTTCATTTGATGATCAGATAAATTTGAAGATTTACGAACTTGTACATATATCATCCTTAATATTAGCGAGATTCATATGGAAGCAATGACAAACTAAATTGATCAAAGAATATCTCCAGTTATTCATCCAGAAAGGCTTCGAACCAATGGTCTTTCTAGCGTAACAGTAAATTAAGTCTAATTCAAAATAATGCTATCGGTTCCACGTATTTTATAATTTTCTTTTTGAGTCTGAAGTTCATATTTTTGTAATCTAATTGAACACATTAGCAAACAAGGATTACTATTTCAGTAATCGTGTTTATAACACTTTCTAACCGTTGATGCTTTTATTAATAAGAAAAGTCTTTCTCTCATTTATTAAATCAATCATGATCGTCAAATGAATGTTTAAGCGATCCACCCATCTCTAACGTAAAGTCAATATTAGTGAAGTAGTAAACAAGCATGTCTCCAAGCAGTCTTGCGTTTTCTTTCTGCCACCTTCTATCTTAGTAAATAGGAAATAGACTACGATAATTATGCTATACTAATTATCATAGAAAAATAATAAACTATTTCGCATCTAAGAGATAAGTTTAACAGTCCTTTGACAATCGGTTGAAATAAAAAAATGACAATGCCAAGACGAGAGACTCTTAACCTTATACAACGTGATGGATATGAAATATGTACAGTTTACGTTTAAGTAATATTAATAATTGAATCTTAGTTAGGGCTCAAATGACGAGTCGTAATCGTTGCTCTTTAATTTTTGACTACACTAATCTCGTCATAATTAAAAATTAACTTTTATAGGCTATACAATGTGCATAGAAACACAAACTCATGATTATGATTGCGATGTGAAAAGTATCCAAGTAACAGATCAGTAATTTGATCCTGCTAGTATGTCATTGCTTAGGAGTTTAATGCATTTCAAATTCTACTTACGCGCATCTTTGTGTAGTAAACTCCTGGTTCCACCACTACTCATCCAGTAATTTACTTCAACGATAGAATCATTAAAATCACCGCATGCTAGACAAGGAGGAACTAAGACGTCGCCGTACATCGGTTTAGGGAGTTGAGAAACGATGTACTTATTCTCCTTAACATAAGTTGATACAAAATGTTTAAGAGAGTCGCGAGCTAAGCTAACATCACCGGCTGGATATTGATAACCTTCTCTTTTGCTCTCTAATCGAACATTTAAGTGGCCATACTTTTCCGATATGTACGGATCAGTCCATAAAGATTTGGCCGGGAAATCTTTAGCGGCTCCCTTTATAAGTACCGCTGTCCTTTTACTAACATACTTTCTCCAAAATTCTTCTGCTGATGGTATTTCTTGCAAAATATCAATATGACCTTCCGAATCGCGGTGTAGCCCTAAATCCTGCATATGACCACGAGGGACTTCTTGCTGACTCTCCTTTGCCAAAGATAAATTGGCGATTGCCAACAAAAATCCAATCAAAACGACGTAAAAACGATTCATTTTTTATTCGCCAATTTACGTCAAAAATTATATATCGTCGTAACAACGGCCACTAAACTTGATCTATTCCAAGACGCAGTAATCGTGACTAAATGAACTGGATGGCTAAACTACTAGTTAAGGAAACTATAGAATGAAACACTTCTTTTGTTTATCCTTCTTATTCTTATGATGATCTAACATTCATCAGGTCGTCGATGAACAAACAGTTCCTTGAATAGATGACGTCTATTTATTAATTCATATTTAACTTCCATCAAATAAATTATCAATTAGCTCTAGTCGATTATCTACATCAATAATAGGCGTCTTTTATGACTTACAGAATCGTAATAGGATATAGACTCACATAGTTATGGCACAAAACATTCAATATGTAAAGTTAAAAGCTTTCAATTGTCCTTATTTTAGCCTATTAAGAAATTACTACTATTTAAATTCAGTAGATTCCACCCATATGAACCGATTGTGAACCGAACTCTTGGCATATCTACTGTTATTCGACATGAATTACAAACAGCTAAATTAATATTAAATGCTGCTTCTATATATTATAAGCTGAGAAATGACTTTATTGTGATTAGATTAATATACTGATTCTGAATAATATGGAAAATATAGACGTCGCAGATTATATAAATTTTTAGCATATAAAATTAAATTTCACTTTTTGAGTAAGAAATACCTTATGCTAATCGCCAATGATCGATCACTAATTAATATAGGGTTATAGTAGTTCTAAATTGAAACAAAGAAGCAACATTTTATTAATTATAATTGCTGGATATTATGTGATGATGACAGTAAGACGACGCTGAAGAAATGGCAAAGGATCATTTGACATTGGACTAGCCAAGGAAATGAAGCTTTCATCTAGTTTAACGCATACTGTATTTACTCGTATACTGAGTGATCATGAGATTGATGTGTGAAAATGTTTAGTCTAGGGTAGTAGCTAATTGAATCATTACCATTTCACTAAGCTGGATCGTTAAATAGATAACAATTTAAGATAGATATCGATAAAAATCATCTTTGAAAGTGATTTAGACTTAATATAAGAAAAAGTTCTTTCGATTCCCATCCACCATTTCACAAAGAACACTCAGAATTTACAGAAATCATATTTTTGTTGTCAACGTATAACTAATATCACTTGATAACATAGACATGATGATGAAAATAATGATTTCAATTTATGGTTTATTTTGATCAGAATGTTCACGATAATTTCGCCACAAATGTTAGCACTACATAATGAAAATATTCAACAACGTAGATGTGATATAAATTCATCACCATTTCGAACACATTCTATTAGTTTTACTTTGTAGCTTTCAGTGAAGAGCTACCGTGCTAAGATAACTCAACTTTAATTCCTGTGGTACTTGCAAGTTTCATGCCACGATTTTAGGTGGTAAATTGAATTCTTATTCATTCATTTTTAAATCATAGTATCATATTATTTATTACAGAGACTTTCTATAGTAAAAATATCATATTAGTGATTTAAAGCATGGGAAACTGCCTGCTAGTGGCTCGAAAGGGGAAGGGAAATTATTTCGTTGAATAGCTTGAGTGCTCGTAGCAACGCAGTTTTTTAATCAAAAGTCAAATTCAAAATTCAAAAGTCCAACAATGTGACGTTAGCTAGTAATAATATATTAGAAGTCAAATTTCGTACAAGTAACTACTAGCACATACTGAAATATAAATAGATCTTCGTACTTTTTGATATGGCAAAAGGATTAGCCATCGATAATATCGAAAGAAACTTTAGTAGATCGTGAAACAGTAGAGCTTATTATCATCGTCATTATTTACTTTCTATGCCTTTTCTTAGCATGATAAAAAAAAGTTCAGCTCTTATAGCTAATTCTATTGTTATAATTAACTGTCTATAATCGTATAGGTGTGCCTATCATTGAATTTTACGTGATTTTCACCAAATACAGTCATAAAAAGAAACCCTATGCATGTCTGTGATGTAGCGAAAGCTTAGAAAAGGAATACGGTAACAAAGCTCCAAGCGTTTTATAGATTACTTTCGACTGTGGCCAATTTACTTTAGCGCTTAGTATCTATATTTATACCACTCATTTCATAAGCAAGACTAAATGAGATATAATAATTAGAACGTATCAATTCTTATTACATTAATTCCTGAACTTATTTTATTGCAAATACATTATGTACAAATTATGGATGGCAATAACAAATACTTTGTGTTGATACTGCTCCATTTGTCACTAGCTTCCACTCATACTCTGCGTGGTCATTTACAACCTCTCGGTTTTCAACGTGATACTGATGGCGATATAACTACTCTTTCTATCTTACCAAGCAATGAAGAGTTTTATCAACTGTTGATAAACAAGGAGACTGCTTTACTTAAAAATGCTGCTAAGCGTAGTCCAGCTATTGATCACTGGACAGAAAAATATTTAAAAGAAAAGTATGGCAATCTTACACTTAAACTAGAAGGGAAGAGTGAAGATCAGACAAGACCGGAAGGAAACTTAGGCTTAGGATTTGATACTATTAGTAACTTCATTGACAGCTACCATATCCAACCAAAGTATGCGGTTACACAATTACCTGATCCAATGCGTCATGAAATCTTCGTTATGCCATTTATGAGATGTGGACCCTTATCCACGAGTGTTATTGAAAGCCATTTATGGATGAGCTCAGGGCAAACCAGCAGCAGATTACACCGAGATAACAGTAAGACTACATTAGAAGTAAACCAGTATCCATGTCCATTTTGATAGCCAATTTTACTCAATATCGAATGAGATGCCAAGAAATAATGTCTATAACAACATTTAAAGAAAAAATCTAAATAAAAACTTTCAATATAGATAGGCTCTTTATTGTATCTTAATGTTAATTTATAAATACTCGTTCAAAACATTTATAAAACGACTGAAATCATTCATTTCCTTACTCTTTTTAGCTTATACTCTTCATTGTTCAATTAAAGGCAGGAAAGATTGGATACTAATGGACTCTAAACATCTAGATAAAATGTACATTAATAATCAGGTGGACAATTTCTCAGGATCATCTTCTATCAACCCAGACCGTGTTAATTTACTACGATATCCTCGTATTGCTGAGATTCCATTTAAACAGGGAAATATTACTCCTGGTGATTGCATTCTGGTACCGCCAGGTACGAGAAAGATAGTCTCCATCAGTATGACGACACGATGAGTTAGTTGATTCGTCCTGTAGTAAATTTTTTTCTCACTGCTTATTTTCAGTTTCTAGACGCTTACTACTACACTTGTAAAGTACTCGAAAGCTATCCGAGACATTGCTAATTATTTTTAATTAACTTGAGAATTATCCACTCTAGTCACTTTAAGGCGCGGTACAACTTACTATTTAATATAGTCAACACATCTTCTTTAAATAAAGTAGGATCTGATTAATAGTTTAAAGAATGCACTTCCAACAATCGTTGTTAACTGATGCATAAAACTAAATGTGCATTCAAATATCGTCTCAAGTAATTTAACACAATTTTATCATTGACGACTAAACCGCCTGTACTATCCTTGTTTAATATGCATCATTGCAAACAATATTGGTAGTGATTGTAAAGTGCGTAATACTGTAATTCTACTAATATGCGGTAGCTGATTTCTTCTAAGCTTAAAGTAATCTATTGCATATTTCAAAAGGTTGCGCCCATCAAGTTCGTTCTCATGGCCCAGTGAATGTTGCCTTTACGTTTTTATTTGAAATTACTGATGACAAACTGAAAAATTTCAATCCTATCCATTGCAGTCAAGACTATGTACCACTAAGTCAATACCACCTAAGTTGGAGCTACTCAGGTAGTGGAATCCTTAGCATGGGGAATTCTGAATCCAACACATTTAGGTACGGTACTATGGATTCTTTAGAGTTACCTTCTAGTGTGGTGTAGCAGTATTAATTAACTTACCTTTATATATCTTGATTTTCTTGATAATTTACTCTACAAGAAGCAGTTACTACAACAAGATTCTGCTGCAGTTTGCTGTTTAATTTTTAAAACCGTTTTTGGAATTGGTAGTCTGTCACTATTACTTAACTGTCCATTATCATATCATAACTTTATCTTAAGTATTAATTAGTTACCGTTCAATTCATGGTTCATGAAGATACATCAGACTTGGACAATAAAGCTTGACGATATCATTTTATATGTAGGAAGGAAATACTAGAACAATGGTTTGGAAAGCGTACTAAAATCCATTTTAATATAATTCAGGATACTTTTGAAGGGGTAATACTTGATTTGAAACTTACCGTTGATGTCTGTTACAGATTTTTGATCGAATTATTTTCTATATTAGCTACTGAAGTATTATCCTAAAGAAGCAACTAAAGTCACCACATTAGTGAAAGACATTGTAAGTTCCTGTCAGTTTGCATCAGTGTAAGAGCATAGCCTATAGCAGTGTTCATTAGATTATGAAATAATGAAAAAGTGTGACTTTCTCCCTGTAATTCGTTTTTGGGGCCATCATCTATCCGCTCCTTGAAGCTAAAACAATATAATGCCATTAATTCGAATGAAATCGTGTCGAGAGAAAGATGTGAGTCTATTACAATAGAAGACTGGAGGAAATTCCAATTTATAATTGAATCAGCAACCAATATTCAAAACAATCCTGACTACGAGTACTATCTTACTAGCTACAGATTAGTTAGGTATTGCTTCAGAATGATCATACAGTTAACCAATATAAATGAGGAATTCATGCCAATAAAATAAATGATAATGCATTTTTTTACAGACAAGTAGCCGAAGAAGCAGTGGTCGAAACCTCTGGTTTATTTGACAAAATTAAGTTTAAGAACGGTTATAGGGTAAATAAAATTTGCGTCGAATCACTTTTAGTATCTTATATGTTGCGTGTGCATATATGTATAATATACCGCAAGCCTCCAATCTGTAATTAATCTCATGCTGAAGGCATTCATTCGATTCATTTTTATAGGCTGTGGGTGGCTCGGGGGCATTCGCAGATAAAGTAAGTCAATCAATTTAGCAGTAATTATGATTATAGTCGTATATCTTTACCAATAGTATATTATTTTTAAGTTTTATCATCAAAGTAGTTATTATTGCTGATATATTAATGTTGTGCTACATTAAGTACTTAAGGTGTTAATACGCCTATAAGTACCGTACTGCACTGATCGATCATCACCGTCGCCGTTAATAGCTCTTAATTGTATACTTGACCTCTTTCGACATAATAGATCCTTACAGCCTTGGATTCGAATCAAGACGGACTAATAACTATAAGTGAGGTTGCTAGTAATCTAGATGTAGCATTAGAAAGTTATAAATTGGTTGAGTATGATGATGATGTCAATGTACCATCCGACGGAGAAGGAGGTAATCAGGAAGACGATGAAGACCGCGGTGGCGCAAGTGAAGAGGAAGATGAAGGAATAGATTCAGAAGAAGATCCTGATGTTGAAAATAAACAAATGACTTCGTCGTCCGAATATCATAATAAGAAGAAACACGATGAATTATGAAATACAGTGTGTAAATATCAAATATCAGCAGTTTATTGATATACGAATGCTCTTGTCTAGACGTGTGCCTGGTTATTACTGTCCAGGGATATAATCCAAATACATGATCGATCATATTGCAACCAGTAATATTTCATTAATCGATGTCAATACTAATTGTAAAACACGATAACTATACGTTCATGATATGTTCGAGAATCAACATTATTATTATTTAATCATGCACATATACTCATCTAATTGATATGAATGATTAGATGAGAATACGTTTCATAATGGCCATTTGTTAACTTTAGAAGGATAATTTAACTTTATATGCTGTAGGAGTTTCTGACGAGACTATAAAAGGCTGTTGCCTGAAGATCACTTTTTAGTAAGTAGCCGGTTAGTTAGTCAACTAGCTTGTCAATTGAATTGTTAAGACTATAATCTTGGTTGTCAAGATTTCTTCAGTATTAAATAGTAGTCATTTCCTGACTACCTCGTCTACACTATCAGTGGCTGTATAATTACACTATTCGGTCTTTGGAACTGAACTATTTGGTGATATAGCTAATCTCGTCTCTTTCAGTCCGTAAAGGCGTTCTTCGTAAGCGTTGGCGTGTAGACTTACTTTATCACTAGTGGTATATGACATCCACGTTATCATATCTAATTACTAATTATATTGCATGATGGAATCAGTAGAGTACGTGCATCCATAGCATGCCTATCTTGATCTATGTAACTACCTCTATCATCATATACATCAGCTTCCAAGTAGTCAAAGCATTCTTGTTCTCCATGATGACATATCTCTATCCTAGTAGCTTACCCTTGTAATACCAAATATCCTAAATCATTGCAAATCAGATTGAATACCGGTACCGTGATTGGGTGTTTTTATCCAAATTGTGCCTTAAATCAAATCATCATTTGATTTGGATTCGATTTTCAGATTTCATCTGAGAATTAATGGGGACTCGATTTGATGGAGATAACTCATTTTTGATTTGATAGAATTCTGGTATAAGAAGTCAATTCCATTCGTAACTGGATTCATAATATCTCAATGTCAAAATTTAGAATCATTTGATTTCTCCAATGTACTTTTATCCTCATTCAGTCTACTGACATCCTATCGATCTGGACCAACTAGCATCGCAGCTATGCTGTCTTCCAATGTGGGAGTGAAGCTGCAAAAAGATTTCTGTACTTTGTTATACATACAGTACAGTACAGTACAGTACTGTACTGTACAGTATACTATACAGTACTGTACACTGTACAATATACAGTACAGTACTACAGTATACAGTGTACTGTACTTGAAAGTACAGTAGAGTACAGTGTACAGTACTACACTGAGTGTACTGTACACTGTACCATCAAGTTAAAAAATTCAAACATTCCGCGGGAAAGCGCTTCACCTCCCAAACACGTACTGTTCAGTGTACAGTAGACGCAGAAATCCCTTCAAAGACTGGAGCCAGCCATTTTTTTCCTGTGGTGGATTTATTCCAGCGCCATTAAGTCTGTGAATTCTACTTTGAAAGATTGAGAATCAATTTAATGACCAACCCAATACAAAAATGCTGACTAGAAGTGAATTTTTTCTTTGGCATGAATCACTGTAGTGGACTGAAAAAAAAGTTTCAACTCATCTTGTAGTCCAAGTAGAACAAACTGGAAAGCATTTCTTCACTGATTAGTGACCAAAGTTCGTTTCAACAGCCGTGTTGTTGTCTCCATGTCATATTGTAACCTAGAGTTTGCCATTGCCTATCCTAAGGTACGTATTGAAATTTTAAAGCAACGAAATGCCGAGTTAACTTGTTGACTAAATACATCACTCTAAAATACCGCCATGATTTCCAACCACATCCATTCTCATGGTTTTCAACACCAAGGCTAAAATTGGATTACATTGGATAACATGCTGTACATTAGTGTGCAATCTGCAATCGGTTACTAGACCATTAGGGATCCAATGTTGTAGCACTAGTAATGCAATTAGAGAAGCAAAGGTCCAAATCCGATAATCAATGGATCCCAAGCATAAATAAGGCTAACTTCTGTCCATCTTTCATTACTAATGAATCACTTTATCTTTAACATTGAATTAAAATGCAGCGAAATAAATCATGGTGATAGAATTTGTAGACAGGACAGAACTTTTATTTTACCTTAATTTACTCGAACTCCACTGTAGTGTAGTATGAATAGACTACCTTGAATCTAGATATTACTATGGATTAATACTGTCAATACAATCCTAGCAGTGTTAATGGCACATTTAATGGTGCAATGCGATAATAACATGACATCGAATCAAGCAAGACACGATGTTACTGTAACCATGCTGCGTTCGATTTTAACAGTACTGTTTTCTCCATAGCTAACTGAGTCTGTCATTGGTAGAAAGAGGCAATCTTTGCTGGATGGCACAGACACTGAATAATTAATTTTAGTTAGCTCACAAGGTAAAATCTAAATTCAATCTTAACTAAAGAAAGAAGATTAACAGCAACATCTCGATCGATCGATTGAATCAATCTTGTTGATGATCTCATGTCATGGCTACATTCCCAACTTGCCCGATTTGCACCGATGGAACAAGTTATAGAGATGAAGATCTGGCTGCTGGCCGCTGTATCCTATATTTCTAATATTATTTTAAATATGGCCTTATTTTGGAGATTAGAAATACAGCATCATGCGCCTATACGAGTACATTACCGTCAATAGTTATAATACTGTAGCATAATAGCACGCTCGCCTTTATACTGAATTGAAAATTGTACGCTAGTTGGATTAATAATAATAATAACATAGATATCTTACTGAAATCGCCTAAATGTGCATAGCTTATTCCCTTAAACTGAGCCAATTCATCGTCAAATTTTAATTTAGACTCGTAGATTCATTACTGTAAATAGTGCAATAACCAATGGCAAGGTATAGCCTAATTTAGAATACAATAGACATCACGAAAATGGCCTAAAATGTTGATAAATTATTTTTTTAAACTTATAATCAATCCCCAGTTATAACATAGTTACTTTTAAAAATTTGAACGATATGACGATATAAGATATGCTTCTTTCCCTTAACTTGTCGATTGCACTCTTTATCGAACACTCGTGTATGCTGGATATTTCAAAGGTGGCCACGTCTTTCATTATTCTTGGTGAGTTGAATGTAGTTTTAAAATTCTCGTAACAAATCTTCATGCGCAATCTAGGCACTTCTTCCAATGTATAAAATGATGCAAAACATAAGTCAGGATTCGACTATCTATGACGTTGCCAAATTAAAACACACTCTATAGAACGATATACAGACAAATTAATAAGTTGTCCAATCATGGGACTATAGAAAGCCGTAAATTACTCTCTAGTTTATGAACAATAAAATATTGCAATTTTTAGTATTTTTTATAATTATATCCGGAAAAGCATCTATAAATACTAACCGCAACCTTTATTTACGCCAAAATGTCCTTACAGTAAATTACAGTCAAGGCGATTTGTTTCAATATTCCCTAAGCCTTAAAACTTTTTCAATTTTTTGATAAAGTAAATAAAACAGCTTACTGATACTACTTGAATGCTTACATCTGCTCTTCTGTAATATCAATTGTATTTACGGACAATATTCTATTTTGCTTAGCTTAGAAAAATGGGTTATACAATCAAAAACCTGCCCGACGTGTCGTAATAGATGTACCAAAAGAGATATTATCAAACTTTTCTTCGACTGCAGTCGAAGTGATGATTGCAATACCAGTAATCACCTTACCGATGATCCACAGCAATTAAGGGTATGAGTAAATGAATGTATAAAGTTTTGTAACAAACCTTGGATATCAGTGAGCTTATAATTTATTTCGTCATCAATTAGATGCAACTAGATAAATACATAGCTATCTACGAGAAAAGAGGTAAATACCTACTGCAAATATAGGCAATCATTTAATTTTGACATAGCATCGTCGTTATAGTAAACTGCAGTTGTTAGGTAACGGTGTTATTGCGCTACTTCAATGCTGTAAAATGTAGATAGCCAATATCAAAAAATCTTGAACGAAAACCAGGATTTAGAAGAAGAATTATCAAATCTTAAAGATACATTGAAAACAACAAAATTAGCACTTAGAGATTACAAGAAAATTAACAAAGATTTAAAGGTAAAACTAATGGGACTATCCGTGTATACCATGTAGGATTATCATACAATTGCAAACTTGTGGTCAATTAGCTTGATAATAACCATAAAATATAAAATAATACATATATAAACAGGAGCAACAAGAAGAGACGCTAAGAAAGCTTGACCAAGCAAGCTTTGTTGCCAGCCAGTCTAATATGTTGCATGAGAAACTACGTCGATTAGATGGGTAAGCCTTGCATATTGCTCATAGATTCCGATTAACATAGTTAAAAACACTATCTTGGACTTTATCGCAATAGCTCCGACCTGAGCTTTTTTTGCCATCATATTTTAATCGGTTTGTATATTGATAGATTACGAAGTATTCTAGAATCAAATTCTGATGAAGTAGACAAAATGATTAAACACGTGGGGGAAGGTCCTGCTGCTATCGAGCAACTATGCACTTATATTTCGTCCTTGAAAAAGTTAGAAGATGGTTGATTAAATGCTTATACATATTTTAGGAGCGTCAAAAATAGTGACAGATCAATTCTTTAACTTTGATTTTAATATCTAATTTCTACAATCATTTTCAGAGAATATGAAAAATTAAAAGAATCCAAGAAATTTATTAAGTCAGAAAAATACAACTTAGAGATAGAATTAAGAAAATATATTAAACTTGTAAGAATTCCTACCAGAATATACACATGTATTGATAAAACTTTGAAAACATCTCGTTGTCGTAGCAATAATAATTACCTGTATTATTCATACGGTATAATAGTCAGAAAATGCAAAATCAGATTTAGAAGATATGAAGAAGCGTTTCACTGCCGCATCTCAAAAACTTGAACAATATAAATTGGAAAATGGGGTATAAGAAGTTTTACTGTTATAATTTTGAAAAACATGCTCGTTTCTGATATAGTTTTGGCATTGCATTTATCTCTTATGTGAAGGTGTTACAGAAGAAACTGAAAATTATTAACAATAAATTAAGAAATTTTAAGAAACAAGATATCTCATCTATGCAGAAAAAAATGCTAACTTTACATGAGTAATGACTAGAAACAACTATTCGGGATCGCATCGATAAGTTTTATGTTTCTTTATGTTGATTCTATTTCTTATTGCTTAGCTCGCCAGTAGAAATTGATTTCCTCGAGAATTCGGTCGATGACGAAGGAAGTTCGATATCTAGAACAAATGAATTAAGATCAGCCAATGAAACCTCTTCTAGTCTAAGAGCTATCGCGAACAAGTTAGTACTGCAGTAAGATTAAGTTGATTACTTGAGTTATGGCAACTCTATTGAAGGTATCTAAGTGGGTTTCCGTATGGTTTTGACAGAAACGGATTACGCTTCGTCGATGCTGTTGATATGACTAGCGCAAGAACTAGAGTCGACATTAAAGTAATTTTTATTAAAGATTGCTTTGCTACTATAGCGTATTTCCATTCGTAAATGTTTCCTTAATTTTTTATTCCAACGTCAAACTTTGCTGACATTGTCTCACGCTAGAAGAAGGAATACAAAGGTATTATATTCATTTTTAAGAAGTTATTATCCTTACTTTTAGTAAATGTATCTGCAAGATCATAATTGAAGATCAGAAATGAATAGTTTTAACGTATTTGTACATTTAAAAAAATAGAAAACAAAACGAATTCAGCTGATCATTTTTCACATTTTGAAAAGAATGCAAAGATGTTAACACAAAAAAATGATGGCGTAAGTAAGCGATATTTATAATTTTTTAGCCCCTTTACCTAATAGATTTTATATGCGTGTCTTAGGTTGTACGTTTTGGCTTTAACGGCTTAGGCGGACATAGTAAGGTTTTACATCTCGTATCCGAAAATATTTTAGCTTAATGGTAATTGTAGACTAAAACTATATCAAACTGTGTTTCCATCTTATGCGGATAAATGGTTGCGCATGATTTTTTCTTAACGGCAATATTTCAGCAAAAGCGAAGTGATAGCTTTCCTGGAGACTCAAGTAGATCAAATCTTAATAATTCATCTAAGAGATTAAAATTATCGAAGATTACGAACTATACATTACCGCTGTCTTCGATGACTGAAGATGATATTATACTCTAATCAGATTCCAGTGTTACTTGTTAAGTTATCGATATGAAGTTGTAAAGTATACATGATATACTGCACTGTATGCACTATAAATGTACATTAGTGTAGAAATTGCTGAACTAGGAGTAAAGTTGTAATTTGATATCTGCTAGCATTACTTTGGCATCAGCTAATGCTGCTTAACTTAAAACTGTAAATATTGTTGACTTGGTAAAAAACTTAATAATAATCTTTATACGTTCGCAGTAGAAGGTATATACTGCTTGCTATTAAGAGTGTCTCAGTTATGGTAGTGACAGCCAAGTTGACACGTTCTTTTTAGAATTAATATATAAATCTTGAAGAATATGACAAAGACCGATATCTATGATTTACCATTTAATTTTGAAATTTCAGTTGGTACTATTTTAATTAATGTTGCTAATCTCTTACAGATTGGGAAACAAATAGCGCAGATTTCTTGTTGTAAAAATGTGTGAAATTATACAACAGCTCATTACATCGAAGGATAAATGTACAGCACAACCGATTTTATCAGCAACTATAGTACTGTGATAACAATTAAACAATTACAGACAAATTCTTGTCAAAGCTAAGTGACAAATAATTTTAGTACTTGTACTTACATTAGATCTAACGAATACTAACGATTGTCAGCAAAATTAAAGTTGTAAATTAACATTGTACTATGCAATGCACAATAATTTCAACCAATAGATAGATTGATATTAAAACAATAAAACATAGTTGCCGCATTTGTACAGTGCTATAAGGAATTTTTGTTGATCAATCATGCTTGTATCTATTTACCGATGGCATAGGATGAAAACATATAAAATTATAAAGAATAAAAGCTATTCTAACCTCGTAACATGATTGATGAATAGACACATCGACATTGTACATAGAATCATTACATAAAATCATTACTGCATGTAAGGATTATATTAATATTAACAGAAATGCAATAATTGCATCATAGGACATAAAATGGTACTTGATTAAACGGCGTCTAAGATACGTAAAAGTAAAAGCATTTACATAGTTTATAAATCAAATGTTGATAACTGATTTCAATATAAAGGATAATAGCAAAAATTTTTCTCGGCTATATACATATCAATCATTGTTAATCTACTATTTTACATGTACTCGTATTGTTGATTCAGTTGTATCAAAACTATATTGAGCTACACCTATTTCGACTGAATCGATAGGAAACAATTCCATTGCCTTATAACGCCTTGATCACATCACAAATTATTCTTATTATTTGCAATATACGTTTATTTACTCGTCTTCCCTTTCTTATGATTAAGATTTTGAAAGAACTCTTTAACTTTCGATTTAGGCCTGTCATCTCCCAGTGGACTGCTATTAGTCTTACTTGGCGATACACGTCTCTTAGCTACAACAAGTTGCTGAGATAGTACAGGTGAACCGGCTTGCAACATGGCGATCGCATCTTCTCGACTCACAATTTGTCGTACAGCAAATTGCTTCTTCTTGCTGTTCTCATAATCTAAATTATTAGGACGATCTGATATGGCTACGCCATACTTATTCACGGTAGGATCAATTGCTGCTAAAACATTGGATGTTGTTTTTTGGGGTCCCTATGATATGTGAAATTTATTTAGTTAATACTATCAATTTGATCAAAATACGTACTGATTGAATTTATTGATTCACAATAGTATACGGATAGATGTGAAAGTACAGCCTATTGAAATTTATCATTACCTGAATATTGCGCGTTACAATACTGTTAATGTCCTCCTATTGCAGCAGAAAAAATCGATAATCAATTTATAGCAGATTTAAGGTAATTATTAATTATATAAGGAAAGAACTAAGATTGAATAATAATATCGATAACATCAATAAAGTTATAAAGTGAAGTCAATTTAATAAATCCTTTACCGGTTCAACAATTTCATATTCATGTTCAAATTCATCGCTATTATTTATGGCCTTAGATGGTTGATTCCTTCCATTTGGAGTAGATGGATCATCTCTACTATAACCATTTACACCATTTGATTGTGCTTTTTCTTGCTTCGTAGCTTTGCCGTTAGGTAAATGAATGGAACGCTGAGCATGATGATCATTATTATGGGGAATAGGTGAACGAAAATCGTTTACGGTATTGCTAACAGGCATATTATGAGATGAATTTAAGGGAAATTCATGATTCTATAATAATATAATTAATAAACAAGATAATCGATACCATTATTCAAAAATATCTTTAGCATAGAGAAAATAAACCTGTTACTAATCACAAAAATAGAATCTACAACTAACCTGCCGATGCAGTTTAGATGCTGCCTTGCGATTCATATCCCATCGTTTACCTCCATCGCTATTACGAAAACGTGATGATAAGTCATATTCTCGGTTATTTTCTTCTGTTATAAATTGAGACCGTGGAATAAACTCATTCCTAAATTGCTTGGGTAAGTGAGTACGATTACTACTTTCAAAGCTATTATCTTGAGATTGAGAACTATCAGACTGCGCTTGTCTCCTAGGTCTATGCTTCATTGGATTCCAATCTATATCACTCATGCCATGATGAATATCTCCATCTTCGGAACCTTGAAAATCGCTATTAGAAGATCGATCGGAAGTTTGAAATTCCGGATATTCCTTACGATATCGATATTGTTTATTACTGTGATTATCATAATAGGATTGACCACCATCATGCCCATTATTGCCATTGTCATAATACATTCGCTGATTACCGTTACGACGATGATTGCGATGCTGGCGGTGATCATCATTTCCACTGCTGTTGGCAGCAAATCCACCAGATACAGGCTGTGCGATAACATTTGATTGGCTTGGGCTATCACTATATTGGCTACTACTAGAACTAGGCGATCTAAAAATAAGATATACCAAAAGATAAGTGTATATATGCCTTAAGGTATTAATACATAATAAATATTCATTTATATTAGTAAGTAAAAGAGAATCTATTATATCAATATGGATGCAATAACAACCCCTAACTTTTTGTCTACCTTTTATCATGAGGATTAACATTGCCATTATGGTTATACTTATTACTATTATTACTATTATTGCTGTGTGTTCTGCGATATTCATGCTCATGTCTTCTCCTAGCTAACTGAATTTCCTGCTTCCATAGCATACGGGCTAGTTCCTAATCATAATCACATAGCATTGTCAGAAAAATTATATACTATCATATGTCTTATTTCTTTTCAATAGAGATTGATTGTATGCATAATGTACATATTCAAGTGAAATGGGTTATAGTACAGTAGTAAAATTAATCTAGATTTATTATTTGTCATCCAGCTATAGTAATAAGGAAGTTTATTCACTGTTTCAGAGAAAATCTAAATGGGTTTCCATGTAATATTTATTTTAAATGATGAGAAAGCATCACGACTGCTAGGTAAAGTGCGTAAACAGTTGAAAAAATCGTTTTGAAACTAAATCATTATGGGTAAATTAATAGCAGGATACGGGGAAATTTTAACTATATATCACGTCTGATCACCTGATCTTGTAATTCCTGGGCCATTCTATGATCGATAACGTCATCCTATTTGCAAAAATGAGATTTTAAATATATCGCTTTTGAACTTGAAGAAATAAACGTTACTTGGTAGATACAGGTTAAACCGTATTAAATAATGATATGAGATTGACTTCAATTATTGTTAAGATATTGTACTAATGTTGGTAACCGTTACAAATTAATGCCTTACTACTTCTACATAAGTCCTAGTTAATAACAATATCGTGTCCTTATCGTAGTAAATTTCGCTAAATCCCGTAAATAACTATCTTTAATTGGACAACGATTGCTAATGGCCAGTAATTAGTTCATGTATTAACTTTTAAAACTCAATCTAGTATACATAAATTCTCTTTTAATTTAAAGATAAACAACAAATTCATCCTAAGAAGATTATTGAAACATAAAATCATAGTTTATGCTGTCGATAATTTGACAGCAGTTTTTTACTTTGGAATTATAGTTATTGAAAATTATCGTTACCCGAATATGAGTTGGATTGTATTGACTATCAGGAGTCACATCATCCCTGCAGTACTTGTCGCTGTGTTATTATAAATAGAATTTAAAAAGATTAAAACATCATTTCTAAAAATATAGAAACTCTTATTAAGAAATTATTTCTTAGCAATAACGTAATATTTTCGTCGAACACAAATTAGAGTAATGATTCACCTTATTCTAATTTTAAAATGTATTCTATAATTATCTCTTTATATATATAGGCTGCACAAAATAATAACACTATGTAGCAAAAGAAAATTTACCTTCTGGGTGACGCTGACCGATATTCCTTTAAATGATTTCCACCACGATTGTAGTACATTGATTTTTCTTGAGATTTATCAGAGCGTTTATGACCGCTACCTAAGTATAATGAAATTGCAAAATGATTAGAAGTACTTCTTTTTAGCGAGGAAACATTTGACGCACAGCATTAGTGGATATTAATAAGAAACAAATTAATTTAACAGTGTATCGAAATAACTTTAAATTCAGTCATGATGCTTAAGCTATTGAGTCATATTTAGTCTAACCTACAAAGAAATTTGGATAGTATCGTGAAAAAGTGATAGTTAAATGCTTTCTTATTTCACGAAGGGGGATAGAAAATGATTGATGATCAAGTATAGTATCTGGTTAATTCCCTAAATGTCATGACTAATCACTCCTTTTCCTCCTTTCCAATCCCTAACTCTTTCCGATTAATGAATCTAAAGGCCTGAACGCTATTATATTGAGCGCGTTGTATTTTACGATCGATACTGTTATAACTTACTTGTTAAGGATCAATAGGCAGTTTAATAATCGATCTTGCTATTGGTATTATATTAGTATAGTACCATCCAAGCTACGGCCAACTAATTCAATTGATATTACGTAATTATTGCCCGCAAGGCTAGGGATCAAAGTTGTGTAAATGTGAAATAAGAGTCATGTCTTTGTCAATCTTCGATCAACGTGACAGGTCTAGATAGATATAATTAGTAGTTCCGAAGGATTAAAAGATCTATTCATAAATGGATCAGTTGCTACTGTTATACATAGAACTCAATATTTAAATAATAAGTAATTTCAATCATAAAAATAACCAGATGGTGAAAAATGAAATCCTTGATATTGTTCATATTTGCAATACCATACGTAGGGTTAATTTAATTACTGAGAAACGCAATCGTCCAAGTGGTTTATTTATCTTATCATTCTTCCTTCTAAGTTTATCAATATAGTATATCATTTTTTCCTTCTGAGACCATAGAGATTAATTAGAAATATTCTGCAAATGAAAGATTAAACCTTTACGGAAATTGGGATGCCCGAACAGAAATTTTCGCGCACTATAATGTCCTATTTGGATGTCTCCATGTATTATGCCAATCCCATACTATAGACCTATAGCTAGTTAATTGTTATATCCGATTGATGATCGCTACTGATGATAAAAACGATTTGTTCTATACTAATACAATACAGCGTTGCTTGAAAAGATCGATTAATTATATAATCGTTCGAATTAGATTGTTAGAATAATAGTGACAACGATGAGGTTGAATAATACTTGCATAAGTTATCTAGTCTTTAAGCAGATAAATTTCATCATGATCGTAGCTCAGAAAAGCAAATCTGAAAATCGCGCATAGAAAATCTATTCTATGCTACAATTCAATGTCATAGTTGCATATTAAAGGGGGGAATCTCGCCTATCCTTTGAATGATTAACCAATAGGCTCTGAAGCTGCAGCGCAATCAACTAGTTGACTCGATGTTATCGTTGATGGAACAATAAAATTTTAAACGACTCGATAAATTCAAATTATAATTAAATGCCATTAATAGCGTTCCAATTATATTTAAATCCTAATCTTAAAGCTACATTCCAGCTAAAAAGTAGAAACAGAATAATTGTTGCTTTAAAATATTCACACAGTACCTCTTGGGCTAAAAATCGGAGAAACTAATACAATATTCTAGATCAGAACCTCCCAAATGAAGAAAAGTTCCATTCTATTTCCACTTCCTCTTTCATGTAGAACGCAGGTGATATGATTCTAAAACACTACTCCTATACTTGTAACTATATATCCTACGTCTGGGGGAATTAAACTTTCTATAAAATCGATTCGCTAAATAGACTAAGCTATCAGTTATTTTCTTTTTAGTTTCTCATCAAAGAAAAAACTTAGACTTAATTTAAGCCTGAAGAAATATAAATGAAGCGATGCTAAAGGCAACACAGGGTGATACCCTCGAGGCTTGTGGACAAAACAATCACTTGAGTGAAAAAGTTATAATATCAATAAAACTATTTTTCGTTTCCGATGGATTAAATTGTATTCTAGATAAATTTGTTTTCATGTGGAAACGATCAGCTGTATCATATATTATGAAGATTAAAAAAGAACAGTAAGATCGATAAACTAGTATATAGAATTAACGATGATAGATATGAATAGGATAAAGTTGTTGTTGATATCAATATACAAATCAACGGGCATTTTGATTATTAGTATTGTATAAGAGAAGGAATAGTCACCATGGTGAAAACATGACTGATGTTCTCCTACTGAGTTGTGTCGAATCCAACCAGCCCACTATATTTTTGTCTTTATACTACCATGAACAAAGCAGAACAAAGTGATAAAAAAAACTTTCATTTCCTTGTAAGCTATCTTTTCTCGTGAGATGATGGAATATTTAATGATTCAACTCATATTAAGGTGGAAGTTGATATCCTGATGCTAAGTATGTATATCGACTGTAAGCCTTACTTTGACTATTTTATGATACTTTATCGTCTATGACTAACTAACTGTTTTGGCCCCTTATTATTTAGTAAAGATGAATACTTTAAATTTAGTTGAATGAATAAATTGAATTTAGAAGCTGTCTGACAATATCGTTATAAAAACTTCTCAATCTTGTATTAATAGATTTGAGTCTAGACTTGGTCAATAAGCATTAGCACTATATTTTATGTAGGTTAATTTAGTCAATTTTTCATTATCTTGAGGATACTATTGCATGTTCTCGTATTTATATCGATTGTACCCCTATCTTCATCGCATTGAAAATAAGACTACCTGTCTAGACATTATCTACCAGTGCACATTATTTTAATTTTTTCTAAATACTTAATTGGTAAATTTTATGTAGTTAAGACGATAAAGTCAGCATTAGACTGTCATCGATAAAAAATATATCATAATCCATCATTGAGTAGCACCGTTGAACATAGTCACAAATAAATTGCCTATTTTTAGGATTAAAGGCATACCAAAATAACTTCTTCTTGAAGGTAACTTTTTCTTTTGTAAATGGCTATCTACTTAGTATCCGTGTAGCAAAGCTAACTCCATGTGATAGGATAATAAAGGATAGCGTCAGGGTGCGATCAAACTATACTCGGATGATTAAATTAATAAAAAGAAATAGAGAACTAATCATATGGTACAGTTTGGCGTGGATATGTATTTTTTAAGCAATTAAAATACCGTCACAAGCCCATTGCTATTGAGAATTTGCAAACATTGACTGAACGTTATACAACTTGGTCAGCTGTGGCATGGCAACATAATATTCAAACGCTTTCATGATCACCTTTTGTAACTTTGTCGGTAAGGTTGCAAATCAAATAGGAAGGAAATTATTAAATTTCTCTATTGTGACAGTATCACCCTTTCAAAGGTGCCAGCAAGGAGAGGGGTGTCAAGTAGAGATATCAAGATGGAGAATGATTCAGCTAAAACAAGGTGAATAACTTGAATTGATTTATATCATCGCATTGAAATCGACTTCTTGAATAAGATAGTCTGATAGTTTGTAAGTGAGAGATAGATATTGGTTAAAATCAATGTGCTTTGTTCTATTTCTTAGTTAACTTCTTTATATATTTAATTATGAAGGCGGCACTTTACATTTGGTTTGCACTTAACTTTATGAATAAATAACTTTTGTTATGTAGCTAAATCTTTTTTAATTTCCTGCTAGGTTTTGCCGCTACCTCACGTGGATAGCAAGACAACAACAAAAAATAGAGGTTTTGCTACTGAGACATAATAGCTAACACAAATTAGCTATCTGTTATTTAATGGTGTCCGAGACTATGTCATAAAAATAAAAAGCATTGATAAATAATGGTAGCCCAATTCAATCCATAACATTGTAATCAATTACAATTATAGGTTCTAGATTACTAACAGCAATGTAGTAATTCGTCTTTACAGATATGATAGATAATTTCATCACTTTCTATAGTTTAAAGCTTCTTATGGCAGCCTTCTATAAATTATACATGACATTAATTCGGTATGATACCATTAAAGTGACTAAAACTGCTCAGTTGCTAAACTCACTTTTAATCTAGGTTCATTTGTTATTAATATGATATTGGATTTCAAGAAGTGTTTAAAAATAGATGAAAATTTAACGGACGAGTTCATTTCTATTGTAGCAGGAATGATTGCTTAAAAATGATAATCATCATTTGTTAACGCACCTTGTACTATACCTATTTTAGATGAAGGTTGCGTAGCTGTCAAAGAATATAAAGTGCTTAAATTCACTTCCTGTAGCTAAGCCGCAAGCAAAAAAGGAAAATGAACTTTTAATTTTAGGGAGATCATGAATTTGCTATAATCAGTTGTAAAGTAAAATGATTCATTAATCTCGATCGGCAACAATTTCATATCTCCCGGCTGGATTTATTAAACAACAAGAAATGAATATGAGCATTTACTTATTTTATAAAAGTTATGGAGCTGAAAACTATGTAGCAATATTCTTAGCCAGAATATATTATAATAAAATCGTCATTTTCGTAAAGCTCTAGCTACGCCATACTGATAATTTGTCCATTTATTATGTATAATTTCCATGTGTAAGCGAAAAACCTATTTAATTTTTTAAAAAGCCTAGAAAATAGCTTTAGATAGCAACAATAGAGTTACTATTGTTGATTTCTTAGTCAGAATCGGTTAGACATACGCAATATTAATGCAAATTATTCACTACTATTATGTATTGCTTTTAAACTGCTAACTTGAACTTGTAATTGTTCTATTTCCAAGTTAGTCCATCCAATTATAACTAGACTATAGAATTCAAGAGCAGTACGGAGTCCCTATAGCTATTTTTTCATTCTGATTTAAGGTTGCTTAATTTAAAGCCTCGCTAGGGCTATGCTAAATTGCGATAACTTCAAAAGAACTTTATGAAATGCCCATTTAGCCCGGGGCTTCCAACTGTCTGAATCTTAAAGCTAGCTAGGCCAATCTGACTAATAAATATAAGACAATTAATCATCTTTTCTAAGAAAGTAGATAACATCTTGTAAATCGATGACTAATATATGTTTAGGTAATGCACGTGTAATGGACAATATGACTAACGATACATTCAAGAAATTGGGAAAAAACTCTTTCAACTACCTCTTTTCAATTTACGATTACCTTCATTTGCAATGATTGAATTGTATCGAACCCAATGAGAATATTCAACATCAATCCTACTAACTAACAATTAGGATCGTATATTGAATGCTATCCAATCATTCTTATAGGATGGCTATCATAATTTGATGGTTAATGGGTTGGTCAAAGATTGATTATTAAAATGACTCTCAAACTGTCTCATTTTATGCCATTATACTATGCTAAGAATAAATACTCTCAATGAAAAGATGTCAATTACAATTAATCGTAGACATTTCTAGACCTTATATACATATACATTTATTCTAAGTAGTATAACATTGACTGGAACGATTCTTCTCCAGTTTTTGCTTATAAACTACTGCTTTCCATTGATTCTATCATTCACCCAGCCAACTTACTTTTAGTAAACTCCTATCACTCCTTCTAAGTTTCGAAATCTCTCAAGGATATTGCACAACCAACTTAATAGTCTGCAATGAGTGCAGCAGTTACTTTGTTTGAAAATGACGGCCATTATATAAGAACAAAGGACAGACAAAATGATAGAGATGACTAAGAATAAAGAGAGGTTAAAGAAATCTACTTAAACTACTACGTCATTATGAGCATCTAAGATGGAAGGAAAGAATAGCTTTGGATGGTTAGCTATAAATTTTTCATATTGTACCTCAATCAATTACTTTTAATAGGAAAGAAATACTGCCGTTTTACATAAAAAAAAAAATCTCTACTACCGTCGTCATTCAAATTAGGTTATGGCCGTAAGATAGTCCATAGTAGCCAGTCTGTTTGGGTAATCAATGAT